CTGAAGCGGAATCTGCTGATTTGATATGCCCGGATATATTGGATGGTTATTTGATTAATACGACCTCAATTTTGGCGAGGGGAATTTAATGTGGGCCATGTGAAAGGTCTCTTTTATTTATTTCGCCGTATCTTTTGCCTAGGCCAGAATGGTCAAAAGGATAGCAAAGCTGTGGGGACAGTTGGCTTCCGGGGAACCGAACTCTATTTCCGCGATGACCGTTAAATCCGTGGCGTGTGTGACTGGATGGTGATCATCGTAGTATTTGCTGTACTCGGTTCTCCTTCAAATATAGTTTAGACGACAATTGATCTTGCCCCTCATTGGTTCAATGAAACGCCCAGCCCCTTAGTTTATCGAGGCTGGAGATACCCGAAGCCCCCTATTTTCTCAGGGACAGAGATACAGATACAGGGCGTTTACTATCTTCGTTGTACATTTTCGAGGTAGTGATAGAGAGCCCGTGTAAATTTACCGACGGAACATAGAGCTCAGACTCTTACCCAAACTCTTACTCATGGTGTCGACAGCTTCTATCATATGACCAAAGTTTCCAGGGGCCATCAACGGGGTAGACAAGAAAATAAAAATTTAAGCCCAACTGATGTTCCATGTCAAAGAAGCCCGTGCTTGGTCGATCTCACCATTGTGCCACCATCCGCGTCTCATCCTGCGTTCCGTGCACGGATGCGATGCGGCAATTTGCCCCACAGGCTCGCCTAGTATCTGAAATGGCAGTTAGCAAACGCATTAATCTCCGTCAACGAATGAACGTAGTACACGGGTTGCAAATCATTAATAGCTAACGCGGAGCAACTGTAATGTCTAGGAACATGATATTGTCGGCTGTATGTCGATATTCTTTGCTCGACCCGCATATGAGACAGCATGACTCAGGATCCGGAGATCTTGAACGGCCTCGGCTAGATACGTTGGACTCTCTTCCTGTGGGTCCAGAGAACGGTTGAGCCCGCGCGGGATAGGTTTGCCTCGTCCAGTGCCGATCTCAGTTCAGCTAGTATGCACATCTTTCCTGTTATGGTCAACAACTTGGACCTAGTCACGAGGACACGCCCCGTATTTCAGGGGTTGAGGTCGGAGAGTGGGCGTTTCTATGTTCGTGAAGTAGTAAGGAAGTGGGGAAACAGGACAAGGGGGATAGAAGTTCGTGGCCGATCGATCTCTCCGTTGTGCCGACTACCCGGCCCCTGCCGCGTCCTCATACTGTGTGCAGAGAACGAAACTAACCGCCTTTGCTAGATTTTCCCTCGTAGATGGATTCATTCAGGTGAGTACTTTTGTTCCAGTTCGTTCCCCTCTGCATCTTCGGCGACAGGGGTGAGCCAGAATGGTATGGGGTCCACAGAATGGGCGCCGATCACTGCATCTGAAGCGCGATCATGTCATGCCTTAGGCAAAAGGGAATCACGCTGCCATGAGCTATGTTATGTTAACCCCACATGCTGGAGTACGGTTGGCGCAGATTTTCTCATTTGATGGAGCTTTTGTGGGGAACGATTCAACATTATCCACATTACTATTTTCTGTATAGCGATATCAGTCATAGCCCAGAACAAGAGTGCTTAGTATGAGAACCGACATAAGGTTACAGGTACGGTGTTCCCGGTACACACCTCTGTCCTGTCATGGTTCTCGGTCATTCCGAGCTCGATTCGCACGGACACTGACAAATCATATAGTTCTCATTCCACTTGTTAAATGAAAGTGCCAAGGTATGTGGCGGTATGTGCCCTACTATATTGTTGCTAGCCCTGGGTATCTCGTCCTCCTTCTGAAGCACCAACCTTTCGACATGTAGATCGTCCGAGTTGGTCCACCACTGAGTCCTCGCTCTCTGCCTTCACTGCGCAACACGCCTAGGGCGTCCTGGCTTTCGCCCACTGCCTGGGCTACCCCTGCGACGAGCGTTGAGTTGTTCTTTCAGTGTAGCCACTTCCTCAATGAGCGCCGAGATATCTTGGTACCCGCCCTGCATCCTTTTCACGCCTCGGTCCATTTCGTCGTTCCAGACGTTTTGTTTTTCGAGCTGTTCTTCTATGGACCTATGTTTCCATCAGCATAAGGTGGGCTTGGTGCAAGTATCGCCGAGAGAAATTCACCTACTGGAGTCGGGCGTTCAAGCTAGAAAGAAATTAGCGTCACTGGTAAATGCAATGAAGAAGCAAGTAGCCTTACTCTTCGAGACACCTCAGAAACTTGTCCATTGATACAGGACTACCAGTCTCTCCATGATGCACCGCTTCCGGTACGTGATCTGGCACAGTTTGGGTCTCTACCGCCCAATCAGCATCTGCTTCATTCTCCATGGCTTTATACATTGTCATAGGAGTTTGTTCCGCAGAGGACTGCGACTCCATGTCATAAGGGCAGTCTTCTTCTTGGGGCCCTGAAGCCGATTCAGGGACGCTCCAGAGGTCGAAAGGCTTGGCTTTGGAAGCAAGGGCATCGCGAAGTCGGCTGGAGAACGGACCATGGTTCTCTCCGGAAACGGGATAATGGAGGATACCCATGACCGAGGATCTTGGACTTGTTGGAAAAGAGAGTAAAGGATTGATGGAGTGGTGAATGAGGAAGCACAGCTAAGTCTTTCTCCAATGCTAGAAGACGTGCTTGATTTATAGTCCAGACAGACAACTCGGCAAAGCGCTCGGACGAATCCAAGAACTGGGCCCGTATACTCTGCTCGATAAGTACGCCGAGAATTCTTTTCAGAAGTATACGCTACGAACGCAGATATTTAGCTAGACGAAAATGGCTCACCTAGTCCTATACTAGAGATCCGCGGCCAATGCGTTGGGCCCAGGATAGAGCCTTGATAGTACTTTGAAGGTCACCGGGAGGAGACCTAGACCGCAAGCTTTTATTTCATCGCGCAAGACATTTTGGAGCGCGTATCTAAGGAAATCTAATACCAAAGAAATGATTGTCGGGTAATCAGCTAGCTCATCTGCCCTTCCTTTAATGATGATGCAAATCTCATTCGATGCAGCTCGGATGGTTAAATGCGAGAGATTTTCACCGAACCTATGCCTGAAGGTCCCATGGTCATTGCCTGGTCGAAACTAACTAGTTTACCGTCGTTTATCTGTGTAACCGTATGACATCCCAAGGATCAAATTTTCAGATCCTCTCAACCTCATTAAACCGACTCCACTTGAGAAAATCGAGGTCCAAGTGGGCATCAAGCCATTTTCCCCTTTCCTACTATACCATGATCATACGAGTTGAGCCTAAATAGAAAGAGAGCTTTTTTTTCTTTCTTATATTTTATATTTTATATTTTATACATTCTTTTTATACATTCTTTTTATACATTTTTTTTATAGCCTGCATCGAAGCACCGATACAATTTGCCCGGCTATACTGAATGATCAATTATTAAACCTCATTTTTTGCCTGCTTTGAGTTCTGCTATGACCGCGTACCCCCCAAATGACGACCTGTTCAAAGTAGGAATGGTGAGTTGAGTATGCATCAGTTATATTCTCGCTGTTTCTCAGCCATCTCTTCCAGTCTTTCTTTTCATGGCGTCATTTCCTAGTTGACATTTGTTCTTTTGCTCTTGCACATACCTCATCTCCAACGATGCCGAAAGAGATATACCTTCCTTGGACTGAGTCTGAGGAAGATACAGTATGCAGATAGATCCCCATCATTTTCTCGGGTTCGAGTGTCTATTGGACACAATCAAGCAATCACCACGGCATCCATTGGGATCGACGGCGGACTCAAGTGATACGGTCGTAATACTAGTGGCGGACATTAGAATATGCACATATGATTGTTATACACGCATTGCCCGCTTTTTTTCGGTTTCTCACTTTCTGGTCATTTACTCTCTAATCTTTTCCTAGCCTGAGGTACGGTCAGCAAGAGTATTGTTTATCATTTCGGACCAAGCAATTTCAACGTTGCAGTGGTGTAATTTAGTCGTCCTGGTCACTGCCACAACTCAACACTATAGAACGGCCGTCACTCACTCTTGAAGGTCAACACTTGCGCGGAACGCACGGTATGTAATATGATGGGTGAAGATGTTTCAGTGATGAACAGTAGTAAGACGCTGCTATTACAGTACAAATCATAGTCAGTGTTTATACTCAAAGAAAAAATCATCTGAGAATAAATGTCTTCTCAGCACGAACACACTGAACAGCTAGATTATGGGCAACACAAATCTAAGTAGAAGGCATAGACTTGAACAGATCTTGGCTTTACCGAACGGTTGCGCATTCGATGATTGATCTCCAGCACCACGAAAAGGTGTCTCCGATTACTGGAGGCAACTAGAGCATGAAGTGGGCCCAACGCTGAACAGCTGTGGCGCTCTATAAGCTTCACGGTAGACAGCGCCATTATGATCTAGGTGTTCAACACTCCGGTGGAACCGAATCAATCGAGCTACTTCCCGAATGTGCTCATTTCAATGCATGAGGGGTATTATTATACGTATGGATCATCTGCCGTCTTCAATTTTCTGTCAGGTCGTGTCCGCTCTTTGTGCCTTTGGTGAAATATTCCGTCTACCCAGATAAGGGTCTTTGGCCAGTAGACCCCAATCAAGCAACCACTACGTCACTCATAAGGTCGGCCGTGGACCCCAGTGACAATAGAGTGCATAATAGGAATAAATGAGTGGGTTGGTTCATTATCTGATGTGGGAGGCAGAATAACTGCTGCGCCTGCCTCCTTCCCAGCAAATGTGCTACCACGATGGCGAAAGGTTTGGCGGATATATTGCCATCCTGATGGACCGTATTCACTGCACGCAGCTTCACAGCCCGTCGGTCTATCAGAATGGCGCATGATACTTTCGCATTTCTCCGCAACAACGTGTCGACCTGCCGGTTTGTGTACTGTCGATATTAGGGCAGTTTGTGGCTTCTAATTATGGACAGCATATCATCTCGTAGACAGCTGTACCCTGATATCGTAATCATCATGTATTCAATTCAATGGAAAAGCGTAAAGATGGCAGTTCAAGGAGCCTCCTCATTCATTTTGCTAGCTGCCTCATACATCGGTTCTGAACAGCAGCCCCCAGAGTTTGCTAAGAGCCTCCCGATACCCGTGCTGAGTTTGTCAGAGGCTTGTCCAAAATAAGCCAGTTCGTCTCCCTGTTCGGCGTATCGACCCTTCAGGTATTCACTCTCTTGGCGTAATTGGAGATTTGCCGTGCGGAGCTCCCCATTCGCCTGCTCAAGACGTTGGGTCTCAGACTTCCTTGCAATATAACACTCATAGAGCCGTCGGTAAAGCCTCACTATCTGTGCAACCTGGTGCGCGAATTGTGGGTCGTCCTGTACCAGCCGCTTCAACTCTTCGATCAGCGGTTGGAATGGTTCAGCGACCAAGGCGTGTTGTGCCTCATTCGGGGGCAACTGTACCTGTGGGAGCGAGTTGCAAAAGTCAGTATGCAGCTACATCCTGGATGCAATTGTCGCTTACCGGCTGCTGACCCAGATCCGGCATCTCTGTACATACTGGGAGCTCATTTATGTATCCCGGCGGAGCGCTTCCTGTACCTTGGTCTTGCTCAACTTTCGCTTCATGCTCATTGTGAAGACCATCCATTGTGAGAGTTTGCAGATCAGTAGTAAGGTCCAGGGCTCTGGCATGGAAAAGTCTTTATACCAAGTGATCGAGCCAAGTTTTGAAGAGCAATAGAACCAGTCGCGACGTAACATGTTTCTGAGGTATGTCTGGTGCTACGTACTTTTGGTTGATACATTGAACCCATCCAAATAGTGAGGGAGACCCCGTCGTATTGTCCGCCGTGATTCACACGTTCAACATGTACCATTAATTATTTATTAAAGGGGTTGACGCTTCAACGACAAAGGTATGCGGGCAAACTAATTACTACTTGCTACATGAAGTTCAATGGCCTCGTTCGGATCATCGTGTCGAGAGGTATTATGGATAAAGTGTGAGCCCAGTTTTTGACGGGGTTGATTTCAATTGTAGGTTCCTTTTTGGGGGTTTTGGTAAGTGAGGCTCCAGAAGCGGGAATTGATAACTGACTATAGGCACCACACGTTTTAACTAACATGGATCCTGATTATTCCGGCAACTCGATCATTCCGGCAGGAACTTCAAAATTTCTACTCCTCACCAAACCTCCTATTTTAACAACGCTTACTATGCCTCCAATCCATGGTAAAAAAGCTCAGAAAGTAGTTGAACAAGAAGGCAGAATCCTGCTAGCAATCAAGGGTATAAAAAATGGCCGGACCACCTCCGTTGCTGCTGCTGCTCGCTCTTTTGGGGTCCCGCGGTCTATGCTACAAGACCGGATGAGAGGGGCAACTAGTTAGTCTGAGATGAAGCCTGTACGCCATAAATTGAACCTATGTCCCACGACTTATGAGGAGCAAAACAATGACGGGCGGGGGATGTCCAAAACTGGCTGTCTGACCAAAGGAAACGCTCTTTGTGGGTGGAGGTACTGGCTGACAACCAAAGGTAGGTCTTGAAATAAACGCTGTAACTCTGGCGCTAACAACACATCGGAGACTTATCCTCCTTGCAGGATAGTGATTATATCCAAATAGCAAAGTGGAACCTACGCAGGAGCACCATATAATTATGGGGTTCGCGGGAGACTCCAAGGTTGTACCTATCATCGGGAGGTCTCGTTGAGATGGTAAGGGGAACAAAGCGATCGTTCTTCGCCCGGAGACAATAAGAATAACGTTTCGTTTGATTAACCTGGGATACGTCAGATTTCTAGACAGATGGTTCCTAGATACCAGTTTACGCTTTATCGGAGGTCCAAGCATGTAAAGTAGCTTGCGTGTTTGGCCACTGGCCAAACATTGCGCCTTTTGGGCCTGTTAGATCAGTGATGAAACCTTAGCAACCGCGATTTTGGGAACACTTTCTTGAAGCTTCAAATAAATTCAGTGTTTCTCCAGAAAACACTGGTCCGTTCAAATATCATATTTCCTGCCTGCCACTTCCTACTAACAGAATACCTTTCGCTGAGTATCACGATAGCATTGCTTATTATGTGCATAATTGCCCTCTTTCCTCTTCGTATTACGTCTGCTTGCGTAAGTGATTTTGGCACCGGAAAGACCCTATAACCAGGCTGAAATCTCATGGTAACAGTGCAATCAGGTTGAAAAATATATACTTTTGATGAGCTCCAAGCTTTTGAACGTTGCGTCCCAGGCCTGTGCAAATATCCGGAATCCAACCGGGTGACCGGCGTTTCTGATTGGGTAATGCCGCTACCCAGTCCCCCAAATAGACCTTATGCCCCGCTCTATCTGGGTAATACAACTTCTACCGCTCGTCTGCATTCCCAGCTGGTTGCCTGGCCCTTTGGGTTATCCGCTAGCTCTCTCATTTAGATGGATCTCAATGTATCTTTTGTCTATATAATCGATCCACCCCGGATGTCATTGAGCAGCCACCAAATTCACATTCATCGTTTCTACTTTCTTGAAACTACAAACACCTGCTATTCAATATTTGCAATATCTCATGGCTCGCGTCACTGTTCAACAGCATAATGACAATAAAGGGGGAGTGGGAGACCCATCGAGATCTGCAACCCCTAAGCTCGAAGCTGCACTCGGCGATAAAGACGCGCCAGATGATCAAGATAATTGGAAATGGGATGCCGATCCAAAGAATCCCTACAACTGGCCGACAAAGTGGAAGGTTCAACAGGTGCTAATGATTGCATCAGCAGCATTCACAACGTGGGCCAAACTTTCTGCTTTGATATATTGTTCAATCAAACTAACAAAAATTAGGTCACTTGGCGTGTCTATCTTGTCGCCAGCTCATCCGCAGTTCATGGACGAGTTTGGGGTCAGCAGCACAGTCGCAATTCTTCCCATGTCGCTTTACGTGTTCGCTCTAGCGCTGGGTCCAGTAGTGGGAGGACCGCTGTCTGAGACAATTGGAAGATATCCTGTTTACATCGGCTCTGTGTTGCTTGGAAGTATATTTACATTAGGTGTTGGACTAAGCCACACATTTACAGCGGTCTGTGTCTTGCGGTTTCTCGCTGGCCTTTGTTTCGCACCTCCATTGGCCATAGCGGCAGGGACCATCAATGAAACGTTCGAGCCCGCTTCTCGGGCTATCCCATCGACTATATTCATCGTGACACCTTTTCTTGTAAGAACCCTAATGTTCCCGGGACGCTACGTACCCATATTGGTTCCTGGGAGTTTCGTTGATTGTACTTATTAGGAGTTAGATATGCTCTTACCATACTCCAGGCTTGAGTTCTAGTTTTGTTCCCAGGAGACTAAGTGTTTGTCTGCCGGCGTTCCACATCCGCTGAAGCCATCGGGTTTTGGAACCATCATGGGTTGCCTTCCAAGTTCCTTGGTACGAAGACTGCTTTCTAGCTGGGCCAAATCTTTTCTCTTCCTTCAAGACGATTCCCCACCAGCCAGCGCAAACCAAGAACAGCGGACAGCTCGCTCTCATTTCCACTCTCGATATCAACCTTTCACTCATCGACATTGGCGCCATTGTCTAGCACCATTACATTTGCGACCCTTGCAGTCCAAGTCGGCAAGTCTGTTCAGACACTTACTGGCTACTGGGGTTCGATGCATCGGATAATATTAGATCGCATCTAAGAGAAGTCGAGATCCTCGGCTTCATAATGGCCGGCGTTGACGCCGACTTATCACGAGGATCTAGTTGCGTAGGCCTGATAGACAGCCAGCATGTTTCACAGAGTTTGCGCTTCTGTAAAGTCGCTGCGGAAGACTTGGAAGCACTTTGCAAAAGGACGTCATTTTCGTTGATGCAAGACCATCCAGACCCTTCCGCAGACGATCTGGTTGTGACTGCTTCCCATTTGCAGGATAGAATTAGAGATTATACTGCCATCATGGCGATCTTTGCGCGCCTTATAAGCGCGATAAGGAAGACTGGAACTCCCAAGCGGCATTTCTGTCCATCCTGTAGACGTGCGAAGCCATTTCCGAAAATGCAGGGACTCCGACGGCATTTCCAACAACGCAAGTGCTATCCTCTCTGATACCCTGCTTGCTATTAATTATTGATGCAGATGTCACATGCGAGGAAGTGTGCGTGTGCTGTTTCAAAGTTTTCAGGCTCGTGAGCGAGTTCATTAGACATGCCGATAGACATGATGAAGCATGTCAAAGAAAACGGGCATTCATCAAAAACACATGCGATGAATTACAATCTAAACGAGATCATGAAGGTGTTGTACAAATGTAGATTGTACTGAGCTATGAGAGCTGTAGAAGGAAGAAAGTGCGGAGCTATGATGTGGTGGGAAAAAGGACAGCATCATGTGACAGTGGGAGTCAGCTTACCACAATACTGTTCCATGGTGGTATCACATTTTGGGCAATTGTAAGTGAACTCGTTGGTTCTGGATTTGAGTCCCATTTTGCATTCGTTGTTGTAGACTAATTGGGGGCATCGTAACTTGGTCGTTTCCTCGTGGCGACATGCATATTTGTAGGTGATAAGGTAACACATGATCGGCGACTGTTTTATTCGCACTATACTATTAGTTTGGTGCCGGCTATTATGAACTGATGGTATTGCACACCTGCTAGATATTGGTGCAGTGATTAACGAGCCAGCAATTGCTTGCGTGAACCTATGATAGAAGAACTTAAGTCAGCGCAAGTCTTAGCATAGAGTTCGGGGTCCCTTTTACCTTGCTCTACTAGTAGAAAGGTTTCTAGAGCTTATGCGCGGAAATTGTGATGCTGTCCCTGTCTATTTATACGAAATCCCCAACACCTGGGATGGATAAAGTGCCATGTCTGAAAGCTTTGTCAATATCGGCTGTACAGGGCCTTTATCTGCCCCAGGGGCGCAAGGCTCCGGCAAGGGTAAACTCGGGTCATTGAACTAGGCCTGCAACACTATATACATGCTTTATCCTGCAAAAGGGTAGCATCCGATATATCCCGTGATTGGTGCTCGGCAGATAGGACACTTCTCCGTTGTTGCAAGACTTCTTGCGCATGACCTGCAGACCATGTGTCCACATAGAACGAACATCCAGCGATCTGGCTGCATATAGCAGATCTTGCACTCTAAAATACGCTTTTCTCTTTGTTGGGAAAGTTCCTCTTCCGTCTTTTGGTGCCTCTGCCTCTCCTGGCAAAGTTCATCTCGAAGCTTGCGATTTTTCTCTTGTAGCCGTTGCATTTTATGGCTGACTGCCTTCCGGAGCTCCCCAAAGGCGTTGTCCTGGTCCGTTGTTAGTTAAAGAAGAAGGCGGCCTTGTGAGGAGCTGGTACCAATGCAGACGGCTCATTCGTTTCAATTCTTTTGCGTTTGCGTGATGGTGTCGTTTCCGTCTCATCACCGACTGCTTCAACGATCATGTTCTCGAACTCCCGGTAACTGTAATCACACCGAGGGGCCCTCCGAGGTCTTGGACTATCTGGCTCGAGGCTTGGCAATTCCTCGTCATCGGTTATAATAATAGTGTCGGATGGGCTTGCCATCTTGATCTCAGTCGTCACGTTCAGAGGAGGAAAGCCAATAGAAGCTGGCCTGGGACGAGGAAAAGAGAATATCAGTGCATGCAACCAGCTGGGGGAAGGCGGCCCTTTATATACCTGAGAACCAAGAGTGAAGGACTCAGCGCCCGGAAATAATTGGATTTCGTGCGATCGTAATATCCTAAGATACATTGCACGATCAGATGACAGGCCGTGATGGCGATGAAACTAGGCTATAGCGTTGCATGCGCTGCCCTGACAAGCAGAGAGTGTATGCCTATATTTATCCAGACCCCCCTCTCCCCCCCCCTCGGCCGGCTTGACTGCCATTCAGAACATCACGGCCTTCTTGTTCTTGTCTCTGAAGTTCCTGCACTGGATTCGGGCAACGCTTGCGACTGCGCACACGATGCACATCGAAAGCATGGCGCTGGAACGCCATTTGATGTAGGGTGTGATGTAAGCTATGATATTGCGTTCGGTTGCATTGGTGAACGTATCTATATTACCTGCAAGAGAGGTAGCTCTTCTTCTCAGGGAACTCAGTTTCACAATGCCCTGGCCACTCGGAGTATGTTTGCTTTCAACCAAGGTCTGGACCCGCTGCGCATGTGCTAAAGTAGCTTCGCAGGACCGTACCAGCATCCGAATAGCCTCCATCAGTGCTTGCTGAGTATGTGTCTTTAGTAATTCCTCTGAGGGAAGTCATAGGTCTCTGTAATCTTACGAAGATAATGGGTGTTTGGGAACTTGCATATCGCCCAGACACGAAGCCTAATGGCAACGAACACAAACATAGGGTAATGTTTCTAGGAATCTACGTTGAATATTACGGAGCAAGGCCTCATGGATGTGATGGGTGATCGTAATACGATCTCAAGCCCCATGAATGCCACTGTATCCCTAATGATTTCCGCTTCTCCACACTGGCGTGAATGATTGCGCCAATACTATTACCGAAACAAAGTGGACGAAACACGCGGCTAGAACACAAGATGATCAGTTGCCGAATACGCAATTTATACTCGCAAATGACTTGCATTAATTTGCTTGTTCAGCATGTGCAGAGGTGTATACTGTACTATGACCCTGCGATCGCGAATTATTTGTCGAGCTGGGCTAGAACGCAGAAGTCCCAGGAAGTGTCGATAGCCGTGAAGTTGACGCTCCTGGGAACAGCATATCCAACAGTAATTGGCTCGTTATCAATCATTGAAACGCAAATCTAAGGGTAAGATCACTAATGACAGGGAGCTTTGCTCAAACCTCGTTCCTGGGAGTCAAATGATCCACTTGATAGGGTCAATTCAAGTAAACGGCGCCATCCGCATCTTTAATTTAAATGTGTTCTTGTTCGATCTCATCCTTTCTCAATATTTTTGCTGGCTGTTAGTGATTGATACAGTAAACTCTTACTGGACAGCATGGAGGTGCTTCAATTGCTTCCTCCGACTGCGACGAGTGGGAACGCGAACATGCCATGGGTTAAACAAATACACACTGGGAAGTGGCTATCCTTGGTCAAGAGTAACATTTCATTATGGCTGGAGGAAAAATAAGATTTGCTGACAGAGGATGTTGGGGGCTGGTAATTCAATCGGTTTTAGCCCGATTGGATAGGCGATTGAGGGGAGTGGTGATTTGATAGGGCAGTTTTCCCGGTCAACCAATTCCTATGCAAACAATTATTTTTTACAGTAATTCAACCGGTCTGACCTCACAATTTGATTTGTTTGGTCATACTAAGACATCAGAGAATTGTGATGGTGTGCAAAACGAGTAACTACAGACAACTGTTTACTTTAAACTTAAACCTCGGCTGAGCAGATTGTTTGTTCATTTCATCGGATTTACATTCCACTCTCCCTGCCATCACTTAATTACCTGTTTATTATTATAAATCTCTACTCTCACTTCACATCAGCAGCAATCGCTGAAGTCGACAGACCCTAGCCAACTCGCTTATCCCTTTGTTCTCTGATTGGAATAAATTCTCAAATAGGAGTTTGAACGGCGGAAAGGTTGTTTAGGATTTGAGCGGAGAGTTACTGGGTCGACAAGTTGGGTTGCCTTCACCATATCTCACTTCTTGTTGCAGTGGTCAAATAGATCACCCGGGGGAATGCAAAAATACGAGGAGGAGCTCGCCAGAACAAAGCAGTCCCTGGAGGAGACGAGGACCGATCTGGAAGAGACCGTGGGGGTGGCCGAACTTCTCTATGAAGCAAATCGGAAGCTCGGAACTGTGATAGAGTACCTGTTGAAACAGCAGGGACGCTTGAACGATCAAGACTGCAATTCATTTGAAGCAATATTCAACCTTCTTCTCAAGCAACCCGAGTCTCATGATGAACATGCTGTCCACGGGAGCAGCGAGAGTGAGAAACAATGCGAAAATGGGCATCTAGATGGTGCCATTGACTTGAGCTAGGCACCGTTAGCACCGTACCTTGTATCAATAAGACGGCCTTAGGGGCGTAGGGGAACAGAAAGAGGCACCACAGTGAGAATTAAGGCACCGATGTGACGCAAATATTGGATTGTTCATTATTCTGCCTGAAGATTGCTATATTTAAGTCAAAAACATACTCGCAAACGCTCTTGAGCCCCGACGGTTTAGTGTTGAACAAGGGGTCGCAATGGTTCATGTACCGAGGCACCTCTATGGTTGGTATGACTCATTTGTCGGGTTATGCATCTTCGCCACAAACATCCTTTATTTGTCAAAATGTGTTCGCAATATAAGGGAGAGAGGGCACATACTGCTCGTCGTTTAGCGAAATCGGCATAAAAGCCCAACCAATAATCGCGATCGCGACAGTCGTCTTTATGCCCACTTGTCGCATTGAATCGACAGCGAGGCTGTTCTTGCTCTATGATTTCTTGAGGAGCTTTGATCCAGGGCTAAGCAAGATGGTCAAATACAGTATCCAAAGAAGTTCTGAGCAAGGTCTTCAATAGCGCACCTTAGGGACGGGCCAGTCAGAAAAATGTAGAAATTTAGCCTCGCCGAGGACTTCATCTGGATTCCAGACTTCTTGGTCATTGCCCAAATATTTAGTGTGAATCTCACCACGGAACTCCCCTGTCAGAATCGTCCATGGACGATGAGGGATAATGAGTGCACTGTCCTTATAGAGGGTGTTCACGATTTCCATGTCATATTCGGTACGACTTGCATTGTTAATAGCAGTTGTTATGCGACCGAACTCAAAATGGGAAGGTCGAATTAGTAATAACTGGGAGCTTTGCACGCGTTCATCAGGGTCAAGCCAGTAGGCTCGAGGTAATCCCAACGGGCATGGCGGCATGAAGAACAATTCATCCAGGCTCTAAAGACGTTTTAGTAAGAAGCAATTGAAAGCCACACGGGTTCATGGAACACACCTGCAGTATAGTCGAGTCCGAGTCTAAACTGAGCACTCGATGATATTGAGTCTGGTTGAAGGCGAGGAGTTTAGTAAAACTCTCCGCCCATGTGTCTATAACGCGGTTAGTATTCTCAAAATACTATCGAAAGAACTGCGTGGTATGTACCATCCCCATTGGGTCGACTCCGAACCTTGATAGGTACCAGTTTCACATTATATTCATCTCGCGCCTTTCGCAGTAGTCGACTCTCCGGCTCAGCGCTGTTCTCATCTAGAGAAAATTCCGAGGGGTACATCATGACTCGGTCAGGCTTGCTGTTCAATCGATGTAGCGTTTCAAACAGCATGACTGAGTTGCAGAGGTAGGCTGTGTTGGTGACATATTGTGTGTAGGCAAAGCGAGACCAATTCACTGCGGTAACGTCTGCTTGACCACTATAGTGACCTGGAAAGTACACCGCTGTAGGCTTGTCTGTTAGAATGAGCAGAGACTCAACTATTATAAAAAGGATAACTATGGCAATTTTAGGACGTAGGGCTTTCGAAAAGCTTCGTGGCATTGTGGGTCCCGCGAGGCAAAAGACGACAGAGGTCGTGTGCGCGACTTTCAACCAACTGGCGCCCCGCTTCAACTGGCCCAGAACGGCTTTCACTACCAGCCTTTCTCGAATGGCAGCCTGGCTTGCTGCTTTGCTTATCAGTCAGCCAAACGCCTAGACGACTTCCAGCGTGTGCCCTTCCAAGAGACGCAGCAATTTCACATGGTAGACTGCATATGGCAGGTCGTCTATGGCGATGAAAAGGGCCAACCAGATCGGGTGAGATGGCACCTGCAAAGATGGCGAAAAATACGGATCCATAAGCTGAGCATCACACAAGGAAAGATGCTCAGAAATCACAAGCTCCAAAAGATCCTCATACTAAGTGTATCTGCCTCGTAGCTACGGCTAAGCGTGTACATATAGCACATCCTCCTAAGGTTTTATTAGCACTTCTTAGACGCCTTCAATATTACTCATTTGCGATGCAGGCTGTCACTCATTCAATATCCTATCCTTTCGTGCTTTCGAATAGAGCGTATTCACCGTCTGTTGAATTACGCCGATATTTGTATGGTAGTTGGCAGATTCGGAAAAGTAACGCACTGCGTCTGAATAATATGGACTCTTCAACAAAACTAATAAAGGTTCCAATCAACTCATTCTATCGGGCGTATACCGTACAAGCCATCGAATATACATCGGGTACCATGCACTCCTTCAAGCCCTCGAAAATTCAATGCAATCAAATATTCAATAGTTGCTCAGGGATATTACAGAATGGCAATTTTGAACAGGTTCAAGTTTAAGCTAAACAGGGTTGAATTAGACAGCTTAAAGCTCGAGCAACTCAATGAATGTGTAGCCTCAAAGTTTGGTGGTCTCATATTTTGCCTATACTGGTTTGGATATTGCGTAGGCGAGATCACCTACTCTGTCGTTTCGCGATAATTATTTGCCTCTTTCAGGTATCCTATGCCCTTTAAAAGCGGTGTTAATTGCCCGGACACAAGGTCTTTGAACAATGTTGACAGTTTGAAATCTTGAATAGTTCTTGCCAGTTCCACGGACTGTGTAAGATGTCGAGTTACTGTAGGCAAATGGCGTCGAATAGTGTTCCCAGGTTTAAGGTACAATGCGTGGCTGTGATTGCTCCCAGGAACGGTTGATTAGCTCCCAGTTACATGAATGCCTTGCGTGGTAGGAATGATACTATAGGCGATCGAATAAGTTCCTGGGAACATAAATTGGATACAATAGTATGGCTCACAGGAGCAAACAAAGCGACTCCAGAAGCTTACAAATAGGCCAAGATATACCTACACTGGTATCAGCGTTGATATGAAGAGGGAAAAAAATAATAGTTCGATTTACTTGTAGTTCCGTGGTACCGATAAATTAAAATAGTCGTGGTGTCGTATCATACAAATAGAAACATTCATTTACGTTACATTACATACGGTCAATACTTCTTGAGTTACCTGTCCGAGTGTGGCGGTGCGAGCTATGTATGTAATATTAATTGTAATGTAACTTCCTTTTGCAGTGTGACAAGCCGGCTGTAATCGGCTTTCGTCAAAACACGTTGCAGTTCACTCGCCATCCTCACGCAGTGCGAATATGATCAACTTCAAATCTAGCACAAACAACAGCTTCATTTTCGACTAAATGGTTTCCACAAAAACCACCTCACGGGATTATTACAAAGATGTGCTTCATATTTTGTTTCGCTGCGGCGACGAGTGTCTGTCGTTGGAATCTTGAGTGGTGACATTATGGCATTACAGGCAGTGATTTGGTTTGGCAAAGAGCTCAGTCTCTATTAATCTCGAAATGTAAATAAACTTAACTTATGTACAAGCAGGTTATAGTTGATGCAAAGCATAATGCTCGACCAATAAAAAATGTCTTAGCGAGCATAGTCACGACGGGCCATTCGATTAGCCCGTGATCTGGTGTATCGCCGAGGAAGCTCCATATTCTTCCAGCACTGTCGCAGGAAGGCCGTATCTACGTCTGCGAAGAGAGGCCCAATCTGCCTCAAGGTCAGGTTCTGGCCCTTGAGCTCAAGCAGCTTTCGCTTTTCTTTTGTGGTAAGCTTCCGCCGAGGCTTGCGAGTACCCAAATCAACCGGATGACCCAGAAGCGGCTGTGATCTTGCCTTTGCTCTCGTGAGCGGTCTACGGAAGTTGCTGACATCAGCTTGATCATCACAAGAGGGGTTACCGTCGGGTTCTGCCTGCGTATGAGGGCGTTCCTCGCACTTATCATCTACCGCGACCGCTGTGTTGCTGGAGGGGGTAGGACAATATGTTTCCAAAGCCCTACCAATGTTGTCATTGACTTCATTGGTACAATCTCCACGAGATAGTTTGGCAGGGCTCGGAACAGGAGGTTTTGGGTCTATCGTGTCATTTAACTCCTTTGTCTCGAGTTCACCCAAAGAATGAGCATTCAGCTGAATAGGCTCCTGGTCGTAACCCGGGCAATCATCCTCTATGTTGGAGCCGATAGGGACGAGAATTCTAGGGTCAATGACATCAAGACCGGGCGTCGTTGGCTGCGAGCTGAGACGTGAATCGGCATCTGAGACGTAAGATGCAATTGAATTACTCCTGCTGCTCGCGCTGGCCCTATCACTACTAGCAGAGCACTCAAATCGTCTTTGCTGATCCTCGACAAACGAGAACCGAGCCGGTTTGGTGATACAAATGTGGTTCGAGGGGTATTGCTGAGATTCAGGGCGTGAAGGCTGGTATTGGAAAAATCGGGTTTCCTTCTTCCGCTTTTTCTTTGGCTCCATTGAAGTGTATTTCGATTCCACCTTGGAAGTAGATGGCAGGCCATGATCGTCAGTCCGAGCTTCTTTGGCGCAGCTTTCGCTTCTCTTCTCATTCCCTTGTTGCTGCTCCCATGGGAGAGCTCTTGTTTCCCCACGTACGCAGAGTACCTTTGTAGCCTCGTCGTCCTCATTGTCCGCATTTCGCGATTGCCAGATACCCTTTGCCAAGCCATGTACATCATACAAGTGATGGCAGAAATCATGCGCGTTGTCAAAAGACCGTGGACAGCCACACAAGGGATCTGTAGCTGGCCATTTCATCCCCTGCAGATGAGTTTCCTTGATATGGTCCCGAAGTTTCTTGCTATGGCACCAATAACGAAGCCTTTTCTCCGCATCAAGAGACTCATCAAAGAGGCAACATGGACAATAACCCGGTCGGATGACAGTATAGCGGTAAATGATGACTTCGCAATGGAGCCTCCCCCAAGATAGCAAGTGTTTCTCACAGTGTTCTCGCCATTGGTGCTTTGTATGAAACCATTCCATACATTCGTAGCAGAATTCCATGTCGAACTTCCTCACTCCAAGCTGGGAAGCTTTATCGCGGCGGACGCATTCATGGATATGTCTACTCCGGCTGGATTTCGCCAGTCTGCACAAGTTAGCGATTAGTTTTCAATACCTGGAAATAGGTACTCACGAGTCAACGTCTTCCTGGCAGCTTTCAATCGGGCATTTGCCATTGATAGGTGCTTCATTCGGCAAGTATATTATGTCGTATTCCCGCGAGCACTGCCTTTGTAGGTCCTTCATGAAGAGGAGCTTCTCGTCAAATGACATAGGCTCTGTGGACGACATGATTGCCGCTAGGCGGCCGATTTCGGGCATAATAAGAGCAAGGGCACGTGTGCAAGCATTCTTTTCTGGGTCATTGGGTGATTTCTGCCCTCTTGACAAAACCGTCCAGTCTCTCCTGTCTCGAACCCATTGGGTCCGGTAGTTTGTAAGAGCTGAAAGGCGGAGGCGAATATGGGTATTCCTGTATTGTAATCTCTCGTAATTTCCCCTGTCTTTGTCGCCTATTGCATCTGCCAAGCCAATGTGGCTTTTTATTTCGGCAAGTTCATCGCTCTCCAGGACAGATTCTTCGATCCCAGCGGGCAGATGACTAGGCAAACCGGTTTCACGGTATTGCTCATGGCCTTGCCAGTATTCGATATGGCGATCGTCTCCCTTCTCATCAAGAACACAGTCGACAGTATTAATGGACGAGCAATGGGCAAGATAGCTCGTTGGGTAGGTTTTCCCATCTTTATGACCGTATAATTGTGAAACTAATGCTGAGCCGTATCGCCCTATGGAGAGTAAGTTTATGTCCGATGAAGTGTAGGATATCAGAAGGGCCTTACCATCAACCTTTTTTCCAAGTGCTCGGCGGATATCATGTATTGTGGGATCTTCCCAATACCCTGCTTTCCTGAAGAGCTGGCGAAGGAAATAATAGAACCTTTCTGTCGTCAACACCAGATCCTGAGCACCTTGCGCAGTCACGTTCCTGAATACAGGCTTTTCCTTCGCGTCATCCTTCCAGCGCAGGGGAATTTCATTCTTCCCTTCGGGGAACTGCTGTTGGGCCAAGTCTTCTATAGTGTTGATTCCGTAAATTGCGCCTTGGTCGATGGCGATGACGGCAAGAAGCAGTCCTGATGCAAATTGAGGCCTGCTGTCATCACGGATGCCTATGCCAAAGCTGTCGAGCGAGTTAGTGTTTGCGAAAAGAAAAGGAGGAATTGGCACATTTTAGGAACGAGGTAATTGACTTACACGGTGTACTCCGGGTTCCTATTTTTTTTGAGCCACTGTTCATTGACTCGCCACCCGATCTTCCATGGCTCGTCAGAAGAATCAGAACGAAATAAAACTAGGTCTATGTGCTGTTAGGTGTCAGTAGCCTGAAAGAACATGTGCATGGGTTGATGTACCTTATAACGAAGACCTCTCTGGTGTCGATGTTTATTTATGGGAATGAATGCCCCAACCCTTGCACCAGTGAAAAGATAAAGCTGTAGGGCGAACAAAAGGAAAACTTTCATTGTTCCGTGGATGAAGACAGGATCATCGACCGTCCACAGTGAAGATACGGCATGGAGGTAGTCTGTCTTGGTGAAATTGAATTTGCCTTTTTCCATGTTCACGATGACTTTCTCTTTGGTCAGAGTTGCTTTGATCCACTGTAAAATGGTCAGCCGCAAGCATCCAAAGCATTCGCAAAACGGACTATACTAACCCCATAAGTCTCTACACGGTCCTCTAGAGGAACCATGTTTCCAGTAGCTGTCTCAAAGCCACCGAAAAATCTCTCGGCGCATGCCAAAGTCGTGACCGCCGTGGGTCTTCCTTCTGGGTCGAGACGCCCTTTGGTAGAATGCGCATACCACCGAATAAATTCTTTGATCAGAGTGATTTCTGGTGCCAGGCATCCCTCTTCCAGCTCATAGCCTTCAGATACTCTTCCACTTTCAATCAGAAACCTAAGAAGTCAACAACACGGAAGTTGGGAAAAGCGTTGCGAGGCCACTCACTCGATCCAGAGCTCAACGTACTGCCGGTGAAGGGCTCTGGACTCATCTGTCCGCTTATGCTTACCACGTGTAGCATCATCCTCTCGGTGGGCTTCCGGTTGGAATCCAGTTTCTTTGCGTCTCACGCGGCGCCGTTCCCTTGCTAAATCGCAAGTCTGGAGCTTTATACCCATGATCCAGGGTTGGAAAGGAACGTTTATACACTGGGACAAATCATGAAGAGAATAAAAGAGGTAGTGAGCTGCAAGCCCTTGCGAAGTAATTGTGGTTGACTACCCATGGGGATTTCGCTGTATTTATAGCTCGGCTGGATGTTAAGTACGACATACAAGCCATCCCAGCCATAGCAGGGATTGGGCGAAAGGCACAAGCCATGTAATTTCACACATCATCATCTTTCAGAGGGCATACGAGTGAATAACTTCCTGGGAGCAGGGGCTATCAACAGAAAAAGGATGGTCAATGTTAGGTGGATTTTTAGTTGCTGGCGCTAGCATCACAGAATAGATGGCTAATAAATGATCCACATGTCACGTGGTTAATTTGTTCTATCTCTGCCTTTATTTTCAGGCCGAGAGTGTGCACTCAGGTCGTGCTCACTGAGCATACCCTGAGTGCTCACTGAGCAGACCCTGAGTGCTCACTGAGCATACCCTGAGTGCTCACTGAGCAGACCCTGAGTGCTCACTGAGCATACCCTGAGGGCTCACTGAGCAGACCCTGAGTGCTCACTGAGCAGACCCTGAGTGCTCACTGAGCATACCCTGAGTGCTCACTGAGCAGACCCTGAGTGCTCACTGAGCATACCCTGAATGCTCACTGAGCAGACCCTGAGTGCTCACTGAGCAGACCCTGGAGTGCTCACCGAGCAGACCCTGAGTGCTCACCGAGCATAACCTGACTGCTCACTGAGCATAACCTGAGCATTATTTTGACATTACTAAGCATACCTCGAGTGGCACTGACTAATCACCCTGTGCTGTGAAATACTCAGTGAGCATGACCCTGAGCCCCCTCATAAAGCGGCGGCACCCCGATCGGGAAATGCGCATCCGCGGCCTAAAATCTGGTACATACAGGTACATATAGCGTGTTCATCTCTATGTTTTCCAAATGCAAAAAATAGAACTCTGTTTATTTAACTGTGCAATACTTGCATACAACCGATCAGATAGTATTTTTAACTAATCAAGTAGTATATGAGATATACATTCAGTGGACGGAAATCGTGGTAAATCTTGGGATAAGTATTATCCCATGATCTTTTGATTCGTGGGATTATCAACGTGAAATAAAATCGTAGACTATTGTTTGTAAACCGATTATATGGTAGTTGTAACAAACTAAGTAATATCTTAGATACGAAAATACAAAATCAATTTTTGTTTAATTCAGCAAATGATTCAGGTTGGGGAAATGGTGGTAAATCTTAGGATAGATGTCATCCTATGATCTTTTGGATCCTGAGATTATCAAAGTGGACGAAAATCGTGGTGTTTCTTAAGATACCGGTAGTCTGACGGGCGCTTGATTCATAGGAAATCGCCGAGAGTTACTAAAGGATCGCGACATTTCTTACAACAGCAATTGTCGTATGATCTCGCGGTTCGTAAGAGAATCAGAGCTCGTGGAAACCGTGGTCTTTCCTGTGATAGCGATAATCAAAGGACCCTCGGGTTCACGAGAAGACCAGATTTTACAGAAACCGTGGTTTTTCCTATGATACAGATAGTCGGATGATCGTTTGGTTCGTAGGAGCTTAAAGCGCGCGGAAACCGTGGTGTTTCCTACGATCTACCTAGTCCAACGATGTCTAGGCTCCCCCGAAGGGGCTTGGACTAAAAGGAAATCTGTGGTTTTTCCTATGATAGAGATGATCAGAAGACCCCGGCCTTCGCGAGAAGATTATAGTTCGCGGAAACCGTGGTTTTTCCTATGATGAAGAGAATCGGATGTTCTTTTGGTTCATGAGACACTACGGGCGCGTAAACCACCCAACTAATTGGTTCATTATTGTGCGGCCCATGAATAGCCAGTTTTTATGGGATTACCCAAACCACGACTTTGATCTATGGGAACCACGGCTTTTGCATTTCGAACTGAGATTTCTCATATCGTAGGATACCCCAGATACGTTGATGACCGGTTCTTAGTTGTCGCACAGCGCTATTCGATTGAGTGCTTGAGGTTTCGGCATGGCGACTAAAGATCTAGAGACTGCTCGCAAATTGACCGCTGCCCGCATCGGCTCTTTCAGAGTCAGAGAACTAGATCAACTTTTATTTGAGGGAAGTGACATTTATGGGTCTCGAGCCTTTAGACAGTCGCAAATTGATCGTCTTATTCATCGATTCGAGCATGAGGGGTGTCGCCGACTAGACCCTCTTACCTGGATCCCATGCGAAGTGTCTTATATGGACCTAGGCCACTTACTTGGTGAAGGCTCACCCGTCGGTTATTTCAAGGATTTAGAGCTACCACACAATCAGAAGCTATGTTGTTTCCAGGGGCAACACCGGATTGCTGCTGCGCTTCAATGGCTCGACCCAGGCGATTACTGGTGGGCTTTCGATCTATATGACACAGCGAAGTTGGACGATGGCTGTCGTAGGAGATTGCGCGAGTGTGATCAAAGCTCCCAGAGCTTTACAGACGGAGAGATCTTTCGCAATACTCGCCACTACCAGCAACGGGGAGAGAGAGAAGCCGCTGAGGAGTGGCTTGCAAAATGGTCACCAACCAAGTGTCGCGAATTCAACAGGATTTATCACCCCAAGGAAAACAAAGACGCTTTTCTCAATTTAGGGGAAAAGCTAGACTTACTTCTTCAATTCCCAGCGCTATGGAAGTCTTGGTTCATGGGGACACATACATGAAGACCTTAGACGAGACAATGTCCTTTGGAGTGAAGAGCTTGGGCGTGCTTTGATATCGACTTTCTCCGCTCTACTTTGAAATGTCGACCGACTCTGCAGCGACCGGGGCAGCAGAACGACGACTATGTCAAGTTGAGACAGGAGACGCAAAACATTTTCGTGTGTTGTGAGAAGGAAATCCACTTTCTACCTATTAAACTAGCTATCTTATTCTTGATACCTACATTTCCGTCGTCATCCATTTATTCCGAGGCGAAATGCGCTCCTTCTACATATGCTTCGGCGTCACCGAATCATGATGCGAGTCGGGCTTCCGAACTTGAGGCTTTTCCTAATGATATACCAGCGCTTGAAGGGTGAATGCAAGCACCTGGCCAATGCCTGTCCGATGGTGGCGCCACTCATCGTTCACCTGCACGTCTTGATTCGGGATACACAAGAATGTAGTATGCGATGGCTATTAAAATACAACCTCAAGACTGCCTCTCAAAGAACACGTAAACGCTTTGCATCTCCTGACTCGGTCCGCAACAATTGCCGCTTTGCTCGTGGTCGCTTTGGAACTGGCCGATACCTCAATGTAGATCGGTGAAAGTCGATGATTAACGCCCGCCCGAGCTCTTTATTCCAAAGGACATTGTCAGGCCGAAGGTCTTCGTGGACGATTCCCAAGGCTTTAATTTCCTTATTCGATTTGTGAATATGGTTGAGAAGCTCCGATGTCAGCTCCATCGTTGCGGTGCTATCGCCTCCCCAGCCCATGACGAGCATGTGCCGAATCTCCCCAGCCCCATGAAGAAAATAAATTTTTGCTAAGTCGATTGTACCGAGGAAAACAGGCACAGCGGATGCTTGAGCCTTTCGTAGGATTTGATATACCTGCGCTTCGCGGGAGACTTCTTTCCAGAGGCCCGATGTGGTCCCTTTCCCAACAACAACATAGCCATATTTAGCACAAATGAGTTTAAACGGCGCACCGTATGCCCCGCAATTTCCAAGGGGGATGCATCGGTCAATGTTCTCATCTAGTTGTGCTTTTAGTAAACGCATCAAATCCTCCGAGTTGATGGTGTGTTTGATGAAATCTTGACCCCGACGATGGAGCTTCACGTTTGGACAACAGTCGTCCAGGATACCTCCCGTCTGCAGCCCTAATAAACATCGCTGGGTGCAAAATTGTGTATTATGGCGTTTAGAATGGCTGCCTCGATCTCTCCCAGTTTCGCGTTGACGAGCCGCTCGTTGGGCGGAAGGGGAAGATGTGACTTGGCTGAAGCCCCGTTTGCGCCCGGTCGCTTGATTCGAGTCGGAGCCTGACGATTCTGGCGACTGCGTCCGGTGTCGGACGTCCGAGGGCGCACAACTGGCTTGAGACCTCGTGGGCACTCGGCGACCCGCTGTTGGAGATTCCAGTGGAGGCGATGATGGTTAGTAGTCTGAACCAGGTTCTGGACTTACATATTCGGAGTTGGTACTGTCGGAGTGCGGAGCGATTTGCTGTAAGACCTCCTTAGGGATCTGAGAACAAGTGTGGTCGAAGCTAGTGGTCCACAAAGGAAGCCGCGACTGTGCAGTATTTCTCCATTCCTGGTCACGAACTGGCGAACGGAACGCCATCAAACACAGACACAGAACCCCCGCGATGGAGGTCGTCGGAAACTTTGCTCGCTGTTGGGATCACAGAGAAAGTAGTACAGTGTGCTAGGATCGTTGTATGGAACGCGGAGAAGGACACGAGCGATCCCATTAGTGACATACGAGTACTCGAGTCCCTCCTGGATCATCACATGGTATTCCTGGACAAGAGCGGAGCACACGAGTCGCTCTGCATTGTATTTCAATTTCTCTGCGTGATCCGTCGTGATTTTGTTTGATCTGACCATGCATTTCCATAAGTCCATTTCCCTGAGCCCCACGCGAAGGGCTTCGACAGAAAGCTTGTGTGGCGGCTTGTATTCAACCGTAGTGAGGAGGGTGTTAGTGTTGCCGTCGACTCGGTGGATACAGAACTGATCGGGTCGGGGGTGATGTATGCCTGATGGTTGGTTTGCATTTGCCTCGTTACCGCCGCGTGGATTGAAAGAGTTGGTGTGATTGTCGAACCAGATTCCGTCTCCAAGTCCGAACTCGTCTCGAGCAGCGTCGATTTTGCATAGCTCTACAATTATATCACGGACATGATCTTCCACGGCGGTTCGTTCGTAGTCCTCGAGACCTTGTTCACTGCTAATTGGACGGAGACCGAATCGTCTGGCATCCTCTTCAAGCGCAATCAAGGGGGTAAACAATCGTGCTCCGGCTTCCTCGGTTGGCTGGAGGTAATTGCACACAGAGCTGTATATTTTCTGCTGTTGGGCTGAACAATCGGTCCATAGTGCTAGTCGTGTGGGACAGTATTTTCCGGTGGGAGGAGGTATGCTCCCTGTAGTGGAGCGAGATGGTGTTTCGACTCTCAACGGTAGGGAAAGTAAGCTGTGGCAGAAGCGTAAGAGTTCTGCAAATGTCGTTCGTCGGTTGCGCTCTCTTTGCTGCTTCTCTCGCTCTTCGGCTTGCTTCTCTCGCTCTTCGGCCTGCTTCCGTCTCTCCTCTTCCTGTCTCTGATGCTCTTCGGCCTGCAAGAAGAGTCTCTTGTAATCGGTGGGGCTGGTATTAGCCATTAGGTTGTCGAAATGGAGATAGGGATTAGGATTGCCAGTGCTTGAGCTAGCTTATCAGCTGACCTAGCTTTCGGCGAAAGTATTATCCGAAGCCCATGTCCGCGTTCGGATCATAAACCATCATTGAATCTCCCTTCCCGGTAATTTCCCTATCGTAAGGCGTTGGTCGGAATAGTATACATGCTATTGTGAAGAGAGGCATGTTTATTTGGCAATGCTTTCTACAGAGAAAATTCTGGTCTTGATGATCGGTTGGGGCTTGTACCATTTGACTAGCTGAGGTGCTTGGACTTATAGTCTTAACCCGAACTTATACCCTTCTATTTCTCTATTTGGGTTTGTATAATTGTTTCCACTCAACTTCGATCATGTCGGATAGTGCAAGAGAGCAGATGAATCTCAACAGTCCCCCACCACCACCCGAAATTCCTGGCTCGAAAATCTCCAGTTACGTCTTAAAACTCAGAACCGCCCCTTCGGATTACTTCTTCCAAGCACCAAACCCACCCCAGTACGTGGACCTGTTCGACGCACCTACTGGGCCCTATTTCTTCTATGGCACGTTGACCGACCCGTCCATGGTTCGTGAAATTTTGGGGTTGGAAAATGAGCCCGAGCTGCGCCCAGCACGTTTATCGGGCTATAAGTGCAAGTTGTGGGGGCAATACCCTGCACTGTTGGACGCTCCAGACTCCGTGGTCGAGGGCACAGTGTATCATGTTAAAACGGTTGAACATGGGGAGAGGCTTGCGGCATATGAAACAAAAAACTACCAAGCTGGCCCTTGTCGCATCCGCTATACTGATGGGAAGGAGCCTGCGGACGACGTGGGGTATACATTCAAGTTCAAAGGGGATCAGAATGAATTGAGCGATGGAACATTTGACCTGAGGGTCTGGTTGGAAAGAATGGGAAGGTGGCTGCGGTGAAAAACCTCGATGCGAAGAAAAGCATAATGTAAGGTGGATAATACATTAAATTCTGTCGAAATGGCAATATTGTCCCTGTTCAGTGGTCAACACTGAATGGAACAGCTATTCAACTGGACAAGGCGCCAGAAGAGCTATTGTGGAGCATATATATCTTGAATCCGACTTGAACTATGGTGGTCCCTTACAATAAACCATATCAACCATGCTAGCGACTGACTGGCATCTTTGATGGATTAATTTTTGTAGCGCAGGTTATGAAGCTCCAGAGAATACCACAACGATGTGACTATTACTAACGGACTGCACGACTGCGCATCGTCTGCGCGTAGTGCTATCACCCTGGGTTGATTGAGCTCTGCTTGCCAGTCATTCTACGGACAGAAGACGAAACGCGCAGGACGGAGCATCACGGAGACAAACGCCCTCTTCATTATCTCCAGTCAGAATGACGCTGCTGTTGCAGGAATAAACCGTATTTTATCCGTTCATCTCATCCTCTATGCCAATCAATCGCGAAGCCAACGAGGATTTCGGTCACAAGGCTCCTTTGATGACAGGGGTGGGGACTGCGCAGATCTCGAAAGATGCGTGCGACCGCGTCCCCGAGATCATACCACAACGATGCTGCTATTCCTGGAGAACTGCCTGTCTGCGCATCATCTGCACCCAGTGTCACTATCACTGATTTGAAGGGGCTCTGCTAGCCAGTCGTTCCATGGTTCGAGACAGAACACAAAACGCGTAAAACTGGACCAGCACGGAGACACATGCCCCCTCCATCTCCAGCCCGCATGATAGGTTCCTTGTCCTTCTATCTCGTCCTCTATGCCAATCACTAATGGAACCAAGTAATGCGGTCACAAGGCGCCTTGATGATATGGGGACGTAGATATCTGGAATAGATTGCGCGATACACTGGTGTAAATCGAGGGGAGAGGATGTTTGCGCGCCGCCTAGGGCGTCGCCCCGCCGCTTTGTGGATCCGAAAGCCGTCCTGGGCCCCGATATGACCGCCGTGAACTATTACAGTCATCGTAAAAAAAAAAAAACTGTCCCTATTTTGTCACTTAACTGCGCTGACTGAGCAAGAACCGACTGACGCGACTCACGGCTGAGACAGTCTGATCAGCCTATTAAACCGAGTAATCCGATCCGGTCATCTTCGGTTTTAGATTGAGGCGAGCGCTATCAGCCAGGGTCGACAAGGCTCTCGCGCGGTGTGTCGGCCCTAAGGCAGATTTGCAGTCCCGCTGCGCAGGGATGATTATCCTGAAAGAGTGTAGGGCGAATGCGCCTGCATGCGCGGAAGCCAAATATAGGTCGGCCCATTGACACCTGACGCCATGGTCGGGCCTGAGAAGGAAAACAGGGCCGGAGGAGGGAGGGCAGTTCGAATTGCAGACGCGGGGTCGCAGAGGAGCCGACGAGTCAGTCAGACATGGAAAAGGGGGTGGCGGAGCTCAGGAGCTCGGTGATCCGGGTCAATGGCAAAAATGCCTCACCTGCGAGGCGTAGGAGAAAGAAGGCGAAAAAGAAATTTGGGGCTGTTGGATGGAGGGGGGAAGAGCAGGGGACTATATAGAACCACGCACGGAGAGGCATAAGGACAAAGGGCGCTAAACCTAAGGGGTCAAGACTAAGCCTAAGAGAGTAATTCGCTGTCCCCCTCCGATATGGTGTAGTGGCTAACATCGCCGTCTCTCACACGGCAGCCGGGGGTTCGATTCCCCCTATCGGAGTTTTCTTTTTACTTTACTTACATTTTTGGTTCGTAGAGATCAATCAAGTGCCTAGAGGTAAGAACCTTAACTAACTAGTTAGTACCTAGGATAGTCATATTTAGGTTCATCATGGCCTTGATCATAGATAGCAAATCGGGGTACGTTGGAAGGTACCAATCAGCAATACCCTACCTGTGATACTTTAGCTCAAATGGAATACACAAGTTCTGACCTACCTTGGTATGGATTGGATATATGTAACAGCCTAACCAGGACATCCATTGAAACCTAGGTTGGAACTCAACTGATCAATCCATTCCAATAGGTATTCTCCCGATCCTCGGGCAGTACCTACCTAGTACCTAGCCTCTTATCTAGCTCGCCATTATCGCTACCGCCACTACTATCACCTCGGTCGCCATTGTCGGAGGAGCAAATCTATACTGCACAGCGGACGGTCGATCTCGTCAGTCAAGGATGGCAGCCCGTTGGCCGCACGGACATATATGATCTTCTCGAAGTAGCCCTTGGCAAAGATCAGATCAACCTTCTCTAGCATGCGACTACCCTGGGCTGCACTCCGGGCAGAATAAGAAGATCACAGGGAAGAAGCAGGTGTACACAGTACCGATGAAGAGGTAGGCATTCAATGACGCATGGATTGAACAGCTCCATATGTGGAGATTGTAGAAATATGCATGCTGTTAGTGTTACCTCCCGTCGCCGGTCATCATGACCAAGGCTCCTAGCATGGTGGATCTACATCGGCTGAGCCAATCACCAAACACATTGCACCACCCAGAAGACAGCCTGCGAGTAAAGTTGGCTCTGCAGCTTGGGTCAGGGTTATCGAGGTTGGGATACGTAGCCCATAAATCGCAGTTGCAACACTCTACATTGTTAAATTGTCTCATGTGGCTGTGCACATCGTCGAAAGGATTTGTGTCGATGATACTACTCATGACGCCCTCTGGACGAATCGACCCGCCAGCACCCAGTCGGATAGCATATAGATAGAACTCACGATCGTGACCAAACTGCAGAAATTTCATAGTTGCAGAGGTGGTGACGGCGCGCATCAGCCATCTGCCAGAAGGTCCGGGGAAGGCGATAAAACGTTAGGATGATACATGAAGACTGTGCCGAAGGAGCGTCTCGTGACGCAGCATATTGGCCTTGACAAGATCCAAGGTGAAGCGCAGTACGCTATGTTAGATGTGTGTGAGCCATGCCAGGACTAATTGAAGACATAAACAGCCGGCCGCTGATCAGAGACGTGGGAATCAAGACGCCGAGGAAGGAATCAATATTAGTCCAAGTTCGAATGTTGCAAACAACAATATCACACTCAAAGGGTGTCCAGAATGGCCAGCAGCCTATAACGGTAGGCGATCGGGTCCGTCGTGGCCCTCATCCTCATCCCCGTGCGACAACAGTCGATAGGGGCCAGTGGATCCCGCGCTGTGGCGAAGTCGACGGTGAACCGCCAGATATATGCCGCAAACAAGGCAGACAAAGATCACAAGCGCAATGGTCCCCAATGTCCACGAATTGATGGAAGAATTCTCCGACGAGGATGCTGGTGGTCGCTGAAGTATCTCCGTTACACCGAGATTGCCCCCATTCGAATCGATTGCCCGAACACGGAAGAATGAATGAATTTCTGGGCTGAGGTGAATCTCAGTCTCGAAGCCGTCGCATGGGACCTGGTCAACAGCGGCGAAAACCATATTGGTGAGATTTTCACCGTTCCATGCCTCCAGTCGCCACTCTGCCACTTCAGTTGCACCGTTCCAGCTAACAAAGACACTATCTGACGTGAAGGCAGAATCGGGGGTTGTGAGAGGCTGGCCTACCCAGTGGAACTTGAAGACTCGGTAGGAGACGACGCGGCCAAAGGTAAAGAAAGCAGAAGCGCCAAAGTGGGCATTGCATAAAACATCGCCCTCTGGAGAGAACTCGGTGAACGCTGCAGAGTGACCCCAGCCCACGAGCACGTTCCCCGTGTCCAGTAGCTGCAAATTCCCCTGAGAAACGGCCATCATGTCGTCCGGGTGATAGAAAGACTGCACCAACTTTGCCTTCCGCGCTTCAGTGTCCAATTCAATGATAACCCCGCGGCTTACTGCAGAGGGATTGTCGTTATTGTTGGCTGCGTTGTCAAATAAGCTAAGGCGGCTGGGTCCTCGCCAGCGAGCATCATGCTGCCATGAAAAGTTTGTGGCAGCCCCGTGCGAAGCATCGGCAAAATCGTTTCGTTTCCCCCCCAGTGACCAAAGGACGTCGCCAGTGGTGCCATCGATGCATGCAACGGTATGAAGGTGGCGTATCGAGACCAAGTACCGGCCCTGATCATCCTTGTCCACACTGTTGATATGCGAGTGGTCATAGCCCGAGGTTCGTCCATAGCCGCTGTCTCCGATCGCAGCGTAACTATCGCTCGGGTTATAGTAGTTGGAGACGCGCCATTCAAACAACAGTTCTCCCGTCTCCAGGTTGACTTCCTGGAACACTCCATCGTACATCCACCCCAGTTCCGGGCCACCGATAGAGCTCAAGTCCATCGGGATGGGATCGTAAATCATCATTAGAGCTGTATCATTCGAAGTGATCTGGAAATCATGCAAATCGCCATCATACATGCCGATAGGCGACACCACATATTTCGGAGTATAGGTTGAATCAAGCTGTAATTGCACAAGGTAGTTAGCGAACCAGAAATGCAGTGTGGTAGCTCCAGGTTTGGCTTACCATATACCATGATCCTCGTCCATAGTTGTCATCCGTATCCCCTTGCCAGTAGGTGAGGTACTCCTCGCCTTTATACCGCTGCACTTTGAAATCTTGTGTGGTTCCCGAATTCCATTTCGTCCATACCAGATCCCCGGCGGAGTTCAAAATCATCGGTCCGGGGTGCGCAACCGAATCGCCTCGCGGTGCAAGGAAAGTATAGCGGGGGTCGCATTTTGCGGCAGGCGGAGTTATTTCGACGATTGGCGACTCTTGATCGAAGGAGAGGTAGTTTCGGTCCGGACCAAAGCCCTGACCTCCTAGGTCATACCAGCTGAGACCGGCACGCAGTCGCAATCTGATAAGTTGCGGGACTGCAAACAGATAGAATAGTGTCAGGGCTCCAATGGCGGCGAGAATCAGAGAGATGCATCGGAAGGATAGACACGTCTGCAGACGATTACTGCGAAGCCATGAGCTTACGCGAAGCACGCCAGAAGAAGTTCGCAGGAACATTAGCGCATCGCGGATGAATCAAGGTATTCGAGCACAGAGATGGCAGGGAATCTTGCGCTGCAGGTAGGCCCAGCCAAGGCCATGGTTTTTAGTATTTGCATCCTCTCCTGGATGGGTCACTCCGTTCCCGCTGTCTCCGTCTATCCGAAAGACTATTTGCTGTGACGAACGTTCGAGTCTTGGCTTCAAGGAGAGTGGAACTGAGTGTGCACACACGTGTGCTGATTCGGTCGCTGGCGGCATCTCCATAAGGATATCTTTGGCTGCCAAGGTTGCTGTGGGTCAAACTCCTTCTAAAGGGTTGCGCGTCGCGTCAACAAGCGATGGTAACGGCTAACGTTTAACCGGCGGCAATTATTGCTTCGTTGTTTGATTGAACCCGCCGTCGAATGGGAAGAAATGCTGTCTGGTCTCCTTGGAGGGAGGAACGCACTGCGACCCGCCACAGGTCATGACTTTCAGATGTGGCAGTGATATGTGGCTGGTTCACTCATGTGACATCCCATCCCAGCTAACCAGCTCCACCTATGCAGTACACAGTACAACATACAGCAACAACATACCTGTAGACTCGGTCAGTCTTGCAATACATACTGTGTAGGTAGAGTCATAGACTGGTTTACGCTTGGCCATGTGGACATGGTTCAACCTGCCCAGGTGGTTCATCACCTGTCGTCAATCGTTTCAAATGTTGTATGGACCCTCGTCCTCTTCTATTCAGGTCTACATGTAGACTGTAGATGATGCAGACACGAACCTACAACCCAAGACGCCACAAAAATCTACATCAAACAAGTCAGGGGCTGGAGACTTCTCTGCCTGTTGGCGTTAAAACCAAAGGCTTAGTCTCGTATATTCTGCCCCGGAAGTCAAAAACTAATTCTCCATCGCAATCCCGACTCTCGTCCATGGTCTTTCATTCAATAGGGAGTTTCTGCAGTTTTTTCTCCACTTTCCAGATGTAAGTGCATGTGCACCGATACTGCCGGCTATATCCTAGGCTAAACCCTATTAGGAAGGAGGCAGATCACGGGGTCCGGCCATTTGATCTAAACCTATTTGGGATGGCATCGGTATGGGTCGTACATGGCCTAATCCTAAAAGGGATAGATGGTGCTCGCGGTCGGAGGCTGCGGCGAAATATGAAGCGCTGGTTCGAGAAGGGGGCGATGGTTATATGATGGAGGTGGCATTGGCGAGGTTGAAGATAGGGAAAACTCGTGGAATTTGGTACAAAACCCAGAATTTTGCCTTGTTTGGGTCCATGATCAGATGAAAAAGGGCGATGCCTTAGTGAAGATATATATTTTGGAGATTACTAGGTGCGTAGAGCCCGACCTAGGGTTATCTATCACGTGGAACCCTCAGCTGCTGACATAGCCAATTTTTATTACCGTATGGCGGTGTCATATTTTACTGGCCATTCCTATTTGAGCGTGCATCTCCGTATGAATGTCAGATGCAAGGCATGCATATGAGATGCACGCTAAGAAATTTCCGCCTACCTAATTCGGAGGCGCTAACCCTAATTAGGCTGGATGCACATGCACTTACACAAAAAATGTCGGTGCAGAAACTCCCTAATACAAGGTTCCTTTGCACCTGAACCTCTCTGGCATTATGTTAGGGCCATAATCCAAGCCACTTGGTATATTGTCGAAATGTCGCATAGAAAGGTGGTAGGTCACTGGGCAAGGAGACAGGGGTGTGCATGGACTTCGTAGGTGGCTGCAGTAGTTTCTGATATGGCATGAGGCCCCGAACAATATTGAATTGAAGGAATTCAGTACGCTATGGAAAGGCGCAAACCTAATCGTTCTCATCCAAAGTATCGATTATTTGTGGAATTTGTGGACATCGATGTAGCGAAGTGAATTTGCAGTAATTGAATGTACTTCCACTTTCCACCGGCTTGTACGGAGTACCTGAGACTGAGTACTCCGTACAATGTACACAGTACTGTGTGCACGATTCTCTTCCGGCGGATTCCGGTTATTAGGCCAGCTTATTGGAGCCTTTTGGAGGTCTTTTGACAGGGGTTCGTGCGGGATGGTGTGAAGAAAATCCAAGAAATCCTGCCTATCAGCAGTGGGGCGTCGTTTCAAGCCAATCGATGCTAAGCTTACTTAAGAAGTGGAGACGCAATGAAATGAATTGTTTGACTATTTGGGGGACCGGACCAAATCCCGCTTAGCGGATACATTCTCCGGGGTACTTTTCTACTCTACTGTACCTACAGTAGTAGTACGGAGTACTTCCATGTAACGTAACTAGATGATACTATGCATACTTACATGCATGGCAGATCCTACCCTACATTAGGAAGGTTGATAAAACATTGTATACATAAGTGAAAAGGCACGAAAATCTCGTGACTCTCGTCGCGCACGTTCACAGATTAAACTTCTTCCAAGCTCCACTCGGTGGATGCCTCGTTTCCCGCCTTCATCTGTTCTTTCCCCTATGATTGGCACCTATCAATCGGCTTTGGGTTCGAATCTTCTCCTTTCCTTCTCTTCTTTCTCTGCTTGATATTACCTCAATTATGACGAGAAGTGTGGATAAGGAGATGATCTCTCAGGAAGTTGGGGTTGGCGCGACGACCCAGGATGACTGGGATATGCAGCGCCTGGGAAAGACCCAACAGCTCAAGGTATGTCGCGAACCATTGTTTTCGGGCCAAGACTGATCAGCGATAGAGGAATTTCCGTTTCTATTCCATTTTCGGATTGACGACGACGTTGATGGCAACATGGGAGTCGATTCTGCTGTAAGTTGGGACGCGCGACCGCGAGAAAAGGACGGGAATAATGGAGTATACGCAGCACGAGTACCTACGGTCTGATTGATGGCGGTCCGGCCGGCATGGTCTACGTCTATATTGCCTCGTTTGTGGGCTTCTTCTGCGCCGTGATTTCCATGGCCGAGATCGCCTCCATGTGAGTTTTGGAATCCAGGGACATGGTTGGAATATAGACTAACCGCTGGATAGCTCCCCAACGTCTGGTGGACAGTACCACTGGGTCAGTGAATTCGCCTGGCCGAAATACCAACGATTCCTCAGCTATCTTACCGGTTAGCCAATACCTCCTACCCACTCGGCGATACATTGCGCTAATTCAATCCTAGGATGGCTTTCGGTGCTGGGCTGGCAGGCCGCCTTTGCCAGTATCTGTTACCTTTGCGGTACTTTGATTCAAGGGCTGCTGGTTTATAACTACTCGGGTCCCGACGGTTGGCTGTACACCTACGAACGCTGGCACGGTACACTATTCACCATTGCCATCGCCGTCATCGGCACCGTGGTGAACACCTGGGGCTACAAAATCTTACCTCCCATGGAAGGCCTCATCCTCGCCATTCACATTTTTGGATTCGTTGCGGTCATGGTCATGATGTGGGTTATGTCTCCAGACCAGCCACAGGCATCTGGGGAGTCTGTCTGGAAGGAGTTCACCAACTCCGGCGGATGGTCGAGCATGGGCCTCGCCTGCTTGGTGGGCCAGTTGACACCAATTTTCTCTTGGACAGGCCCAGATGCCGCTACACATATGGGTAAGTCAAAGCGACACACCTTCGGCTATGAGTGCGTATGGCTAACATCTAGCAGCTGAGGAGGTTCAGAACGCTGCCTTAATTGTGCCCTGGTGCATGGTTTCGACCGCGTTGATCAATGGCTCCCTTGGTTTCATCATGTTGGTTACACTGCTGTACAACATGGGCAATATAGCAGATGTGCTGAACCCGGCGAGTGGATTCTCATTCATCCCGGCTGTCAATCACGCGACCGGCTCCGTCGCTGCCACCAATGGAGTGGCTGCTATTATTCTGATCATGGAAGTCTGCAGCGCCATTGGTATCTTGGCCACCGCCTCTCGCCAGACCTTCGCCTTCGCCCGTGATGATGCCCTGCCATTCTCTAAGCATCTGGCACACGTTAACCGCAACACCCAGATTCCCGTCTGTTCCGTGTTGGTGTCGACCATTATCACCGTACTGCTGAGCTTGATCAACATCGGCTCCACCGCCGCTTTCAACGCTGTCGCATCCGTCATGATCGCTGCTCTTTTCACCACTTATATCCTGCCGATTGCTGCCGTTATTCGGGTCCGTTTCGAACCATCTGGCATTCCTCCGTCGCGCTTCTCGCTGGGCGCGCTGGGACTGCCGATCAACGTGTTCTCTCTGGCTTGGCTCTGCTTTGCCATCATCTTCACCTTCTTCCCGACTGCCAACAACCCAACTCCGGTGGATATGAATTGGTCTATCCTTGTGTTCGGAGCTGTGGTGATCTTTGCAATTGTTTTGTACATTGTGCACGGCCGCCGAGTATACCGGGCCCCTGTGACCCAAGTTCGCAAGGTTGACTAAAGCCTCACATTCTTCCTCCTGACTATGTTCTTGATATTTTTGGATAAGTCTTGCAGCCTATCGGTTGGAAGCTTTGCGATTGCACACACAGTTCACATATTGGGAAAAGCGCCACCCCATCATTTTGCGTATGCATATATATGGCATTTAATAGATCTCTGGACATACTGATACTGAATGAGAATATGATACCCGCCGTTGAGTCTGACATTACTATATCGAGGTTAACAGACCATCGGACAATCAGGCTTTAGAATGGGAGGGGTGTGCCCTGTTCAGCCCGCCCTTTGACTTTGCAGCATCCGATCGAGTGTAGGAAGTACCATTCATGACGCAGCTTCGACACGGAAGTATCTTGTCACACTAGATCTCACGAGGTGTGCGTTTCGTACAAGCCAGGCGCTTTCGGTGAACTGAATTCGGCCCTCAGCGGAGTTGGCCCTCGTCGGATTGGTCACGGTTGACGCTTAACTAGGTAGGTGGACTGTTGCAATCTTGCTCCCATCAAAGAAGGACCTACATTATATCGGATACGTTCAAAGAAACAGATATCAAAAGCCTCCTATTATTTGTTAGCAGAAGGAGCCAAAATTGGGACCTCGGACCAGATACATCGACCGAGTCACTCCATACATCTCGATGCACAATCTCGAGGACCGTATCGACGGAAAAACGGATGAAGTCATCCAAGCCGCCCAGAGCATGGGCTTCTTCGCCTTGATCGAGCACGGTATCTCCAAAGCAAACGTCGAATCCATGTTTGACATGTTAAGGAGGTTCTTCGATCTGCCCGAAGATATTAAAGCAACCGTGCCATGGAATGCAAACAATGTAGGCTGGGAAAAGAACTCACAGATTCGTCTGTCTACCGGACAGCCCGACTACAAAGAGTCCTACCAGCTGCAGTTCGGTGAGGCCATGAATGACCACTGGGTCAAGTACGACGACCTGCCTGACTTTCGGGCTGTCTCGCTGGATTTCATGGATCGCGTGCGGCAAGTATCGGAATGTTTGATGCGGTGTTTCGCTCGCGGTTTGGGATTCCCGGAAAGGTTCATGATCGAGTGCCATGGTATAGCATGGCCGGACTCGCAGACCACTATGCGTCTACTGCATTACTTTGCGTTCCCGGAGGCGCCGGATGGCGGGGTTTATCATCGCGCTGGGGCACATGCTGATTGGGGCTATTTGGCCTTAGTCTTGCAGAAAGATGGGATTTGTCTTGGTCGCGAGGCTGTAAAGGATCTCGGCATTGATTTCGGCATCGGACACGGATGGACCAAAGTGGAGTACCGTGGAGGCTAGGACTGGAGAGATCGTGTGTAATATTGGTGAATTGCTTGGTTGCGATCGGATGACTGCTCAAGTCGACCTTTCATCGGGTTAAAATCGTCTGAAGAGCCCGGTGGCTATTTTGGTGACCGATACAGCATTGCTCACTTCAATCAGCATGCAAGGATTCTTGTATTCAGGGGCCAGTGAAGAAGTACCCGATGATGACCGGGGCTCAGTTTACCGAAAGCGGCATAAAATGAAGCCTCGTGGCTCTGCAACAGAGAACAGAGGCTGAAAGCGATCACTGCGGCAGAGCTTGATGGACAAGGCTTGGACATCTGATCTTCACTTGCGGTTTGTTAGGTGAGTTCCTGCAATGGGCTTGTGTGTTTCCGCATAGGGCTTCGGCAAAGGGCAGCGGGAGGCAAAACAGAGGAGAGTTACGGCCTGAGAAGACAGTAAGTCCGCGGTAGAAGTCAATGAACATATTATACTCCTATAAGTTTCCAAAGTCCCACCAAGTTGAGAACCCATCAATGTTCCCCAGACCGGATTCCGAATCTGGATATCCCAGGCTGTTCTCCATATCGACAAACTGCGAGGGATCCGCCCATAGCCAGGGTGTATTGGTCATTAAACTGTCTGCAGGGGCCAGGAGTTTCTCTGCAAGGTCCATGTCGGGAGAAGCGGGCGCGGAGGATACGCGCGGCATGGTTGGTGGCATGTGAGCAGCTAGTCCACCGTCCGCAGTATTCACAGTAACATTCGGGGATATTGCAACAATGACCTCCACAGTGGAGGCCGGGTTATCCTCCTCCTCTTCCGTAGAAACCGTTGGTGTCAATGAGGGATGTAATAAGCCGCCCGTGGACACTTCATGTGGTTTGGGCTTGCAGTTGACCTGAAGAACATCCCACATAAGAGGGATACTGAGATGAATTTTCTCGGGCTCCCAGTCGTAATCGATGTTTTCCGAACCAGACGCAATGCGAGTCATTTTGTCCAGTGTTTGATCCTGCGTCTCCGTCAGTATCGGCAGCAGCTAGTGACCCCACGAGACTCACCAAAATGTGACAAGCAGGAGAGAAGGATACAAAGCTCTTCAGGAACCTTCTGCATTTCGTGAAATCAACCTTGGATTTGTACTTCAATCGAGCGTCCGCAGCACAGCAGTAGTACAGATGTACTGTAGCAGCCATGGCCGCGACGTGTCCAAAAAATGGATCGATCAGTCGGAATTTCTTTTCAGTTATCATATCTATCAATCGAACAACCCATGTAGCGTGCAACAGCACTAACTCAGATGATCGTCTCCAGAATGTGTTCGGGATTGCTAGATTTTCGTTGTATTGCGATGCCACAATATAGAGGAAGGGGTGGTTCAAAACGGTCATAATGGAATGATACGTGAACTGAAGCTTCAACCACGGAGTCCAGTATTTCCGGTTGATTTTCAGTTGCTCTGCCGTCCGCTCGTAGAATTTAACGGAGTCATATCGATGACACTGGGAAAGCTTGTTCTCGATTTCTGTAAGGTCGGAAAGTATCATGGAGTACATGGAATCGTGTCGCCAGGGCTCTTTAAGTCTGTTCCGAGCACATTCGGAGACGTATCTTCGGACCCGGCTCCATACCCAGCCAAAGTGGGCCGCTAGACTCCAAATTCCTGTATCGGAGAATTTCGTGCAGCCAAGGTCATCTCTAGGTAGCGGTGGTGGGTTTATTTCAGTGCCATCTTGCGTTGCGCGGTCGCTCTGGGAGGTAACGAAGAATGTGCGCATCAATTCCGAGGGTACACAGAGATACCCATTTTGCTGCCCATAATATTGCTCCAAGCACTGTAGACTCCAGTATAGGCGCTTCTTTCGTTCGTTTATGGGACCTTCGCCGCCATAACTCGATTCGAGATCTAGGGTTGCTGACCGACAAAGATGCAGAGCGAGACCAAGATGGAAGCGGCCAAGATGTATGTTGCCATCTAAAATTAGGTCAGTATATATACACCATGGCGGCAGACGTCTTCAGCTGATGTTTGAGTACCGTACCGAGGAAAGAGGAATATGAAAGCAGGCAGAGACTCTCGATCGTTTCGAGCTCGACCGTGCCATTAGCCATGCGAAGCATGATCAGACTTCTGGCACTATCGCCATAGTGTCGTAGGTGATCGCGATCTCGGGAGAATCGAGAAGTCAAGGCGAGGAGAGAACAGACGAGCTCCTCTGACAGATAGCTCGGGTCTGCGATCTCTTCACGCTCGAAACACCAAATTGGTTGTCGATGGCAGTATTCGAAATAAAGGTCGATGGCTTTGGCGATCGCAGACGAGGAGGGATGGGATATCTGGTCTTCATAGCCAAGACCAAGGAACATCTGATCCTTGGTCGTGCCTGTCGGTTCGATGGATGGTCGCCGTTCTGTAGGGTATGATGTTTCTGGATTTCCATTGCCTTTCGCCTCTGGCAGCTGGTCTGATCGAATCGATTGGCTAGGTCTGGTGCCACTTAAAATGAGGTTTACCTTCTCTTCCAGAAATGCGAGCCTGTCGTCCTAAACAAACAAAAAGCAAGAGGTCAATGATCAGCCCTGGATAGCCACAGACCGACACCTACAGACTGCGCTCCTCTTGAACCTCTCGGTACTGATGTATAGAGGCACGTCTGATTTAATCGAACACAGCTGGAACAAGCCGGTTTCTCGGCCGGACATCGGATCTTCTTTCTCCTGTATGACATCAGATTGATACCTAGGAAAGAGCTGTGTGCATCTGCCCAGTAGTACCCTACCTGCAGTTGAGACAGGCTTCATGGGAACGCAGTCTGCCACGAGCATTCTCTCGTGAAGTCATCTTAAATTATGATGTAGGGAAGGGGCAAAGAGAATTTGGGGAAGGGCGCGAAGGGGATTGAGATTCGGCTGCGGGGTATGGACCAAAGCGCCCTAATAGTATAGTCATGGCCACCAAAAGATCAGGAGATAGTCAGTAGATAAGGTAATAAAAATGGAGCATAGTCGCATACTGGAGGGGCATAAATGCAATTTGGGCAAAATTGAATTTCTTATTCTTTCCTTCAGCGAATCAGCCCCCCCCCCGACCTTGGAATCTAGACTTAAGTCTGGGAGTTGAGCTTAAAAAGGTTAAATTATCCTGACCTCTGTGACCAGCGTCTTTCATATCTTTCTGAACGCACCTCCCAATTTTGGCGGATCACGTCCACCTACGACTACCAATAGCGAGTTAACTGGAGTGAGATGTTTGCTTGACTTGATGCTATTTATATCGATGCCTTAGGCTGCTTGATGCCAGCATCATCCGGCATCCAAGATAATAAGGTTGTAGCTCTCTGATTGGCCGGGATCTTAATCTAATGCGGGGCTGTCTCAAAAGGGACATGTAACATGTTCACATGACCTCGATGTCTTTTCTACTGCATTAAGCATATTTCGAGTCAGATGTCTTGTGATGGATATAGTCACATATGTACGGTAATCATGACCAAGTACAAAGCTTCAATTCGTAAATAAATAAGCTAAATGATGGCGCGTGATATGTATGCATAAAGGCGAGAACAAACATGACATGAAAGACTCAAGAATACCTATATCAACCCTGGAAACCATAAATCGTACTCCAATCTGCGGACCAAGCGTCGCCTAATACACCCTCGTCTCGGGGGCAGTCGCTGGCTGAGTTGGAGGTCCACCGCCACACCCTCCACCGCAACAACCGGCCTTGGCAGCCGATTCATTGCTGGTCAGCTTAGAGCAGAAGTCCATGTCCTCTTTGCTGACTGCTGCTTCCAAGGGGAGCTTTTGTCGCGCAGGCCAGATTTCCTCCCCGGTATCTTCTTCCCGCTTCTGGTGCGCCACGATCAGATCATGGACGATGGCCTGGAAGGAGACCAAGCCCTTCTCCATATGGGGGTGGGGCTCGTCGCTAACAAAGACCCCCAGGTCGAGGTTTCTCTGAGTTTCGACGCAACGACCATGGACCTCGGTCATAAGGCGGTTGTGCACCTGGTTAATCAACTCGAAGTCCTCATCGCTAGAGCTCTTTCTGCGGTAGACTTCATACCGGGTTGAGCATGTGGTAGGACTGGTAGGAATAAATCGCTGCATTATGAATAAGTTCGGCCTACATATACGGTCAGCATTAACTGGACAGCAGAAGGTACAATGGACTCACAAGACGGTCATGGAAGCATTAGGGAAATAATAGGTCGTCGCACTCTTCAGGTCCTTGGCAATCTGATCGGGTGTCGACTTCGTACTGTAAACAACAGTGCTGGAGTAGTCGGCCAGTACCTTCCAGTTGTACTCTCCGGTCAGCTCCCAAGTGTGGTCGAAACTGTAGTCCTCCCAGCTGAAGTCCTTGAAGCACGACTGTAGACCAATCTCGGCAATGTCGTCTTCCCACGAGGTCTCAGGCTTTTCGCCAGCATCCAGGTTAAGCCAGATAAAGCCGTTGATGTCGATGTGAACATGTATCGGCAGGAGGCCGTTCTTGCTCTTGTCAAACCCTTCCACTTCCTGATAACCGGGCGCTTTAGCAAGCTTGCCATTGAGGCCGTAGGACCATCCATGATATTGGCAAGAGAAAATTCTAGACGTGCCACCTTCTTCGGTGACCACTGGGAAAGCCCGGTGTCGGCATACGTTGTGAAATGCGTTGATATTCCCCTCACGGTCTTTCACCAGGATGAAAGCGTAGCCGGCAATGTTGTAGCGGAGCCAGTCACCAGTTTTGGGGAATCGCAGCTTGTGTGTAGTAAGAAGCCACTTTCGAGAGAAGATCGCGCGTCGCTCGAGTTCATAGATGCCGTGCGAGGAATACCACGAGGCAGGCAACGTAGGGACATAAGATGCCTCCGTTTGCGTGGACATTCTGAATATCGTAGGACAAGTTCAAGGCGTGAAAGAAGGTAAATGAAGCCTAAGAGTTTCGTCTTTAATTTGTAGAACCTATCAGAAAATCATGGCACTGACGAGCGTGAGCTATATAGTACGACAGCTATCGTGATCATGAGCTCACACCTCCTATGCTGATGCCGGTTGTATAGATCTCCGCCGATCACAGGATCGGAGCGGAGCCTCAGCCGTTCATCGACCGATCCAATTAGCAGAATGATGTGTTAAGAGTCTGACAATCAGAGCGGACCGACGGCTGACGGGTGAGATTACCGCGCTTGGTGAAAGCCACTCGGATTATACAGTTCCTGACCCGGGCTTAATCTTGCAGTGACGATGAGGTCGAGGTGAAAGATAGAACAGAACAAGTCCAATTCTTGTCGGCTCCTCCTAGAGCGGAGAGCCTTAGAGGTGTCCAAGTCAATCATTTCCCCTATCATAATCTATAACTTACTACACTCGTATGACGATGCGTTGAACGGAAGATACGATGTCTGAAGGCCATTCCCCCGCACACGTCAATCCCAGCCGATCACATGACCGGTCCATCTTTGTCAACGGAATTCCGGCTTGAAGGCCCAAAGGAGTCTTGACTCCGGCATCATCTGCCGGCAACTCAAGATTATGTACGGCTTGAGCTTGCGTCGCAGGACGCAGCTGAGATCTCAGGTATATCCTGTCAGATTGGGGACCATGCAGGTAGACCAACTCAATTATGATGAGACACCTGTCGGACGCTAGAAGTAGCTTGTGATCAAACCTGTTCTGCCACCGGGATTTTGATTCCAAGACGGGACAATCTGTGCTCAATAAAACACTCGCGCCGCATGGGTGGAAGATGGGAGTCGACATCATCTCCTGAAGACCTAGGCAAGAACTAAGAAGCACATAGACACAGTCACACAATTCTGAGGAGAACACAATCTAACAATCAAAACATCAGTCAGGAAGAAAAAGAAGGGCGAGCAATCCAGCCTTTCGTCTTTCTCGTACCTATGTCCACGCTCATCCCCTGTCTGTATCACCCTGTTGACTCGAAAACATAAACATAGTCCGGACCTCGAGGCTACGTGTGCCTCAGCAGACTTCAATCACACCCATAATTACAATCCCGGCACATGACAGAATAGCCACCCGGACTAACTATCGATGCTTTGCACCTAGGTACGATGAGCGCAATCCTAACCTAGGATCGAGACCAGGCGCAAGAAGCCACCGCATGTCCGAAGTGAGATATTAGCCGAACCCTTCACCGAGCTGCAGTTGTACGTAGAAAAACTGACGGGATCAGCTTAGTTTGTCCATGGTTACAGTGACATTGGGGAATGTGATCAAACTACCCTGCAGCATGCAATCAACACCACCCAAAAGAACATACATTCAGAGGGCGTTATTTGTCCAATCTTTCAAGATTTCTATCTCCTGTGAGTACCTCTCGTTGAGACAGCCCTTAGCTTTGGGTAAGAAGTCTTTCGTTCAACAAGCGAATTGCGCAAATTAGGTATCGGATTGAAGGCTTCCTGTCATGTAATTGACAATCATTGGAAACTCCGGTTGCAGGTAGACTGGGAGATCATCGGCGATTTGGTATATTACCCAAAGTCACCATGCCCTTCTCTCAGTTGGAGAGTCTACGCTAAAGGGGAAGCACGACTGCGTGAGTTCTTAAGAAGTGCTTAAAGGTCAAAGAAAAAATATTTTTGAGTGTAGACCAGTCACTCGTAATGAATCAAAGATGTGTTCAGGGCTACGCAGGGCGTTGCTGAATTGTTGTTGCGAGACCCCACAGGAACAATGTTAAGATCCATGCCACGCTAAGTATTGTTCTATTTCATTGTACTCGACAGCTGAAAACAACAGAATTCCCGTGAACTTCTTTTCCCCTATGCTAGCTAATCACCGCCGCCATGGGACGGATTGTCATCGTCGGAGCAGGTAATTAACATTGAACGAGCTGATTGAATTTGGGCTAACTTCTTAGGGCTGTACGGTCTGATCGCAGCGAAGACATATCTGCAAGTTACTGGAGCTTATGATAGTGAAGACACAGCGAAAAGGATCGACGACAATATCGAAATTCCCACATGCTTTACGGAGCATACCGGAGCTTCTACACAAGACCCTTCTGAGACTCACCTTCTTGTGATTGACTCGGCCTCGGATATAGGAGGCACATGGGCTGAGGAGCGTCTCTATCCAAACTTATTCAGCCAGAACTCATATGGACTGTATGAGTTCAGTGACCTTCCTCTTTCCCGTGTGGTCCCCGAGGAAGATGGGAATGACACCAGAAACCAGTTCATTGCAGGCTGGAAGATCAACCGGTATCTTCGTGCGTGGGTGGAAAAATGGAGACTTGACAGATATATCCGATTGAATTGGACGGTAAGAGGCCCCAGTCTATGTCGAAGTCAATATTTCTGAAGCCTGCCTAGGTCAGAAGCATCAGCCGCCTGGAGAGCAAAGAGTGGAAGCTCGATATCAATATTGCTGGGAACCCATGCAGAAACATAACCGTTATTTGCGACAAATTGGTGTTGGCTACAGGACTCACCTCGGTGCCAAACATGCCGGATACCAACGCCTCATCAATGGCCTCAGATATTCCTGTACCAGTAATCCACGCCAAGGATGTCGGAATCTGGGCCCGGAAACACATGGGTTACGAGCCGCTGAAAGCAACCAAGTCCGAGGCTGTGAGCGCGCCAGTCAATGGTTCTCCCTACTCACAGTTGCGGTCGGTTGCAATATATGGCGGCGCAAAGTCATCCTTTGACCTAGTGCACTTCTTTGCAACTCTGCATCGAAATGACCCCAAGCTACGCCTTAGGTCAACACAAGACAGCCCAGTCCAGGTGCACTGGATTATCCGCGATCGAGGTGCCGGGCCCTCGTGGATGGTGCCTCCAACATCCACTCTTCCGAATGGCGACACTGTTGCAAGCGATAAGGCGGCGAGCACCCGGCTGCTCTCGCATCTCACCCCATGCTGCTACGAGATCCCCAAACGTCTATCTTTCGGTCCTTCGGGCAGTCCCCACTGGGAGGGCTCATGGCTAGCGCGGCTGTTCCATGGAAACCCACTAGGCCGATGGTGGATTCGTTCGTTTTGGCGATCAGTTGATAAAGGGCTAGAGGACACAGCACAATACGGGTCAGACGCGAAGATGGAAAAGCTCCGCCCAGAGAACAGGTGAGTTACCTGGGGCCCTTCGTTTCAATCAATCACTCATTGACTATTTCTAGTGTTGTATCCTGTGTATCTGGTATCGGCATCGCAAACCAAGGTGATCTTTGGGAGGCCATTAGACTGCCGCATGTCAATATTTATCGATCGGTCATCGCAGATATCGCGGCTGCAAGCGCAGATAAAACAGCGGATTCAGCCACCAGGGCTACGGTGCACTTGTCAGATGGTAGCCGCATCGATGCGCTTGACCTTGTCATTCACGCAACTGGCTATAAGCCGATAGTCCCAATTCGGTTTAGCCCTACGAGCCTCCGTCTGAAACTGGGGTTATCAGCCTTGGTAAGCTCGGTCTCGGGTGACAGGGAGAGCCACGGCGATTGTTTGATTTCGGCCGACTCGCCGGAGAGAATCGATGGGCCACTGGAGGAAACGAGGAACGCCCGCATCCAACACTGGGACGGTCTTGATCGTAAGTCTGAGGTTTTGATCAAGCAAACCTTGGACACTACAGGTTGCGCTCTCACAGATCGCAGTCCCCCATCATGGGCAACATCTCGCAAGTTGCTGCCGTACCGTCTATTCCGACGGATGGTGGCGCCCGAATTAGTGGCAGAGGGCGACCGCTCCTTTGCTACACTCGGCGTAATATTATCATCGACTATTGCTGTTATTGCAGAGGCCCAGGCTCTGTGGGTGGCGGCGTTTCTAACAGGCGGGCTCGACGCAGAGGACCTGAAATCACCCGCAGGCAAGGCTCTTTCTCTGGCGGATATTTCGTTGGAGACGATGGAGTCGGCTATCTCCGAGGATGTAGTTCTCGGCTCATTGACAGGAACTGGCCTCGAAGTTGACGCTATTCAGGTATGCTTTGAGAACCATGAATGGAGGGATACGTTCTAATCATCTTGTGCTAGTATAACGACATGCTCATGCGGGATTTGGGACTCAATCCATACCGGCTCGGAGGAGGTTTCTACACTGAATTAACTGGCGTGTACGGGCCTTCAGCTTATGCTGGGATTGTAGAAGAGTGGAGGAAGAGTCGAGGGATGGCTCAGGGGCAGCAGTAGTAGACTAGTAGTCTTTTTGTTCTCTCGGGGCAACAACCCACATATCGACGATCGTGTGTAAACCTGCCTGTCATTAATCAAATGAATACGAACTCATTGACCGGAGTCTAACTCGTGCGTTCATGTTATAACCATCAGTGCAGTGCGAGAGTGGCCTTCGCCCAGCTCAACACAGGCGTGGACGGGTCCGTCCACGTTGCCTCAGTTTCCTTAGCCGTCCCCCTGCAAAAGGCGGTGGCTTTGGCTATCCACCGCCTGCTATTTCCAGCAATGCTGACTAAGCCTTTTGGGGGCCTGACGCAACCTGATTGGGTTTGGCGCGCCAAAAATCTGGCATAATTCTGGATCATGTGATCTGGTGACCGTGTTTTTACACCTTCCTAAATCGACGGGTCTTGGCATCGCCGCATCTTCGCAACTGGGAACCCAGCACATTGTCTCTTCATAGTGGCCGCCAAAGCACATCAAGAGCCCATTCACTCTGCCGCCATGTTGCCATTGTGGTAAGGACTGTGCTGGATCTTGGTCTTGTGATCGCTCGGAGTCGGCGCTTGGAGTACGCCATTTTGAAGAGCATACATCGCAGCTCCTCTTGTGATGCTAAGATCCCGGATTATGGCAACATCCATTGTTGCCTCAGCCCAGAGCGCCCAATGGGGAAGGGGGGCAAATTGGGGGCATGGCATTGGAAGTTTCAAATGAGGTGTGTGAATGCGAAGCGCGTGCAACTGAGCCGAGTCATTCGTGGTGAAATTGATCAGGGGCGACAGTCCGACTGCTTCTCCAGATCACAAAGAGGCAAGTTGAATCATTATCGGAGCGACATCGCTGTAGCCTAGGATTCAGAGATCAGAACGAATGGAGCATACATAGTCGAAAAGATCCAGCGGTTGAAGTTTGGGCGGAAGTGCGGAGATCAGCCACACACCACTGGGGCACTTCCTCTTCACTTTACTCTACATACTGTTGCCTTGCAAGAGTCATTCAATGAATCATACAGCACTTATATTTGTGTCCTTTTCTCGATGGAGACTTGTACAAACTGCGACTTTATCCAACTTCATCCTTAAAACCATGGACATCGACAGGCGGATGTACATAAAGCAATCCTGCACTTCGACCACAACCCCCAAAGGTCAGACCAAATGGTAATCACATTTTGATCTCCTTTGCAAGGTCGATCATAACGGAAAAATGGGTCTTGCTCCCGACTGCTGTTGGTCATATCCCCTGAAACTTGCAGGAGCTCTAGACGCAAGGGATAGCAGGGCAGAAAAAGACAGATGGCATCTCCTTGCAGGAAGGGCCCTCGACCTTCTACTTCCAGCTCAGCACTGTCGACTGCTTCGTTTCACCAGATCTACACAGTACTGCCATTGGAGCTCTTTGTGATATCTGCGTCATCATGTACGGTCTAAAACAATTGTCGCTTCTGAGCCTGATGCTTCTCTCTGCGTCGGCGGCAAAGGATCCCAAGCGGACTCTTGTGCGCATATTCTCCCCGATCGAAAGCTCTATTGCTAATCAGACCATGTAGGTGGGAATTGAAACTGCCGAAAAGAGCCGTGGTATTGATGTACCACTGAATGACTGCCATCCCATTGAGGAAGAGTGAGTTCAATGTCCACCTACCCAACATTTAGCTGCCTCGCTGTGCCGAAACTAACAGGTCACAGAGATGTACTCACAGTCTCTCTGAAAAAACCATGTCGCTTGTTCACGTAAGTCCAGTTAGCAGCCCTGGTTTTACGGGAATCACACTAACAATGAGACAGTGGCCCTGACTGCACCGGCCACAACACATTCCTAAGTCCCGGCGAACACTCTTCGGGCAAGGACCCAATTCCCGTCATCGAGTCGATATTTTGCCAGGCATCTTTCTGAAGAAACACAACGATAATTGCAAGGTTCGGGGGTTGGTGCATGCCTCTCTCTGGCTTGAAGTGGTACACAGTAAATAGTATCAAATCAAGCCATTCTTTCAAAACATGCTTTCTTCCATGCTATTCGCGATCCTCCGACGGTCTGAGGCTAAATTGGTATATAGTAGGTTAGAGCCGCACTATCTCATGGACGTACGATGAAGACTGCCGGCACTTTCTGAACGACCTAGGACCGAACATAAATTGTGGGAGAATATCAGGAGTGGGAAACTAACCATAGGTTCGCGGACTGTGTGGAGGAGAACTTTTTCCATGGCGTTACTGTCATCTCTAAAGCCAATCACGCTATGAAGCCTCATGGTCATCTGCCACCAAAATCTTGATACTACCGCCATGGGGATCAGCACTAGGGTGGAGCGCATCTCGCGCCTTCCTAAGAGGGAAGACATGCGAGAAAAGCTTCTTCATATACAAAACTCTACCCCTGAGGCCGGCGATTGCCGTGGGCCATGTGTCACAATAGCGACGTCAATTGATTCGAGATTGTGGTCTGCGGTCACCTGCAATGAGGGATTTGGATGCGAGACGTTGAGGGGGCACGGTTGCCCACTTGGGAATTTACGGTGACCGAAGCCCTTCTTTGATCGAGTACTAAATAGTCATTTTGGCCGAAGGCATGAGCACAAGAAGTCTGGCCGGCGGCTGTGGTGTGATGAGGTGGCAGACGGATGCGTTGATATGGAAGCCATTGTTCATGCTTTTGTGAACACGGTCGCGCATCGATGGCGCTGTCGGTGCTAACAGTATTGCCGATATGAAGGCTGCTTGCAGTTTCAACCTGGCGGAGCACTTTCCTGTTGGGGAATCCGTGCGCCAGCCGTCAGTTCTTGCAAAATTCCTATATTGAGAGCAGTGGGTGCAATGTGCATAAGCGAGTGAAGCTAGTGAGCACGTACACTCTCAATGGCCTAGTGTAGGTGCCGAGTTCCAGACGCGTGTTTAGCGAGCTTGCCGCCAACTGGCAAGCCTTCCGTCAACTGGCAAGTCCATCCCTACCAAATGCCCCAATAATTCCACTGCAACCTACATGTGCCTCGTCTGATCTGGTGTTTGATGCTATGGACAAGGCATTCAATTTTTCATGGTTCCATTGGTACTGCAGATCTATCGCCTTCGGTCACCACCATCCTTGGAACATTCATGTGTCTCCTGTCCAGTCCAGCTCTGAGAACACAGATTTGTTGGACCGTTGATCCTAAGTATTGTTTTGAATCAAAGCACACCTACCTTATAAACCTCCATCCTTAAGAGAATGTAAAATCGAGCACCAGCATGAAGGCGACACGTTTTTACTCTGTTGATTCGTCCAAAGGGCTCAGCGGCACGAGAGTTATTCCGGGCAATGTCGGTACCTCCATAATGGGGCATCAATCCACCAGAAATCCAGAAGCAAATTTCAAGTATTCCAAGTCTATCAACGACTAACGTTGCCCAAATGGCGCATTCTCCAATTTGTAGTATGTCTAATGAGAGCCTACCTTGCTCCTGTATATCAGGCGACTCGGAATTCGCCTTCTTCGTCGGCGTCGTGCGATTTGTCTGCCTCGATCACACGGGCTGCAACTACTTGAACTTCGTGGTTCACCGCTGACTTTACCCCTCAGACTACCTCCATTCAAATCAATCAACCGGATTTGGAGGTGTGAGCTGGGGGGACAAAGGAAGATCAGCGAAGTCCAAGGTTCATGTAGGGCCCTAGAAGGGCGGTTCAAAACGAGCCATGATAGTCACAAGACTGATATCATTATCAAACTTATCAAATGATGAGCACGCGAGTTTGACCTGCATGACACATTCGAGTTTCATGTTGGGGACTGCGATATGCAGATATGAAAATCAAGTCACGACGAATGTGCGGTGACCATGAAGTTAAAGCTCTGATGTTGAAAGCGTTGGACCCGGAAAGAATAAAACAATTGAGACCGACTGAACCGAGCAAGTGCATGCGATGTCACTATGGATCATGTTGAAACGCCAAAATTGACGAGTGATGTGTTCTGAAACTTCCACGGGATATTCTCGCAGGCACAAAAACAGTTCCGCCCTGTTTGTAACTAACGATAGGGTCACAAAATGCCTCGATATCTGGGTCTAACATTCAAAGTCCCAAAATCAAGAGCATCTGATTTTGTTTCTTTTTTTTTCTTCGGAGACAGGGGGGTCGTATTGGCCAATGACAGTGAGATCGTGGCCCATGCACCGACGCGGGGGACGATCGACAGCGTGGACACTTTTGTCATGCGTGCATATGCGTGCACATGCGATGGAAGGGGTTTCTAAGAGGTTGAAAATGAGTAGAATGGGTGTATCAGAGAAATACTTATAGGCCGCCAAACTTCTCCAACCATGTCTCTCATCACCCTCGAAACAATATGACACGCGCTCTACTCCTCGCTGCCCTAAGTCTGGGCGCTGCGGCGCTACCCGCTTCATCGGGTATGAGCAACATCAAGAACATCGTGGTTCTAGTACAGGAAAACCTGTCTTTTGACCACTTTGCCGGTGGACTCGACTATGACTCCAGCATTGATGGCCCACAGAATCCTCAATTCTGTAATCCTGCCAATGTTTCCCTCTCAGATTCACATCAGGTCTGCGCCAAGCCAACGGCGAAGAATATCGCATCCGATGACCCAAATCACAGCATCGCGGGTGGCAACATGCAAGTCTACGGCTCCTACCACCCTGCCTCAGGAGCCCAAGCGTCTATGAATGGGTTCATCAGTGAGCAGCGTGCCTCCTACCCACATGATGACTTGGAACGGGCGTCCGAGGCGATCAGCTATTTCAAACCAGAGCACATCCCTGTCTTCAACACTATCGCCCAGAACTTTGTGTTGTTTGATCGCTGGTTTGCTTCAGTTCCTGGTCCCACAAACCCCAATCGGGCCTACCTGACCTCTGGCACCTCACACGGCCATGGCAAAAATGATGCCGAGTTCCTCAACTCCGAGCTGCCGCAGAAGTCCATTTTCGAGCAGTTATCAGACAAGGGCATCACTTGGAAGAATTATGAGAACTCCACCAAGTCGAATCCCCCGTTCTTGCCTGACTCCCTCTTCTACAGTTGGACTGCGAAACATGGCAAAGCAAATGTCGTTCCCATCTCTCAGTTCTATAGTGACGCCGAGGCTGGAGAACTCCCGCAATTCACTTGGATCAACCCAGAGTGCTGCTCTTACATGTCGATGCATCCCCCGTCCCCGATCAACATGGGCGAGAACTTCATCAAGAGCGTCTACGAGGCTGTGCGCAATTCTCCGCAGTGGAATGAGACCCTCTTCATTCTGACCTGGGATGAGCATGGCGGTTTTGCGGATCACGTTTCGCCTCCCTCTAATGTGCCCGCTGGGGACACTCTGACCTACACGGAGGACGCCAGGGATGGTGAACAGTATACCTTCCACTTTGATCGTCTGGGAGTTCGAGTTCCGACAGTATTGATCTCCCCCTGGGTTTCCAAGGGTTTCGTGCAGCACCAGCCTAGCGACGGCGAGGGGAATGAGTTTACACACACTTCTATCCTCAAATTTGTCTCCGAGCTTTGGGGACTAGATTCTCTATCTCCCCGAGTGGATTGGTCGCCTTCCTTCGGGAACTTGATCACAAACAAGTTCCGAAGTGATACTCCGGAGAAGCTGCCGCAAGGAGCGGACTTTTGAGTCTTCACATTAGCGTTCCCCTTTTGTCAATAGTCGCAGTTAAGATAACGAAGACCAACGAGTTGTCACTTAATACTGATATCTAGAAATAAGAACGATTCAACGTCTGAGCCTGTACGCAAGCTTCAGAGACATGATAAATAAATTCTGGTTGTAGTACATTCTTGGCGGAGCAGTGATCTGAAGATAAATGAGAGAAGCGAAAAGGGGTTTGAAGGCCTGAGGCACTAAGCCTCACCGAAAACAAGTTTCGTCCGTACTGCCAAGGCCATCACTGAACATCCGTTCAATCTCCTTACTGGCTTCGCCAATACTAACAGAAACAGAGAAAAGGGCCAACAGAATAGAATCAATGGCTCATCGATAACCCTTTCAATGTCTCCATTGTCCAGCAGGAAGGGGCTACTCAGCAACGCCCTAGTGGCGCCGGGGCCAGGTTCCGAGGCCGTGTTCTCGTTGCCTACCGACTACGTGCTACGCCCACTCGCTGATAAGCTTATTTTAAGCCAACTACGAGTCGCTTGAATGAAAACATAGGACATGGTCGCACAGAATACGTCAAGCTGTGAGGGATATCTGAATGCGCTTTGACTTCGGCCATTTCCTCAAACAACAGGTCTGGTTGAAACCGTCAATGAACAACAGGTTTGTGGAGAATTGATGGACACAAGTTCCATCAAATATGATGAAGGTGGAATCTCTGACATGCCCAGGAGATTAGGCCGTCTGACCCGAGAGTTAGACCCACGTTAGCTCCGGTGGCAGGAATGTTGCTCAACTTCTCCCCCGAAGGCTACGACATTGCGACCTTTTGTGAGCGACTAAACATACTGTAGCTTGTCCGCCTTTTGGCCGAACCTGCATCTGTATCTCTTGCTGTACCCGCGAGGGATGGATTAAGTGAGCATGGGTGTTGTGTCTCACAGCTATGCCCGTCGAGGCAAGAGTATATCGCACTGACCAGCCCTGCCAGCCAAGAAGCTTTATCTAGCAAGGGAAGGCCCTTCTCCTTCGAAGGCTGGCTCTGCCAATGACAGCTGAATACCTCTTATCAATAAGGAACTCCCCGAGCACACGAACTCTGCTATGCAGTGATCCCGATCAACATTCCATTTCCTATTCTAGTCGCTGAGCGGGGCGGTTTGTGCACACACTCTAGTCAGCCAAGCCTTGACAAGGCTGTTGACATTTCTCTCCGATCATTGTCGAAGCAGATCCCGCACTGAATCGGCACACTCTAAATCGGCAGCGACATATCGTTCACTCGGCCTGACCTCTGACGGAGTGATATCCCAGAAATTGTTCATTGAATGACGTATTGGATGGAAGTTGACCTGTGACCGATGGATCACTAAGGTCTAATCCAGTCAGACGCGTGCCATTTTGTGACTGACTATATCGGTATATATCCAGGGATTCGGTCACATTGCTGGCGCCAGAGTCTACCGGAATTCCAGGTATGTGCTTGCACCAGCTTCCTAGTACGCTAATTGGAAGGATTCGCGTCAAGGAGATTTATTTCGTCATGCAACTACCTAGCTAGCATCCACTAACTAGCTTATTTTATTTCCTTCTGTGTATCCTATATTTATCACCAAACAGCTGTGTCTGACATAAAACCTTTCAAAGGAGGGTCTTCCCGTGCCTTTCCAGAACACAACACTTTGCACTCGAGACAACACATCGTCGCAGAGTCGCGAGATTTCACATCATGGAGCCGAAGGAGTATTCCCTAAGTTTCACCAGCCGGAGCACATCATTCATGCCTTCCGACCAACAGTCCGACACCAGAATCATCCTGGACGATGAGAAGAAGTTACCTCCAGTTGATGGAGGTGCCCAAGCATGGCTATTTCTTATGGCTTCTGCAATGCTGGAAGCTCTAGTTTGGGGTACGTGAGCATCAGTGTTATCAGACATGCCTGGAGTGGTTTGGGACTGACCCTACATTTACGGATAGGTTATGCCTTCGCTTTCGGAATATTTCAAGACTACTATAGTACACACGAACCTTTCAAAGGATCAGGAAACATTGCTGTTATTGGTACTTGCGCCATGGTAAGTGGGTCTACTCATGAGTGTGTGCTTCTTTAGCTAATAGAACATACAGGGCATATCATACTTGTTTGCTCCGTTGGCAATCATCTCGATGATTCTAATTCCCAAAATTGCTCGCTGGGTGTCGACAATTGGAGTGGTGATCATGTGTCTGTCTCTGGGACTTAGTTCTTTATCCACCAATGTCACCCATCTTATATTGTCGCAGGGAATCGGATTTGGAGTTGGTGGCTGCTTTGCATACACTCCCACCATCCTTTTCATGTCTGAGTGGTTCGATAAACGAAAAGGTCTAGCTTTTGGTATTGTCTGGGTGGGTAACATACTCCTTGCACAACCCTCCATGATTGATTTTGTTGACGGTCGAACTGATCTATATCGTTAGGCCGGGTCGGGTTTGTCAGGCATCATCTTTCCACTTGCCATCCAGTGGCTTCTGGACCAGTATGGAATTGAAGCCACGCTCCAAGTATCAGCAGTGACATTGTTCATACTTTCTGTGCCTTTTCTCTACTTCCATCGACCGAGACTGCCGACAACAGAAATCGCGTATCATCGGCTCAACTTTCGTTTCTTGTACGACAAGGTGTTCATCATTTACCAGCTTGGAAACACCTTAGAAGCTGTTGGATTCTTCCTACCGACCATATACCTCCCGACGTACGCGCGCAGCATAGGCGCGAATGACTTCATGGCATCTCTCACCATTACATTGGTCAATTTGTTCACGGTGTTTGGCTCTGTCATCATGGGATTCCTTTCCGATCGATATCACATCACTACCTGCATCTTGATTTCGACTGTGGGTACCGTTCTTGCGGTCTTTTTTGTTTGGGGCTTTGCCATTAATATCCCTGCTCTCTACGTCTTTTGTGTCGCCTACGGGCTTCTTGCAGGTGGGTTTTCCTCCACATGGGCAGGTGTCTCTCATGAGGTGCAGAAAGCCAACCCATCCGCCGACGCGACTGTTATCTTCCCGTTCATGGAGACCGGACGTGGAATCGGGAATGTCGCAAGCGGTCCTCTAAGCGAAGCTCTGCTCAAAGCAGATAACTGGAGAGGGCATGCGCTTGGTGCATATGGAAGTGGCTATGGGACACTCGTTGTCTGTACTGGTGCAACTGCAGTAATGGGTGGAATCTGTGTGGTGGCACGGCAACTTCGGTGGATATAAGAAAAGGCGCCTGGGAACACATGTCTGATGTCTTTTATCATGTTGCCATTTTGCCATTGGTTGCCGATCAATGAAAATGCGGCGTGAAATACCTTCTTCCATGATTGGGCGAGATAGGATAAAGCTCCAGGCATTACGATTCTGTACGTTGAGCCACTTTTTGATTTCCTCTAAGATGAATGTTGGAGTATAACCCAAGCCAGATGTGCCCTGTATATACAAAGTATACCACCAAGTACGCCAATGTGACAGCTTGAAACTGAAAACGAAGTTTGAAGAGCCCCCCGGCCTGTCCTCCTACTTCGCGATCCAATCCCAGACCTTCCAGTACCATGGCTTTGGGGGATCGACTTCCTTTTCATAGTGCAAGCGACCAGTGACAATATCGGCATCGGCTGCACTAACAAATGACGGACGGACGATGAGTTTGTGTCCCAGATAGAGCACTGCGAAAACTATAGGGCAGATGTAGGCGACGAAGAAGTCGGACACTCGGAAGTGTGGGATGAATGAAGTGAAGCCTTGTGTGATGGCGATGAGGATGTTGAAAAAGAGACCATACCAAGCCAGATATGGTTGCATAACAGCTTTGTACGGGAGGGTATCACGAGAAATCCCACGGTGTGCCAGCACACGCATGAACGCGATATGACATGCGTTGATCGAACTCCAAGTCACAAAGCCTGCAACACTAGAAAGGTTGACGAGCCAAGTAAAGACTTGGCCAGCGTCATTGGACAGATTCATAAAACCTAACAAACCGAACAATGCAGTGAATGTCACACTGACGTAGGGAACACCGTGCTTGGTAACCCAACCGAAACACGGCGGCGCAAATCCCTCGTGTGCTAATCCAGTCAAGATTCGACTCCCACTATACACATTGGAGTTCGCGGCGGACAAGACAACGGATAAAAGCACGGCATTGATCAAGCTTGGGAGGACTTTGACTCCTGCTAAATCAGCTGCAATCACCATAGGGGAAGATGATGCATTGGTTGTGGCAGTGGTGAGGCGACTGTTATCATAGGGAACCACAAGCCCGATGAAGAAGATAGTCAGAACAAAGAAGAGGAGGATCCGAATGAATGTCTTGCGGATGGCTGACGGAACTGTCTTCTGTGGGTTTTCTGTTTCTCCTGCTGCCACACCCACAAGCTCTGTGCCCTGGTAGGAGAAGCCGGCTTGAATCAGGACAGCCCAGAATCCGACGAACTTCCCTATGCCTTCCGGTAGCGCATCGCTGTAATTGGCAAAGGCACCCGGGGAGCCCCAGTACTTGAAGCCTATGTAACCCTTCTCTCCCACGCCGGCATCGATGCAAATGGCAAAGAGGATGAAGCCGATGACAGTGACCACTTTGATGGTGGAGAACCAGAACTCCACCTCGCCGTAGAAATTGACGGGAAGAAAGTTCATAGCCGTGATAAGCACCCAGAACGCGCCGATGAAAATGGCAATGTTTAGACTAGGATCCCAATACTGGATGATTGTCCCGGTGGCAGTCAGTTCGACAGCAAATGTGGAGGCCCAATTGAACCAATAGATCCAGCCCATGGAGAATCCGAGACTTGGGTCGATCAAGCGAGCTGCATAGGATGTGAAGGCACCAGGGATTGGGATGTAAGTTGCGACTTCACCCAATGAGCTCATGACGGAATAGACGACGGAGCCGACGAATATGTAGGCAATCAACGCGCCTGCCGGGCCGGATTGTGCGATTGCAGTGCCGCTAGAAATGAACAGTCCTATACGTATTAGAAGCCGGAATCATCGAGTGGAGGACTTAGTGACATGTGAGTATACCTGTTCCAATAGTTCCGCCTGAAATAGAAAGTAAGTATACGCCGATTTCAAGGCTAATCAGAAAGTTAAGACTTGACGGGACATAAACGGACCAATTGCAATCATCTGTAGATGTCTGCTCTTTAGCTTGCGCTTCAACTCCCTCGGATTGGAGGTGCCAGGGTAGTTTTGCTCGGCATCAGGCTTCTTAGTATCTTGAAGGGCATTGCTTGACGTGTCGGAAACCACATCGACCGATGTCTTGGTGTCAGCGGGTACCGTCGAAGCATCGCCGCGAGGAGCCATGTCGGGTATGGCAGGCCACCGAGATGAGTATGTCGTATGCACACACACACCACAGAATTGAGAACGATGAGATCACAGTCCTCCCCGTAGTTGTTCAAGGGTAATGTTTATGTCTTCTGAAGAAGAGAAATTTTCTGCAGAGCTCTTACATGATTTCACGGGCTCGGTGGGGCTCCGAAAAGACGTGGAGACTCGGACCACGGAAGCCCCGTTTGATCTCTTAGGTAATAGTAAGGCTTTTTAAGGAAGGAGCAAATTTTGAAATAGGAAAGTCAAAAGTGCGACTGAGGTTGTTATCGAGGTCACCTTGGGGGCAGCTTTATCTGAGCGTCTTTGTACTTCGTATATAATGTACTGACAGAATGCATCAATGTAGCTATTTGCCTTTCAAATCAAGAGTTATATAGTATCTCGGCAAATGATATGCGCCTGTACAAGTAAGCTTTCATGTTATGACCACTAAAGATCCCATCCATGGATGTGATTCGCAGTCAAGAGAGGATTAACTTTTCGAAACAGAACGCCACCAAGTTAGTTACTGTAGTTAGTGGCCCCGTAAATCAGGCATTAAGGCACTAAGGCATTAAGGCGATACAGATACCCGAACTCCCAGGCCACGTGGATATTTCCACCACTCGTCCCCTTAACTATGACTTTCTCGCGACTTAACACGAATCGAGGTACAGGACCCTTCTGAAACACCCCATGTTTCATGCTTTGATATTACCTAGGGTACCTAGGTAGTAACATCATGTACGTACAGATATGCTACGTAACATGTTGATGTCGACTTGTGTCTCCATCTAAATGGCCTGGCTGAGAACCGAAGATTTTACGCGATGTGGTTGACTCGCTCAGGCCCTCAGGGGTCAGATCAGATTTTGGGCTTGGAACCCGCAGCAGCCTCCACGTCTTTCTTCTTTGGGCCTGCAAATCCGAATATGTATGCCCCGATCTTGCGCATTTGAATCTCTTCTGCGCCCTCGGTGATCCGATACCGACGGAAATGACGATAAACATGCTCGAAAGGATAGTGACGAGAATAGCCGTCACCCCCGTGAATCTGGCTAGTCAGTCATGTCCAGACAGGCTTATACATCTATACCCAACATACCTGAATTGCTCGGTCGGCAGCTTGACAGCATAGTCGGTTCGCCCAGAAGTTACACATGGCCACCTGGTCGGAAAGACGACGCTCAATCTCCACCCAAGGCGGACGCTGGGTGTTCGACGACTGGCATTCCGCCACGATACGATCCATCTCCCAGCTGGTCTTCAAGATAAACAGTCGCAGCATCTCCACCTGTGTCATTAGTTCGACGACCGGAAACTGAATCGCCTGGTTGTCAGCCAGCGATTTCCCTTCGCCCCAGATTTTCCGCGCGCGGGCTCGTTCTATGCTTCGGTCCAGGCAGTATCGTGCAGCCCCACAAGAGCTAGCCGCTTGACGAATTCTGTTCTCATGCACGAATGTTTGTGCGATGGCTAACCCCTGGTCGACCGATCCCAAAACCGCCGATTCGGGCACCCATACTTTATCCAGTTCCACTGTGGCGTGGTCGGTCGGCATGTTCAGCGTCCACTCATAGCTAGCGATGCGAACCCCTCTGGTTTCACGAGGAACTAAGAATGCAGTGATGCCTTGCGCCGACCCGGCTTGTCCCGAGGTCCGTGCAAAGATGAGAAAGTGTGTGCAGTGATGCGCCCCTGTTTGCCATTTCTTTGCCCCCGTGATTTCAAAACCCCCACGAGCTTGGTGCGCGGCAGTGGACATGAATGTGGCATCGCTTCCATGGTCGGGCTCAGTAAGACCAAACGTTGTTCGGAATTCCCCCCGCAGACGTGCCGGAATCAACGTGTTCCTTTGCTGTTCGTTGCCGAAGTGATGCAGCATCAACACATCCGGGAAATTTCCAACGATACTGTGCTCGTTCTGTAGATCATTGGCGAGTCCTAGACCGCCACCGTAGACAGGATTCGAGGACAAGTGATAGCGAATGGCTGACATCCACAAATTGGTATTGGGGTGCGACTGGCCCCCATAGACCTTTGGTAGGGCGAACCGATAGAAACCCGAAGCATCCGCCAGGGTGCGCGCCTTACCTGCCCATTAATCAGTCTTGATCATCAATAGGTTTTGCACAACTGACCTAAGAGCTCCTCCCATTCCCTCCGAGGATTTCCATGGTTCTCCCAGTCTGTTCGTGCATACTCACGACGGTGGTCGAAGAAGCGATTGTTGTCATCGGCGTGCTGCAAGGGCAAGATTGTCTTGTGAATGAAAGAATCAATCGATGATAAGTGAGCTTGGAGATCTGCTGGTAATTCAAAATTCATTTTGAGAATGTTATATGATGGCAATTACATTATGGTATGCTGAGTCCAATGAATGAGGAAGTATTTGTATGCGACCTTCTCGGCCTTCCCCGCATTCCAATGGACCTCGGCGGGAACGCTTCTCGGTTCATTTTCTATTGCTTTTAGTACTCTTTTTGAGAAGCTCATTTTCTCTTGTACGTGTGTTCTCGTTCGTAGTTGTGAAAAGTCCATTTAGGCTCCCAAGACAAGATGAATGAGGTATTTTTATGTATTTCTGGCCAAGCCGGACACAGTGTGTTCAGTGTTGCTAGCCAAGTGATAGTTACAGGCAGCAGCAGGAGACCTACAAAAAGCGAATATCGCAGTAAGATACAGTGATACTCGAAGATAGTATCATAGTAGATAACCTGATAACGTTACTTACAAGTTTGTGGATACTGATAGAAGTATAGAAATTGTAACATATCAGTGCAGCCACCGTGGTGTACGCATAGTGCGTGGGCGCATACGCAGGACATTCAAGGGAAAGCGGAGAAGGAAGTCATGTGAGGAAAAGGCCAGCAGAATGCCCAAAAGCACAAAAAGGGTAGCCAATCGGGGAAGGTACTAAAAACGGGCGGTCTGACATAAGAAATGTGTGACTTAGCGGCTTGGCGGTCCCCTCTCAGGGCCCACTTCGATGGAGCCTGTAGAAAGTCAGAAGTCAGAACCGCAGGAGTGGAAATACGAGGGCGGATGTGCGGAAGATATCTCCGTGCTCCGTACTCCGTACTGAGCTGGAGTGTAAGATGAATGACTTTTGAGTGTCGAAATGTGATGAGAAGGAGAACATTCAACACCCATCGAGTGACTGCTTGGCTGTCACATGATTGGAATACATATATCCAAGGGGCCCAAAGTGATAAGCCCCTCTTAATTCCAACCTTGGAAGAGTTCTTCCTCACGATCGGCGGTTGACTATTATTTGCCGATACGACTACGAGGTCGTGCCCTTCGGAGCTCATAGAGTCATAGGTGGTCATATCCCCCAAGGTTCGACTACAAAAACACGATGTTTCCCGTTCCAGAGGCATACAGAAGGACCTCGGGGTACAAACCTAGTACTGTACGTACGAAGCGCCATTTCCCGAAAGCTCCTTCGTCAATCGCGGCATGGTCAACAATGGCGTTGTGTGTGTGGGACTGTGGGTATTCTGACGTTTCCCACTAAACCAGAAAGGAATCTTGGCCTGACTTGAAGAGCAAAGATGTTGCCGAAACGCATCTCCACTTTGTCAAAAGTCTCAACGCTTTGTCCCCGCGAAATGCGACGACTACGAGGCCTTGAAGGTTCCACCCAGGCCCCGTGCCCTTGGATAAGATGTGGGACATGATCAATCCGGGCCACTCTTATGGAGTGAAATGTGGATGATCCTGAGCTCTGGACACACTATCCAGACCCACGACCAAGCTAGCGTCCGTATTATCAACCATCTCGGCTGCCACGACTGGGCCACAATAGGCGGAAATATGTTTCCTAATGCACGAGGCCCCAGGGGTTCTCACGTCTGCTTCCCCATCCAAAGAAGTACGACGCAGGGAGGTACCGACAGGCTGGATTCCAATCACGGTTGAACGTTTATTCGAACTAGTGGCATCATGGTCTTGTTCAAGGCACGGGGCGGAAAACCCGCAAGATAAAGAGGGCCGCCGCCACCGGAATCTAGAAGGAGAGAATTTGTGGCTTTTTCCAACCCCCCCAAGACACGTTGTTCTACTCTCTTCCAAACTGCAGAACATGGCATGGTGGAATCTTGTTGTCGCACAACCTATTGTGGCTCTTGGCGTGGTTGTAGTGACGTACGGGCTGTGGCTCACGGTACATCGGCTATGGCTTTCACCAATCGCTCATTTCCCAGGTCCGAAACTGGCCGCCCTGACGATGTGGTATGAGTACTACTACGACTCATACCTCAAAGGCCAATACACCTTTCGAATCGCGGAGATGCATAAAGAATACGGCCCGATCGTGAGAATCAGCCCTTATGAACTTCACATCAATGACCCAGAATACTATGAAGTGCTATACTCTCGAGACAAACCACGCAATAAATCATTACATTTGACTGGCATGTTTGGAGCCCCAGCTTCTGCGTTTGGCTCAGTCGATCACCGTCGCCATCGGATTCGCCGACAACCCATGAACCCATTCTTTTCTCAGCAGCGGATACGTGGATTGGAGCCTATGCTCCGAGGGATGGTCGATAAGCTGTGTACTGGCATGCGCAATTGGAAGGAGAGACATACACCGTTGCATATATACCATGCATTCAATGCCTACACGACAGATGTGGTTGTAGAGTACAGCATGGGTGAATCCTTCCACTACCTCGATGACCCCGATTTCACGCCGCAATGGTCGAAGACGATTGAGGCCATTGTAGAAGCTGGGATTCAGTTCAAACAGTTTCGCTGGGTTCTTGGCCTATTTGAACTGCTTCCACGATGGCTGGTTGTGAGCATCAATCCCCATATTGGTCCGGTAATTGAACAGAAAAGGGAAAGTCTGCGACTGGCAAAGGCGATTATCGGCGGCCAAAATAGCGCTGGGAGCTTGATGGATGAGAAAACTAGTGTGCCGAAAGGTACTCTGTTCCATGCACTGCTGGACAGCAAACTTCCCGAGGAGGAGAAGACTCCTGACCGCTTGAGCCAGGAGGTTTTCACCGTTATCTCGGCCGGTGGTGAAACGACTGCGAAGAATCTATCAACACTCACCTTCCATCTCCTCAACAACCCAGATAAGCTACAAAGACTACGAGAAGAGCTTATTCGGTTAGACCCGGATGGAACGGCGTCTTTGGTGGAGTACGAGAACATGCCATATCTGGTGAGTTATTGGCTCCTTCTTTCTTAGTCTATGCTATATCACAATATCTGACGGAATCGCAGACATCGGTTTTCCTAGAGGGTTTGAGGTATGTCATTTGATGTCTTTTGCAACCCCCTCAGCCAAACGATTATTCACTAATTGGAACCTTTTTGTAGAATTACCAATGCTGTTGCAACAAGGCTCCAACGTAGCTGTCCAGACCAAGTTATGACCTATAAGGACTGGATCATTCCTCCTGGGGTAAGGCCTCTTCATTCCCTGCTAACTTAGCTTTTATGTTTTGCCTTTTCAGGCTTTCCGTATTTTACTAACAGTATAAGTCAGACACCTGTTGGCATGACGAGCTTGTTGATGCATCACAATGAAGACATCTTTCCTGACTCGCAAAGTTTCATTCCCGAGCGATGGGTAGACCCAGAGCAGAGGAAACACCTCGAGAAGTATCTGGTTGCCTTTAGCAAAGGGTCAAGGCAATGTATCGGCATGCCGTATGTTAAGTTCCAGTGATTGCTCTCCTTTGATTATGCACTGACGCCTGATAATCAGCCTCGCCCGGGCGGAGATCCTTTTGGCGGTCGCCACAATTTTCCGGCAATTTGATATGGAGCTATACGAGACTACAGTCGATGACGTCCGAATCGTGCGAGACATGTTTAATGGTCTCCCACGAGCAGGCAGCCACGGCGTCCGCGTTATGATCAAGGATTGGAATAAACCTTAAAACGGACTCGGCTTCATCTCTGCCTTCGTGCTAGGCCTTGATCCAATCCTTGAGTGGGCTTCATGAAGTCACGGCTCAGGCGAGATTGCTTCCGGGGTTGAGTGTCTCTGGCAGCTTCTGCACTTCTACACATGGCAGCATTTCGGGCGTATAGCTTAGGCGCGGATCCGGGATGGAAGCGGCTGCCGTGTTAATTATAAATATCTGGATTTCGGACGGTATCTGTGCACGGAGGATCATAGCACATCGGGGATCACCCGTAGAGGTATCTACTTTTGGAGTATAATACATGGCATTCCATTTCGTCTTGATATGCTCGATCGACCAACTTCAGGCCCAGAATCCAGTGACGCACTGGCCATAAGCGCAGTCAGGCTATCAACCCCTTACTTTGCATTTTCGCCCCTCGATAGTCGAAAATGAAACTGTCACTGTATTCCAGGATGAAGCAGACCATGAAATGCAGGGAATCAAAGTAGATGTCAAACGTACACAGAACCGTCAAGCCGGAAGATTTTTCAGCTGGGGTCCCAGGATGGTCTTTAATTCCCCGAACTTCGATCTGGCCTCGGCCCAAAGACGAACTGCGATCTTCCACTTCGAAATACTCGGGGATTTTGCATGATCTCTGGTTCCTATCTGATGCTCGTTGGGTATTTGCATGAGGTGGCGGGGGGTCGTCTCAATTTCCTAGATCTACAGATCCTGCGTCAGTTTCGTACATATGGGCCCGATTTTGCGGACGAGATCTCTATTTGACATATCAACATGGATAGTGGAATAGCGCTCCAACGAATGCTAATAAAAGCTCGTGGATGGCGTCGACCCTAATAATCTTCCTGATTCCTCCGCCCTGAGTTGCTTACTATGGGAAAGAGCCCAGTTCAGAGACGCAGGGCGATGTGAGACAAAACACTCCTTCGTACCACAGCAGATATGTCCTCTCATACTTGACTCGCTTTGAAAACTGTGTAACGTCTTGCACGAATCTTGATGCACCTCGTACCAGGGCCTTGGGGCTCAGCCTTTGAAACTGTAGGTGCGACAGAGTCATCTTGAACTTTTGTCTGCATGCCTGCATGTCTATACACATGTTGTGGGTGTACCGAGTTCCTATGGTTCAAGAACCTGTCACACCTGTGAATACATGCGAAGTCAAGACAATTGAACGAACCATGATGTTGGATTTGATTCAAGAATGTCGTGGATCGTATTCCAAGAAACGAATATACCTCGATGTACATCGAAGTACAGACGCCGTGATACCGACCCACGCGCTTTTCTCAGGTCTTATTCAGAGCTCAGATTTTGAATAGGACCATATCCTCTCGAGTCTGGAGTCTGTTCAAATGTGTTGATGAATAGCGTCTGGCCGTGTTGATAGGTTCCTGTTGCAGTTAAGAGTCAGGCAAAAACAAAGTACATATGGGCCCTTCAAGATAGCTCTGCCTGCAAGTTTTGTCTCAGCAGTTCTCAACGTCTAGAAGACTTTCGTTCGCTGTGTTTTGATACTCACAATGCACCCAACCCACAATTATCGCCACTCTCGACGGTCTGCTTGTGATCGATGTCGCGGTCAAAAGCTACGATGTGAACGCGACCATTTGAATGGCATGTCTTGCGAGCGGTGCCTCAAGGCGCAAGAGATATGCATTACGAGCCTTAATCAATCTGGACCGGTGATATTGCCCTCACACCATGGTCAAGGTCTGATTCCACGGGATCGTGAGGATCACAGGTTCGCTCACAGTGAACCAATGTCGGTTCTCCATAAATCTTCTGGTCACAGAGTGAAAAAGCAGATGCATCCTTCCTCTCCAGTGGGAGGCAGAAGCAGCTCAAAGAATCACTACCACTGGAGAGGCCTGACATCGTTGCCATTCCTTCCCGAAGACAACGTGGTATCATCACCAAGTGAATTTGATCTCAATATCCCGATGGAATTTGGAACCATTTCGGTGCCTTTTGAGCAATGGAGCGACCAATATCTGCCCTGGCCAGCAAATGATTACCATCTGGTACGTTAACCACACGTGAAACAAAGCTTCCCGGTACTAATTCTCAGTCAATCTAGCCTCCGGAATATGTGCCATCTGATCCAATGTATTCTGACGGAGGAAGATCTTGCTTCCCTTCAGTCTGTGACAGCGATACCAGCAATGCCCAAGCAGGCTCCAATCAGAGAACGGAAATGGCAGTCTTGGAGCCATTTCTGGGTCAGCCTTCGAGTCATGGGATAGATTCTCCATCTATGTTTGCATCAAATAGCCTCCCAGAGCCTGGATGGGGAAACATGACAGGCTTCGCCACTCTGAACGAGTCATATCCACTACCCATAGTCCAGATGACCACTCCCTCCATGCAGGGTCTCCATAAGAGTCTTTTGAAATTGAGGATGGGGCTTCTTGAGGACCTGGACCTGCTTGAAACCGGATCAACGGGCCCCGGATCATCACTCTTCATGCATGATATCCCCGCTATGTCTGTTGAGACACTCAATCTTCCAATCTGTCGCCTGCTTGATCATTCCTCTTGGCTTTTGGGAATCATTCAGTCGTTGTTTGGCCCGTCGGAGGACTCTTTCAGCCCAACTCCTTCTCCACAGCTTTCCGACCCCCAACTACTCAAATGGGAAGGTTCAGAATTTGGTCCCCTTGAATCTGGAGATAATGGCGATGAAGCTGGCACTACGATATCCCCACATGATTCAGGCTACCATACCGCTACGACAAGTCCGGGTCAACCGACAAGCCCGTCGATTCCAAAATGTGATATCACACTGTGGCTCGGGATATTAGAGGCACATTGCACTCTGACTCGCGTATATCGTGCGGTGTTCACACGACTGTATCAACTATTTTTGATCATTCCTCCGACAGATGCAGCCACAATCCTGTTATTACCTAGCGAACGCCTTGGGCAATCTCAGTTGGAAGGAGAGTTGCTTACTCAGGTACAATCACTAATTGCATCTAGCTCGACAATAATTGGGAAGCTTGACCGAGCGTTGGGAATACGCTCGAAGCCAACCCAGGCCGAAGAAGACGAAGGTCCAGCATATGAGAAGGACTGGTCGACCTCGATTCGCGACATAGTCTTAGCACAAGAGCAGAGCCTGAGTGAGATATCTCTGATGGAAATAATGGAGTGTCTGCGTCAGCTCGTTAAAGACCCAGTTAGTATTTAAAAGTTTTTGGCCTTTGTGTTATTAGTCTCTATCCACAGATATACTTGATCGTTGGATGTCTCATCCATCCTTCTCGGCCACATATGACTAAACTTGTAGATTAACCCCCTGGGAAGAATGTGCTGTATAATGAAGACGTGATTGTTGCTTACAGTCGATACACCTGGTCAGAGATATAACTAGAGGGAGTTAGTTAACTTCGCCTCGGACTCCGTTGCGGGCTGAGGGCTACCCCGGCGTTGGCCATAGTTCATGCGCGAATAGCGAACAATAACAGACAAAATCGTTACAGCCTGTATTCCCTGCAGATTCCGACACCGAGTCCGAATCCGAGGTTGAGCGAGCATTCTTGTCCTGGGGGTTGACTCAGTCTTGCCCTTAAATAGAAAGGTTCTTCCTCACAGCAGAAACGCGCATCAGCAATCGGGTCTTCTTATTCTACCGTCTCATATACCAGATACTAAACTAAATGTCTACATCTGTTTCTCAAGATGTTCCTGACCTCACTGGAACTTGGGTATTGGTAAGCTGTCCTCTTTACCTTGGTGGCTCCAATTTGGGATATTAATGTGATTCCTAGAACCGAAAACTGTCCACCGACCCGGACGAAGTTTTTATTCTGGTAAGAGAAGCACAACGAGACCGAACGTTATTTGCTAAGAGTAACTAGCAAGGCGTACCTTGGGTCGTCCGAAAAGTCCTGCGACATGCCCGGCTTTCGTTGCAAATCTGGCAGACGACTACCCCGTCTGAAACCGAAAGTACAAGTGACGAGGGCAAGTCAGCAGAGAGTTCTTCGGACTCAATCACAACTCTTCGGGTGATACAAACTGTCAACCCGGGTGGATTTGACAGTGAAGGGTCTTATTCTGTCGATGGAAGCACCAAAGAGCTTTCGCTGCCCATCTTCGGTGATATTCGCACCCAGCTCAAATTCATCAAGAAGACGGAGGTCATCGAAGAATCTATTCGTGAAGCTCTGGTGGGGGCGAGTTTGACCGAGATGGTGATTCAGGAGTTGGCCTACAATGCGTCAAAGGGCTGGGAAGCCGAAGTGGTTTGGACATTTGAAGAACTGGATAGAAAGAAGTATCTCACAAGGAACATCAGTACGACCAAAGAGGAAAAGAAGGTCATTGCTAAGATGGTCTATGATGGTCCATAGTCCTCTAGTGAAATTCTCGTTTCTGCTGCAGACATCATTGAAGACACAGGAATGGCTAGAGATGTGGACAAGAAGTTTCCTAGACAGTTCTCCGTTTTGGAAGAATACAGTGCGTAAAACAGCTATTCCCCGGGCTTCAATCTGTAATGCTATTGTTGATGACATTCCTCCCAAAGTGAAGTAGCTGAGACTCTATCTTTGTGGGAGGATTACTATATCTAATACTATATGATACAGGGCCAAGATGTCCAAACAAAGAAGTATAAAAGGTGGACAGATATACTAGATCACCAAGTATGCAGTCTGAAAAGAACAAAACTGGCCGGATGAGGTTTTAGAGATGGAACCTGGAAGTTATCGATTGATGAGCACGTAGATCCTCACAGACGAACGTATATGTATTCTTGGGCCATGTAGAAAGAGGGCACGGAACTTTCAATCCTTTCTAATAGGGACAATGAGCTTCTTCCCCGAGACCTTCCCATTTCTCAGAAGGTCCAAGCCCTCCAAGATACCTTCGAATCCACCCGAAATAGTTTGGACAGGGCAGGGCTTGATTCTAGCATTGTCAATCAAGTCTTGGAGCTCAAGATACCACTGGCGAGCCCAGATCCCAATCTCAGGTCGAGCTGGGATGCCATATGGGTCTGGAAGCTCGACACCTCGCCCAGAGATAGCGCCTCCCATCACGAGTTCGTGCTTGACCGTCTTCCGCGAACAAAGGCTCTCCTGGTACTGTTCCAATGCGCAATATTTCCCTCCTGTGCGGCCAACGGCTGCATGACACGTCCGCAGAGTCTTGGCTTCCGCAAAAGGGTCAAGCACATAACGCAAGGTATTCTTAGTGGCGGCTCGAATGTCTTCCGCACAAGTGGGCGAGCTGTAATCAAAAACAACGTCTGCTCCGTATGATTTGACTAGGTCAAAATTGCGGGGCGAGCACGTTGTGATAACTCGGTGCCCACAGCTAGCATGATGAATGAACATGGTGAGTATAGCATATAAGACAGGAAGAATCCATGATACTCACAGCTTCACCATTTGAATGGCCAAAAGGCCTATAGTGCTACTCCCACCATATATCAGAACATCCTCTGACTTAGGTGCTGGAGTGCGCAATGTTCCGGGTAGTTGGAGTGACCAAAACAGTGCAACTCCAAGAGTGGCGATGGCGGTCCCCGAAATCGAGGGGGCATTGACAAGGTCCATCCACTTGGGCACATGGAAAGTAAGATCTGACTCCGTTCGAATAAATTCGCAATAGGCTCCTGACATTGGATCCGACATGTTCGAGCCCTGGACGGCGCCAAACACTTGATCTCCAAGATGGAACCGGCCTTGAGCTGCAGCTTCACTCCCCAGTGCAACTACCGTCCCTGCATAGTCACATCCATCCCAGAGACCCGGGGTTGGGAACCTCAATGGCATCTTGAAGTCACACGGATTGAGGGCGACGGAAGTAGTTTTGACTAACATCTGGTGGGGGCCCAGCTGTGGAATTGGTAGGCCGGGGGTGATTTGAAGGACCCCGCCTTCATGCTGGATGATGCCTGTCTGGCTTGAGGGTATCTCCTCCCGAATTGTCATTATGGATAGGAACGTATAAGGAGATCTGGGAATTGGTATGAATGGTAGAATGACATCCCATTGAGAGTCTGGGAAGGGGCTTACTTATGAAGCAAGGCTCCCACGATGTGAGAGAGAAACAAACGTAGTGCCCCAGTAGTTGATTACTCTATGTATGCATTCGTCCGGCCCATTTCAAATAGAGATGGCCAAGATTGCAACATCTCTATGGCCTAGACAGGCAGCCTCACGGCACAAACTATCTGAATTGCAATGAAGGACAAGCAGAATGATCCATATACCCAACTCCATATATACACTCAGATTGACTGAAAGAAGAGAGCCAGAAAAGTGAGGTTCAACAGCGCTGTAGAGACCTGACACGTAGATGTAGTACCGCCTCCTGCATGAGATAGCCATCTGCGCAGTACTTGGGCAAAGGCAAAACAACCATCGCGGCCAATTTAGAAGAGTGATTAGTTTGTGCATACTGCATAGCACAAAACAAAATGTCTCTTACCCTGGTCCACCACGCATTCTTCAGATTGTCTGCCAAGGCTTAAAATGTGCAGAATCTAGGTGAGAATTGAAGACCCAATGCGCAGCTGGTAGGCTTACTCGGCCTAACCATAAGACAGCAACCTTTTCACTTCAGCACACACACATAGTCCAGGTCTCGCAGCAGCAGTGGTAGGTCAGCGACTGACAGAGTCTGACAGCCAGCCAAAATTGTAAATAGGTATAGATGGCAAGGCAAATGTGATCATACTGGGCAGTGTAAATGCGACATATCCAGGGAGTTGGATAGTTACGGGTTCTGATCGTCCCGGGCACCGGCCTGAAGTGTCAGGTTGACATTCCATCTCATTCTGGATCGACCAATCAGATTGCCCCATTTCTACTTGCCTTTCAAGTTTTAACTCCAGCGGCAGCCTATTGCCTTCACCATTCAATATCACTTTGTCATCGTTTTTCATAGTTTCCGGCTTTTCTTGATGAATCCTAGGATGTTTCTTGTCCACAGACTGAGAGAGATTGGTCATGTGACCTGCTCAGAATTTGTCATGTCAGGTGATCTTCGTCGCGGCAAGGCCACGTCGGAAACAGTTCGACATTTCCTGTTCGAATGCCCACTGCACGAAGAATCTAGATGTGAATTGAGGGAAGTTATGGGTAATAACTATGGTGATATCTCCCTTGCACTGGGAGGTAAACCCAAACCCTCAACCACCACAACCGAACAAACCAACCACCAATGGCAGCCACACCTAGCAACAGTGAAGGCAACAATCCGGTTCGCGGTGGCAACTAAGCGACTGGACTACGTTCCTCCGTCGGTCTAACCAACCACCCTTTCCCCCGCCCCCAAAAAAAGGCATAATACGCATTTCATCCATGTACAAAAGTGTAGAACATCAAATGTTCTTTTTACGAACAGAACGCAGTAAGGTAGAAATGGCTTAGAAATAAGGCATAAAAATGGAGAGTTCTGATTGGTCAAGTCAGAGATGTACTTGAAGGTCAGCCCGGCAGAAGACCTGGTGGATGGAAAGGGAGGCAGCCGTTAACGACCTACACACAGTGTACACCTACCTGGTATATACGGGAGAATGAAGATAGATATAATGAGTAGCTTCCATGCAGCAAAAACCTCAATCTTGGAACTGCTGCTCAATTTGTCTCGCACTTTCTGTAACGCAAGACCTCTATAGGTATTGGCTGAACGCGTAGACTGATTGTATATAACCTATTAATGCATGATAAATGAGTGGCTACTAGGTATGGCCTCACTGAAATATCCCCTTTACTCCTCAGCAACAGCGTTACTCTTGATCAGCTTGGGGAGGAGAACTTGTCCATCTGAAACACTGCGCAGATACTCTCCCAACAAGCGACTCATCCCTGCTTGTTCGGCCAGAGAAACCCACTCATCGAGGGGCACTATCTGAAATTCCTGGCCTGTTCCCAATTCCATCAGAGGCATGATCTCATCACGTCCAATCGTGATCTCGCCAGATTCATAGAGATATCTCACAGAGTCTGTAGCTAGCTCGGCTTTACCAGACTGGTGAACGGCTTCAAGGAGTTGGCTGGCCACCGACTCCACAGAAATGAGATCAAAAACTCCAGACCAGGAAGTTGGGTCTAGCACTTTCAGCGTCTCTTTGGTATAGCGAATGACGTTACCCATGAGGTCAAGGTCCGGTGCATCGGCACCAGTAATGCTAGATGGGCGATGGATCCATACGGGGAGACCAAACTTGTGGCTGACGCGCTCAAGATACACCTCGCTCACCCACTTGGCAGCAATGTACCCATCTGTTGGAGAAGACGGAGGTGGGTATGATGCAATGGACACCTCCCCAAAGCTTTCTTGGGAGGCAAGACGGGCAACACCAGCTGACGAGACAAAATGGAAAGGAATACGCCGGGGCAATGCGAGTTTGACAAGTTCCTTCGTTGATGCAACGTTGATCAGTTTAAGGGTTTGGTATGTTTTCATGAATGAAACATCGGCACCATTATGAATAACAATGTCCGCACAGGAGAATATCGATCCGGCATCAGATTCTGAAAGTCCCAATCGAGCATCGCCCAGATCGCCAGAATGCAAATGAATTTTCGGATGGGCAAACATTTCAGGCAATTCCGAAGATGCTTTCCTGACAGCGAGACAGTGAATGGCCACGACGTTTTCGTCTTGGATCAGGCCTCGGAGTATCTCTTTGCCAAGGAAACCGGTAGCTCCGGTAAGCGCCACAACTCTGACACCCGAAGGAATAATGTGAGCACCACTGGGGTTCAGCATTGAAGGTAGGTCGGATTCAAGTTCAACCTCTGTATTCCAATCAATGTCGCTTTGGATGGCCGGGCGAGATGCGTCTTGAATACTCGCTGCCATTCCACGCAGAGTGCTTGCTTCAAAAAGTTGGTACAATGCCATAGACACATCCAGGTGATCCTTAATCAGAGCTTGTAGACTGACAAGAGCAACGGATGTTCCACCGACGTGGAAAAAGTCGGATTGGGAATCGATCGAATGGAATTTAGTGAGCTCTCTCGGTAGCGCTCGCTGCCAAAGCTGGCGCAATGTGTGCTCAAAGGCCGTGAGGCTCCCCTCATCTGGCACCTGCGATGAGATCAATGGAATTGGCAGTGCGTCGACTGCAACTCGGTCTGTCTTGCCCGAGGTATTCTGGGGTATTTGATCAATGGGAATGATAGCAGCCGGTCGCATATGATGTGGCAATGGCAGATCTTGGACCAGGCGGCTCAGAAGCCGAGGCACATTCTCAGAGTTGTCCGTGGTAGCCATTAGAGCGAAGGCAACCAGGAATTTATCATCCCTCCCCTGGGCTGTATCTGAGCGGACGGATACAATGGCCTGTGTGATTGCTCCAGCCGAAGAGCTGACGATGGCCGACTCGATTTCCTCGAGGTTGATCCGAATGCCCCTCAACTTTATTTGAGTATCACCATCCATGCGCCCAAGAAGGATGAGACCCCCATCGCCATTGAGTTTTCCGAAATCACCAGTCCTGTAGATTCTTGTCCAGCCTTGCTCCTGGAAAAATTTGCTCGCGTACCGGTCATGCAAAAAGCGCTGACTAGTCTTGATGGCATCAAGATAGCCCTGGGCAACACCTGCACCCCCGACAACCACTTCACCAGGAACACCTATAGGAAGAGGATCCAGGTTCTCGTCCACAATATAAACGGAGTAGTATGGGAGAGTATAAAGAGGTTGTTGCAGGGACTTGGAAGTCAGGTCAACCAGGTTGTATTGAACCTCAGAACCAGAGCAGGCAGCACTGATCTCCGCTGGACCGTAAGCATTGATAAGTCTCAAGGCCGGGAGCTGAAGGCTTCGTATCTCTTCGATCAGCGCAGCGGGCATGAATTCACCACCGCAGATCATTGTTGTCATGCGAGAGTTACGAAGGTCGGAGCGACCATGACGGGTCCAGGAAAGGTATTCTGTAGGCGTCGCAAGGGTGCATGTCACATTTTCTGATGCAATGAGCCTTGTAAGAGCGACTGGGTCTCCTCGAGCCTGGTTAGATGCAACCACAAGAGTAGCAGCACAGCACAGTGAGACCATGATCTGCCAGAGAGACGCATCCCACGCATATGATGATTGATGCATGATGGTCTCCCCCCTAGCTTGAAACCCCAGGTGGCAGTAGCCGAATGAACGTGATGGGCATATGATGAATGGGAAAGCATCATTCCCTTGGGCACACCAGTCGACCCACTGGTATACATAATCACAGCTGTTTGGGATGGGTCCGCCATATTCTGGACCGGTACTGCAGTAGAGCCGTGTAGGCTACAAACATCAATAGATGTCGCCGTGATTTTCAGATTTTCGTAGCTGGACATGGTGCTAGAATCGACCAATACCACAAGAGCTTTTGTTTCTTCCATAATCATGGATAGCCTCTTCATACCAACCTTTTTGTCAAGCGGAATATACACTCCGCCTAGACGCCAGATCGCCACGAGAGAGCATATCCAATCTGCACTCGGTGACTGGAACACACCAACGCGTGTGCCAACGCCAACCCCGTTTCTAGAAAGCTCGTTCGCAATCACACCTATCCTTTGCTGGACTTCAATGTAAGTCAGAGAGGTACCATCGTCATTCTTCAATGCGAGACGGTTGGGATAGCAGGAGATGACCTCATCCAGGCGGTGGACTACGGTAAGAGGCCATTCTTCACGAAGCTCTCGTCCTATACAGCATTGCTGTTAGCCAAGTCCATATTTACTAGGAAGGTAACGTGCCTCGCCCCAGAGCCACTGCCCTCTCAACTTCATCCTTGGGATGCAACTTCGGCCAGGTCACGCGGGTCGCTGGATTCTGAACAAAGGCCCGCAGAAGGTTTAGATAGGAGCGAAGCAAAATTTCGGCATGCTCCAGTCCATACAAGCTTTTCTGGACTGACAGTAGAATTAGTGTCTCCCCAGCACCAACGTTACCAAGATCCAGACTAAGATCAAAGGATGTTTCGCCACCGCCCAGTAATGCCCCGTCCGCGACACAGCCGCAAAGGATTCGCGACTTCTCGATCTTAGGTCGATAGTTGAAGAATGCTTGACAGAGAGGATTGTGTGATGCGGAACGTGGAACGTTGAGTTCTTTCAGAATTACATCAAACGGCACCCGCGAGTTGGCAAATGCACCCTGTGTGATATTTCGAACATCCTTCAAAGATTCACCGAATGATTGACCGGGCCGATGAGAGAAATTCACCGGAAGGAGATTTAGGTAGAGGCCCACGCTCCGAAGAATGTCAGCATCCGTACGATTCCCATCTCCCAGGCCGATGCAAACATTGTCAAGACCAAAGAAGCGTAGGAGGAGCGTCCGCCAGATGGCCAGATGGAAGTGGAACGGTGTGCATTTGAACATTTTGCAGCACCTTTCGATTGCATCCGACATACCCACGTCAAGGGTCACTTGGGTAGTATGAGACCCGAACTGAGCAACTTTGGGGCGGACGGAATGCAGGGCAAAGGGAAGAAGAGGTAGGGCGAGTGGAATGTCTGGGTGTTGTGCTCTCCAGTAAGTCAGACTCCCGGCCCAGGCTCCCTCTTCGTATTCACGAATCTGTCGCATAGTGAAATCAGGATATTGAAGAACATCTGCGGAGAGGGCTTGACCATTATAAGCTTGCTCAACATCTGATAAAAAGGATTCACAGCTGATCGCGTCCATGTTGATGTGGTGGAAACCAAAAATCAACCAGTGCTTTTCCGGACTGAGAGAAAGCAGCCTCACACGCATGATCTCGCCGTCAGACAACTTGAATACATGCGATTTCATCTGCCTTGAGGCCTCTTCGACTTCCCTCTCATCTGAAATTTCAATGTGCTCAAGTCGCAACGTAGACCTCGTCCAAACGCCTTGCATGTGGTTTTGCTCACTGTCGGTGAAGAAGAACGTACGTAATGCTTCATGGTGTTGACCTGCAATCTCTATGGCCCTGGCGAAGTCATCAACTCTCAGACGGCCAGATAACTCAAAGGTTGGTGTGATGTTGAATGCAGTTTTATCCTCAATCATGTGGTTCAGAAACCAAAAACGAGATTGTCCAAAGGACATGAGCATCGTTCTCTGTATCTCACGTTTTGTGGAGCACATGTCACCGTCGTCAGTAGAAATCGATGAAGAAGTGTCTTCATTATCCTCGGAGTTGGAGTCCCCAGTTATCAGCGAAGTCGCCGAACTGCCACTGTACGCATTTGCGGCATCGGGAAGTGCGAATTTAAACTCTGCCACATTGTCCTTTGCGTCCAGCACTGTGCCATTCCCTGCGAACTCAGCCGGGCTACTGGTCGTGACCTCAATGTCGGTAGTTTGCGGAATGCATGGCTTTGCTTCTTGTTCGCCAGCAACCAAATTTGGAATCAGGTTATCAGGTAGAGCCTCCGCAGCAGTGGCTAATAGTTCACGAACCGAGGCAGCATTGAAGATTTTCAGTACCGGCATATCAACTCCTAGTTCCTTCAGGAACCATGAGCGAAGGTCAACCGCGACCAAGGAATCAACACCAAGCTCGTCTGGACTCATATCTAGCATAGGCTTAGCGGGATCAGCTTGGAGGGCTGATTGAAGCTTCAATATAAATCCATCTGTCGAAAATGGTTAGTTTGGAGATTGGCCGAATATGTGCGATTTCCATACCTTCCAAGATCTCAATCACTTCCTTCTTTGAAGTCGCCTCAAATAGGCGTGTTTTGATCAACACTCCTGATTTCCCTTTCTTGTCTGCAACCACAAGATTGCTTGACTTTTGAATGAGATGCTGAAACATTGGGTTGGAGGCCCAGCTCTTTGTCTCATCATCATCAATTCTGAGTCCACAACACAACTCGGCACTTCCGATGCGATCCCTGCAGGATAGGACACCTTCGGCAAACACTTCATGGAAATCTTGCTCAGACATCCACGAGTGTCCAACTCGATAAAGATATGATTGTTGGCCCATGTTCAGCTCGCGCGTGACATAGCCGTTGCCAACAATTGCGCCAATGTTTATCGCATGGCCAGCGAGGCCACGATTACGGCGTTGGGCTGCCAGGCTCGCCATGAACATGTTCGCGGCGTTATAGGCAACCTGACCCGGATTGCCCGTCATGGCGGCCATCGATGAAAAGAAAACCATGAAGTCCAACGTATCGGCCGGGAAAAGTTCATCCAGCAAAATACTGCCTTCAACTTTGGGGCGGAGAACTTTCTCAAGTCGAGGAAGGTCCAAGTCAATGAACATTGTGTCCTGGAGAACCATGGCGCCTTGGGCGACGCCAGCGATAGGCGGCATCGTCTCACCGATGTTTCGATAGGTCGCTTGAACAGATTCTCGATTCGTTATATCACTAGATGTGTTAGATTACTAAAAGTTGTAGGGTCGATAGGAGATGAAAGGATGGCCTACTTAGAAAAGACACGAACAGTGCAACCATCAGAAGCCATTCTTTGTAGCCACTGATCGTCAATCTTTGGGTTCCGACTTGATAGGGCGATGTATCGAGCCCCCTGTCTGGCCATCCATTGACATAGCGACAAACCGAGCCCACCGGTCAGCCCAACGAGCCAATAGGTTTTGTCTTTGGAAAATTTGACTTGTTTGGTGGCTGGGCGAACTTGGACAGCAAGTTTTGATTCACCCCATGCAATGAGGGACTGCCCAGGAAGCGGGTTAAGTGCGCGAATCAGGTCCTGAAGTCCTAATGGCACAAACTTTTGCATGTTGACCGGCATGAGATCGTACTGTGCTCTCATCCAGGAGCTTTGTAGATGTGTCGCTAATTGGCTCCTATCCGAGGTGTACTGAGATCGAGAAGATTTTGCAGTCAAAGTGGCTTCGCTTTCGAACTGGCAATCAGATGAAAAGCAGGTTTTGAGCACAGAGATAATATCACTGCTACCACCCATATTGACAAGGCGGGCAATGTTGCGAGGGAGCTGGCTAAGCACTTCACGTCGAGTGGAATTCGGGTGTATCCGGATCCATGGCCATGAATAATGCCCTTCCTTTGTTGTCAAAAGCACGAGCTGCACATTTTTCTCATTTGCGTACTTTGTAAGCACGGGAGAGAGGGAGAAGTCGGGGTCTAAGACAGCGAGAGCTTTGCCTGACTGGATCTGTTGTAACATGGAGAGAGCCAAGAGATGGAAATATAGGGTTAGCATGGACCGGATAGCAAGCTCGTCAGAGTCTCCACACCGCACCGCTTGGCTATGCGGCACATGCACTTGAGATTCCAAAGTATGCGACAGTGCGACCAAACGTTCACCACTCCGTGCATCCTTGCCGACCACCAAGAAAACGTTATCGGTTGCATTGATACGGACCGCACGGAGCAGGGAATGGGTCACATCAATTGAAATGTCCGCTGGGAAAGACGGAGAGGCTCCGAGGTCTTTCTCTTCGATTTGATAGCCAATTTCTGTCGGTTGAATGACAACAACAGATGTAGAGCGTTCAACCTCTTTGATAATGAGGCGCCTCGAGGAATTGTATCGATCATTTCGGTCACGGTTAAGACGGAATCGAGGCACCTTGAGTTGGCCATTTTCCAGCTGCATCTCAAGCTCGTTGGACCACAGTAACCCATCGAGTTGGCCGCTTTGGTCCCAGATTTCAGCGGCTTCGACATGAAGGAGCTTCTTTGCGATAATATGGGCGTCCGCCTCATGGAGGGAATGGAGATTGAGGAAGTGGATATGAAGGTGAGTCATCTCCATTGCCAGTGTGCGTTGAACTCCGGTGAACATGTTGCCGTATGGATTGTCCCCTTGAGCGCCGTGTCCCAACCACAACACATTCTTGCTTCGTTTGAACAGTTCTTGGAATGACTTCAGATCCTCGGCGGACATGTGTTTCAGGACAGGCTCATCCAATTCGATCAAACTAATGACCGAGCCCATGACTGGCAGCTCTGCCGATACAAGGTCGCTCAAGGATGTGGCTGTGTAGATACTACCGTAGTGGTGACGGACCGCGGCCGTGATATCAGCTACAAGTGTAGCAGTCAAGGAGGTTTTTCCTCCTATGATTGTCAACGAATCCACTTTCAACGGTAGGTGATTGGATGCTAGGGGATCACGAAGGAAGTTGATGCGGTGATCGACTGCTTGAGTGACCATAACCGAAAATGGCAGATGCGAGACGGTGGAAGAGGGAACCAAGGCATCGAGACCAGAAAATCCGGCCTTTTGCATGATGCCCTCCCATTTCTCTTCGGATACGCAGGGGGACAAGGTTCTTCCTTCCTCGTATCCTAACCACCAACCTGGCAGTCCACCCAGAACGAGTCCGAAGCGCATGACATCGGGGTCAGTGACTTCGAGCATGGCCAAATAGCCGCCGGGCTTCAGAAGTCGGCGAACGTTTGCAAGTGTCCCTTCCAGCTTTCTAGTCGCGTAGAGAGCCAGGGGAGCAATGATAAGGTCAAAAGCACCGTCTTCATAGCCCTGCTCTCTAGTATCCTTCTCGATGTCAAGCAACTTGAATACCATCCTGGATTGATACTCCCCAAACCTCTCGCGTGCATCGTCAAACATCGAATCCACGATATCGGTGTATGTATATGACGTAAACGACGATCCCATTGCACGGAGGACTCGTTCCGAGGTAGCACCAGCGCCGGCTCCTTTAACGTATTAGTATCGAATGTAGATTGAAGAACGTACGTGAACTTACCAATCTCCAGAACATTGAGATGAGGGTATCGATGGCTAATCTGCCGCGCCGTCTGAGCGATAGCATCCAAGTATGTATCTATTCCAAGTGTCTTGGCATAGAATTCTGCCAGCATATTATCACGCATCAAGATCTCAAGCAGATTCATCTCTCCGCGAATTACAGCGCCCAGATTCTCGCCAACGGCACGGACTGCCTTAATGTCGATATTGTAGGGGTTACTAGGCCAGTTAGCATAATTCCATGTCATTTTAGGGCGCAAAAGGGAGTTTGGTTCTCACCGATCCAAGATTGGAGCAATATCATGCATTGTGTCACGAGCCCATTCCGGCTTCACATATTTATGACTCCCATTGGCAACTGACGAGAGAGAATGTTTAATGTAGGACAGGAGGTGAATATGATTCCAAGTAGCATGTGCACGATCTGACTCTTGAAGTGATTCATCCAGTTTCTTGAAGTAGAAGTGGGTGACGCGCTCAAGGTCCAGCGCAAGAGAGCTGTCTTGTGAGAGTATTTCCACGGTACCAGCCTTTGGAACTCGACTGTTGGGGCTATCAGAATCCCATGTCACCTCGCTGAAGAACGGAACATCGTTGGCGGAGGTCAATGGACTCAACGGTGTTGTATGAAGTCCCTCGAGTTGGACCAAAGTGTGTCTGCCGTCGGCGGAGAATATGTCAACATCACCAGATAGTTCGGCGAATCGGGCATCGGTGACGGCAGAGAAGAATGGAAGATCGGCGCCAGGGGCGCCAAGAGCGACGCACGCGTTTGGATTCACGCGGAGCCTGTCGATTCGAGTTGGGAGGTAGAGGGTGCGTAGGCGCCCATCTCCCGGGAAGGAGTACGCGAGCATGATGGACTGAATGGCTCCATCCAGGGCGGCAGGATGAATTGTCAAAGGTGTTTCGTGTTCGGGGGGAACGGGAATCGCAATCAAACCCGTGGCCTCATCCATTTTCCTGCGCAGATTAGATATGGCCTGGAAAGGACCAGTGTACCCAAATCCAAGCTCAGAAACCGTGCTGTAAAATCGGTCTGTTTCCAAATCTAAGAATGATCCCTGGGGCCGATTGTGTGGTGGAAGAGTATCATGTTCTGGTTCGCCGAGAATGATCTCTAGAGTGGCGGCTGCGTGGAGAGACATGCTGGACGATCCCTTGTTCGCATCGGAATTACAGACAAACGACGCCAATACACGGTCACCCTGAACTTGATCAATGGAAAGCCGGAAGATCGTTTCTACCCCGGCGTTCTCTTCGAGCACCAAGGCTTGCCCGATTACCACATTGTGGAAGTCGATCAGCTGCACAGATTTCAAGCCATACTTTTGAAGGACAGCTTCGACTGCCGCAGATATATATCCAGCGGCGGGGAATACCATTTGACCTTGAACTTGATGATGTGCCAGCCACGGAATTTCCCTTGGATGAAGATAGTTGCGCCAGCGGAGCTCTTTGTCTGTGCCATCCGGACATTTAACGCCCAGTAAGGAATGGAAAGGTTCCCTTTCAGTGCGCATGGCGGCGGATAGCCGAGATTCGTGCCAGTACACCCGGTCGTGGTCCCATGAATAGGAAGGAAGGCCCTTGATGAGCTTTGGGGCCCGAGTGTTTTGCATTGCTTTCCTTTCGAACCCGGCGAAATCAATGACACCCTCGCCCAAAGCGATCCACAAACCACCCAGAGCAGACGAGACAGCCTCAGTGTCATTCTTACCGCGGTTCAAGGTCCCGGTGTAGGGCAATGCCTGGCCCGACACTTCTTGTATCGTTTGCATGGCCGGTCCCTTCAATGCCGGATGAGGACCAACCTCCAAAGCCATGTCAAACGGTCCGACTGCACCGACAGCATAGGTGACGGCCTGAGAAAATAGCACAGGGTTCACCATGTTGTTGCTCCAGTAGGTGTCGGTGAGGTTATCGTTCACATTGTCAATTTTGTCGCCATAGACACTGGAGATCCAGGTTGCACTGCCGCTCGGCGGACGTTGAATCGTTATGCCGCACTTGCGGATCGCTGCGATATAGGGCTTTGCGCAGGAAAGCATGTGGTGCGAGTGATACGCTTTGTCCACTTTCAACAGGCGTGCAAATTTCTTCTCGTCTTCGAGAATCTCCCTGGCCTCCTCGATCGCATCAAGGTCCCCGGAGAGTGTGACGCTGGCTGATGAGTTGCTGGCTGCCACACAAATTCTGTTCTCCAGTGATGGCATCTCGCAAAGCTCCTTCGCATCATCGAACGACGTTCCTGCGGCCATCATTGCCCCTTTCGGTCCGTCCTGGTCGTTTGCAAACTGGAGAGACCATCCACGGTAGTAGGCAATCCGGATTGCGTCTTCTTCGTTGAGGTATCCTGCAGCATACGCCGCTGCAATCTCTCCGGACGAATGACCAACAACGGCAGCGAATTTCAGATTCGCCACTTGGAGAAGTTGAACCAGCGCAATCTGAATCGCGGTACAAAGAGGTTGCGAGAAGGCCGCTTCTCCAATGCGAGATGAGCTCTTATCTTTCAGGAGTTCTTCTCTCAGTGACCAGGTAGGCCGATGTTCTGTGGGTAACTCCTGCAGAGACCGATCTAGACGCGCGATACATTCAGCTACCATCGGTAAGTTCTCGAGCAGCCCAGCACCCATGCGAGCCCATTGGGCTCCTTGACCCGTGAACACTCCAAGAAGTTTTGGCTCGCGGACGCTTGCCGTTTGAGTGCTAGGTGTAACCCCTCCAGATTGTACTGTCTCGTCCAGCCTCGCAGCAAGCTCGGAAGAGCTTGAGGCGGAGACGGAAAATCGTACTGGCAGAGTTGAACGTCGACAGTTCAATGTCCAGGACAAATCACGAAGGTCGATATCAGGATGGCCCTGTAGATACTCTGAATATGCTGCAAGGTTGGCAAGAAGTGATTTTTCGGAAGAAGCAGAGAAGTTGAACGGTAAAACCTGGCCCGATACCTCATCACTCCTGCTTGTGCCACGAAGGTGGGTATGATCGAATGCTTCCAGAATTGCATGCGCATTAGCACCACCAAATCCAAAGCTATTGACACTAGCGCGGCGAGGGGTATTCTCCAAGAGTTGGGGCCATTTTTTGGCAACCTGAAGAATTTCGAGGTCGTTGTAGAAGGGCAAGACAGTTGAACTGAGCTCATTAAGGAGAAGATTCGGCGGGATGAGGGCATTTTGCAGCGCAAGCGATGCTTTGAGGACCGCCGCCAATCCCGCCGTGCCTTCAGTGTGGCCGATTACGGTTTTGATGGACCCGACATACAAGGGATCTTCTTGTTTGTCTTTCCGGCGATAATTGGCTGTTTCTCCAAAGAAGGCAGTGCTGATGGCCTCGGCTTCGACTGGGTCACCAGCGGGAGTTCCTAATTTGGTAAGTAAATGCTCACTCGGAGTCAATAGATAATCGCTCACCGGTCCCATGAGCTTCAAAGTATTGGGGTCGGTCGGCAGGTTTGGAAAGGTCAAGTCCCGCTCGAGCGTAAGTGTTCCTAATCAGGTCGGCCTGAGCCACAGGGTTGGGCATCGTGATTCCCTTGGTGCGACCATCTTGATTGGCACCTGTCTCCCGCACAATGCACTCGATGTGATCGCCGTCTGCCAATGCTGCACTCAATGGTTTGAGTATAACGGCGGCAATCCCGTCACCGCGCGCGTATCCGTCTGCGTCTTTATCCCACATGCGCGAACGGCCAGTCGGGGAGAGCATCTTCAATTTGCTCTCTGCAATGTACTGCTCGGGTCCTAAAAGAAGGTTGGTTCCTGCTGCGACAGCGACATTGCTCTCGCCACTTCGGAGGCTCTGTACAGCTTGGTGGAGTGCGATCAAACTCGAAGAACACGCCGTGTCGATGGTCATAGAAGGGCCGCGCCAGTCAAAGAAGTATGAGACACGATTGGATAGAATACTCCGAGCAGTTCCCGATGCAAAATAAGTCGGAAAGTTTTGCACATCCCGGCCTAGCATGTCGGCGTAGTCGTTCGTCATCAGACCAACATAGACACCAGTGTTGGATCCGTGCAGCTTCTCCATAGGGATACCAGCCGTCTCCAGGCCCTCATACACAGTCTCCAGTAATAGCCTTTGTTGTGGATCAATCGAGTTCGCTTCCACTGGTTTGGTGCCGAAGAATTGAGCGTCGAACAACCGGTGATCCTCAGACAGTAGATAAGAATGTCGGACATTGGTAGTGCCGTGGTGAAGGCCATCAGGATGGTAGAATGCTTTGGTGCTGAATCGGCTTTCTGGAATTTCGCTAAGAACATCTCGAGGTGCTTTGAGCAGCTCCCACAGCTTCGAGGGTGTGGTTGCATCACCAGGAAAGCGGCATGCGCTTCCCACGATGGCAATCGGTTCCCCGACATGCTCACAATCACCTGCCATTGTGTAGTTGGTGTTTCACTGACTCTTCACAGGCTGGTAGAACCGATGTGTGACTGTGTGTATGCAATGAAAAGTCTATAGGGTATCAATCATGGGCAATCGGGACAAGATTTTCTCCGCGATATTCTCACTCCAGTGGCCAGCGACGGGACGCGGTACATATCAATGTGCCGAGGCTCGCATTGATGATCATTTTGGGACAGTTCGGACATTCTATCTCGCATAAGCGTATCTTCACGTTCAGCTAGGTCCGACTCCGAAAGACTCCTTCCGGGGTTGTGATATGAAACGAGACAAATCACCATAGGGCTATGGAGCCCACCAGCTTTCCGCCATGTGTTCAAAGCAACCTATGAAACGCTCGCGGTCCGTGTCGCGCGAGAACTTCCAAGAATGCGGGCGATCTAGATCCGTGATTTCGAGACATGCGCCCGGGTATCCTGGGCTTCCAGGGGTTGCCATCTCAGCCAGTTTGAATCTCGAGACCGAGTCCGAATCCGAGGCCATCTGCCTTTTGAAAACAACCCCTACAGAATCCAGCATTCAGTTAGTTCAGCTCTCACAGTGCTGCTCGGAGATGACCTGGGCCAGGTCTCAATACAGACGCCCGTTGATATTTCATCATTCCCACGATTCGATTCCTGGACATATTCACAGGAGCCCAAGTCCTCTCTAATGGGCGCCTGTTCAAATTTCGCACCTATCTAAGAACACAATTCCAGAAGATAGCAAGACTGGAATTTTAAAACCGAGAGAGAATATGGTCTCATTCTGCGCGCGATATGCGCTCGCTATGCACCACAAGCCCAGTCCATACCCAACGAATCTGACGATGAATGCCAGTTGGCATCCCCTAGTGATTAGGGGCCCTGCAGACAGGGTTGGAGTATTCATTCCAGGTTTGAGTCCATGTACGTTTCAGCGTTTCTGTTGTTTGCCTGATTAGGCCATGCATGGTGTTGTAGGTCGGTCGACGCGCGTCAAAAGTGGCCGCCTGGGTTTTTCTTGTGCTGTTCCCTGCTTCGTGATAACGACGTCTCGTTCTCTAGCTAGGAATAGATGCCGGCTCAAAATAGCATAAAAAGGGTATTGAAACCAAGAGCCGAATCCGATGTGCAGAAGGCGGACGGTGGAAAAGAAGAAAGAGAGAACAGGGAGGTGGTGATGGAGATCCCCTGTCGCGCATGAATGCCTTAGGCCGACGTGGTGGCCTCGGACTTCTCCCGAGGTCGGACCTTCCCTGGCTGACTTGATCTACGAGATTGAACGCGAACTCGGATATCCTAGTGTATGCCAATGTCCCGCGCGTCATTGGCTTTGTAATTGTAGCTCTCAGATCCCGTCTGTCTAGTCTGTCTACGTTATGGCTGGGACAACATCGCTTTCACATGGTGTCGGTCATTTCTTAAAATTCGTGGATGGAGGTGGCCTGCCGCCTGGTAGGTAGGCATGCCGCAGAACAGTTAACCTAAGGTTCTAACTAATAAATATATACAAATTCATCATTTTGTCGATCGGTCAGGTCCTGGAACGCGTTGTTACCAACTGGTACATTCTCATGTCCAGCTTCTTCGAGGTTGTCTTCATCCATTTCCCGATAGTGATTTTGCATCGAGTGGTCCACGATATCGGCTTTCTTGCCATTGCGGACACGCAGACGGGCTTGTTGCTTGTTTAGAACAAACAGATTGGCCCACTGGATCAAGACCACAGCAGCGAGAGCACTGAAAATGCCGAGACAGGCACGCAAGCCGGGGTGGTACGCTGGCTTGTCCTTCTCATCGAAGAGCAGAGGGCCAACGATATTTCCAGCCGCGCTTGCTGCATTGTACAGGCTCATGATGACCGATTTCTTGGTGGTGCCACCCGTATTACCAATAATCCATGTCACAACCAATGGATTTCCACCAAACAAAAACGACAGCAGATAGTAACCAGCAAGCAGCTGACCCTGTACCGATTGGTTCCGAGCCGATGCATACAAGATTGAGAGACCAGCAATGACAGGTAGCATGAAAGCTGCGATAATAGCACTTTTCACGCGAGCGGTCTGGGCAAGGTAACTTGCCAGGAGGATCATGATGAACTGTAAGGCGCCAAAGGGCATGGTGAGAAGTGTTGTCTTGTACTTATCGAATCCGAGGCCGCTCAGAATTAATGGACCAAATATATTGGTCACACTGGCACCAATGTTGAGAAGCATTGCCATGCCAACCCATAGATATGTTTTTGGTTCCATAGCAGCCTCGATGACATGACTGATTTTGAACTCGGTATTGCCGGTTCCGGTCTGATTAGCTCTGAGTCGTTCAAGTCCTTGAGCTTTCTCATCCTCGGTGAGAAACCGGGCCGTGGAGATATCATTGTCCAAGCGCCAGTAGACGACTGGAGCAGATGCGACGGTGATCAGGCCCACAACGAGGAAAATGCTAAACGTGGGTTGGTATGTGATTATTTTCGAGTTGAGATTGATTGCTTGACAACTTACATCTGCCATGATTTTAGCACGTCCGACTCGATCTGTCCCAATCCGTATGAAAGGGCAGCGGCGACAATTGTGGCCAGGCCGTTTGTGCTGTACCAGGCAGCGATTCGGATCGGTTGCTCTGCACGACGATACCATTGACTCGTGATGACACCAAAGAGGGGCAGGCATCCAGCCTCGAACAGACCGAGGAAAAACCGAGCAGCCATGAGGGAGCTGAAGTTGGAGCATGCAGCCATGCATGTTTGAGCGATACCCCATCCCAAGACTAACGCCGGCATCAGGATTTTGTGTGGAACCTTGACAATGAGATATGACGAAAAGGGTTGCCAGGCGAGTTGCGCGATAGGCGAGATGGAGCCAACAAGTGAATATTGATTGCCCGTGAGGCCCGTGTCTGCCTGCAAACCATACGTGGCGCCGTAGCCCAGGACCGTCTTGTCGAGAATCTGCAGGAAGTAGACCCACACGAGCACCAGTAGAATGGTTTTGTCGGTCTTGCGACAGATTCGCTTGCTGTCTTCCTCGGTCAACGGGACGCGCTCAATGCCGATATTATCTATCCATTTGCTCGCATTTTGCTGTTTCATCGCTTCATCGTGGATAGTCTGTGGCTTGGACATGGTGGGTGGTTGCATAATTGTATGGGTACCTAGATAGCCTTGTGAGAATGAGTGGCCAGGGCAAGGGATATATAAATACCAATTTCGCTTGTTCCTATGGACTCGTCGCACCCCACGCCTGGCCCCCCAGATTGGCAAAGTTTCGTCATCTAGGTACTCCGTAGGTAGAGGTACCTATCCATTTCGTTCTTCTTCCTGTTAGGTTTCTTCCCCCCACGCCCGGGTAGGTCCCGCCCCTCCGCACTTGACCATCCCCCACGAAAGCCCAATAATCCGCCTAGATGTTAGCCAAGACATATCCCCACAAATTGACTAGTGTCTGCTCTCTGTGCCCAATTGATTGGAATAGCCTTCGCCCGGTATGACCGTAGGAGTATCCCGTTCGGCCAGCCAGTTGCTACCGAGCCCGAAAACACGGAATCGTGGGGGCTGGATGGCTTCCCTGCATGCCCGTCGGGTATTGAACATAGGGAGTCGGTCTTTGAGATCGGCGTTTGCTCGCGTATCTACATTCTATAATTCTACCCCGTATGGACATTCCGCATAATGTGGGGAACTGGAGTGAACATGGGGACCCTTTGGTTACTAGTACTGGTATTCATCACTCCCGCATGATGCATCAGGGGGAACGGGGGATAGGTAATTACAGACACACCCCGCTTTGCTAATCTCACACATCTTCTGCCTGATACCTAGGTAATGCTTGATGATGCCTATCTCAAGCAACAATTCATTCTGCCGGACTTTGCTTTCCATCCGCCCTCTCGTTACCTCGGTTTCCTCAGACCATAGCGGCATAGCCTATCATTCCGTCGAATTCTCAGAATTCTGTCACGCTAACCCGATTGGGTTACTTCATCAGCCTGTGGTCTGAGCCGCGAACCTCCTCTGTACATACTATCTGTCGAGATTTTAGGGGACTCTAGTTAGTGGATATTGAAATGACAAATTTCTCACCCACTTTTACAGACATATATACGAGGGGCTTCGGCGTCGCGTCTGTACATGCCAAACGGCAGTCACGTGACATGCGAACCCCCTACTGTAGGTATTACAGATTGCTTCGCTAACGCTCAGCAATAATAACAGTATGTCATTTTGGTATCAGTAGATTCGGCTCAGAGATACCTGCACGGGAGACAAACTGACATTTAAGGCATCAACCACCATCCTAGCTCGACCAATAATACCGCTCCATCTCTATTCACTCCTCAGGCTTTATTTCCTGCCCATTAGTACCTACTCCTCATCACTTTTAATCGTGAACATGGCCTATGCCTTTCCTACCTGCTCGACTCGATTCCGATGATCCTGATGTCGTTCCCGATTCTCCGCCGATGCCAAGCCTACCCTCCGAGCCGCAACTCAGAGTTGCCAACTCACTGAGCCGCGACCTACCTCTCCCTCGACTTCGATGGCGATTCCTGCCCTCGACCAGCAGTACCATTTCTCGGAGGAAGGTACAGAGGCGATCAACCTATTCACCCGTCCACACGGCTATGCAGTCACCTGCCGACGCTCTATTTCACCACGGACGGAGTCAAGAAGACGGTTTACCTCGGTTGCGATCGTGGCGGTGAACCCAAAGAGGATCTTGCAGAGAGAAAGCGACGGACCACTACCCATGCTGATAACTGCCCATAATCCATTTGCTATGACCCTTCGCTTCGATCGCGGCGTCAATTTTTGGCATCTAACGGTTGAAAACTCTTCCCGCAATCATGATCCGTCGCCGTCATCTACCCATGCTACTCAATAAGGGATTGAGCTAACGCCTAAAAAAAAATGAGATCGACAATGCCCTTCGGCAAGGCCGCACGACCCGGTAGAGCTTCGCGAGGCCGATTCTCAAAGATAATCATTGCGACCTAGAGACATCTACAATACACGGAAAAAGCTCGGCGACTCGGTTTTGCCAAAGATATTTCTCGGATCTCGCCGGGCATGAATTCCAACCTTGGAAGGCTTTTTCGGCAAAGAAGGTGGAGCCGACATCTGATGTTGTACAATACTAGGTCCCCGTAACTAGTTATATCTTTTAGTTACGCAGTAAGGTAATCTATGTCGTATGATCGCGAAGCGTTGTGATGAATCTGCGGTGTCTTGGGCTAGCTGGCCTTCCTGGTTTCAGACGTTCGAAGGGTGAAACTTGGACTGTAAGAACGTTACGCGTTTCAGACTTGAAATTGTCTTCGAAATTCCCTCGAAATCAACTAATGTCAATAGTGACTGCGCAGGTGCTGACCTGGTGGCGGATATTGATCCCGGATCACGCGCCGAAACCCTCTCGGACAAACATTGGACAACCTTGGAAGTTGGAAAATCTGTCAAGAGTACCCTACTATAGACCTACTCTTTGAGCGAATCGTGTCCCCAGTTTTTGAGCGATCTGTAACTCTTGCTACTCGTGTTGTGCTTGGCCCGCTCCTCTTGCGCTAAATGTCTCTTGCAGTAGGACACCACGCGACGCATGTGGTCAATGTCTTGATCGCTGTACTCGGATGGATTCTCAGTAGGGTTGTGCTCGAGGATTTGAGCTATCATTCGACCACTGTGATCACCTTTTAGCACACTTTGCGACCGTAGTACACAAAACCGGAAATCGCAAATCGCACGGGTGACGGGACTGACCTTTCGTGGCCAACAGTCTCACCGGATCCAACTTCCCAGCCCGATGACTGTGACTGCTCTTCTTCAAGCCAATCCCGAAGCTCAGTCGAAGTCATATTCACGAGATTATTAAACTCGCTGATCGCTTGGTCAATTCAGTTTGGCGTGTCTAGTGGGACACTGGACGTACTCAATCACGGTGTCTCTGTCCTTCATTGTTTGAAGTCCGAGACCCTACCAGCGAAAATAGTATGGGGATATATGTATGCAACAGGTATAGGTAGTAGGAGTATACAGCGTTGTACCTATAAAGCCCGTAAAAGCAAGGAAGGTGACGGACATTTGGCACTTGAATGTAAGGTGTGTTGACGTCAAAATAGCGAAATCGCCTTCTCTCTAGTGGGCCCCAGGGCCTTGTAGGCACGCTTTTACTCGGCACACATCGATGAGCAGGATGCTCATGAAGTACGGAGTAGTACACAGCCCGTACACAGTATGTATTTCTGTGTCGCCCTTGAACCCCTAGGTACGGATACTTTCAACCAATTCCGCGGAGTTGTGCGATTTCATCATCGATCCTTATCTCGCCAAGACCACGGAGACCGATAACGCTTCCTCTCTTGACTCGCCGGAGATCTTTGCTTGATGTGGATATGATCGCCGTTCAGTCATCCCGTTGACAACCTACACAGTATGTAGCCCTGGAGATTCAATCGTTATCTGAGTTTAATGCTCATAATCTCCACTGGAATGTTTAGGTCGAGATGTCGGAGACGAAGTACGGCAACTGCTCCCTAAAACCCCAGAGATAAGATTAAGCCCACCTAGGCTCGAAACGGGATGAACTAGGTTCTCCATGCTATATATGTCATAAGTTGGTCTTGCCCGCGCGAGGATTGCTTTTCATACCTACCTGCGCATATAGGTCTGTTCTCCAGGATCATCATGGCTTTCGATGCCCTCTCTCCTCGTGAGGTGATCGAAGCTGTCTCAAATGCAGGAGCGCGGAAGGGGCATACGAAGCTGGCCAAAGTCTTTATGAGTGCTGTATCGGCTGGGTGTTTGCTTGCATTTGCCTGTGGAACTTCTCTCAGTACCAATGCCACGCCCTGGTTCCAAGAAAATGCCCCGGGTTTAATGCGAACCATCAGCGCCTTGGTGTTTCCTTACGGGCTGTGTATGATTCTCCTGACGGGCGCAGATCTCTGCACTGGGTCTTTCATGGTACGCCAGCTCACACCAGGGAAATGGCAGTCCCAATCCAGAGGATGTAGCGACTAACATGCGCCCTAGTTTACCACCGTGGCAGTGCTTCACCGACGCCTGCCTTGGTCCAAGATGTTAATTCACTGGGTGGTGACTTTCCTCGGGAACTTGGCCGGATCTTTGTTTGTCGTGGCTATTATCTTTGGCTGTATGACGAACCCCGAAGCTATCGCTTCGTATGAATACGGCTAACATTACTCCGATAGATGGAAATGTGTTCTCAGCGGAACCTTTCAAGTCGACCGTCATTTCTTTTGCCACAAAAAAACAGGTCACACCTGCGTTCCACATGATACTTTTGCGTGGTATCGGATGTAACTGGCTAGTATGCCTCGCCTGTTTCTTTGGCATCCAGGGCCGTGATCTAGCTTCAAAGGTGATCGGCATTTGGTGGCCTACCTTTGCATTTGTGTCGCTAGGCTTCGACCATGTCGTTGCCAATATGACATTCATTCCATTGGGTATCTGGACCGGAGCGCCGCACATCACGGTTGGAATGTACATTTGGAAAGGTATCATCCCAGCTCTACTAGGAAACATCATAGGTGGCGGGATATTTTGTGGTAAGTCTCAACCCCGAATTTGTGAACGGAGCGTCCGGTCTGATTAGTATCACAGGAACTTACTATTGGTACATGTACCTCCTCGATATGGATACTCTGCCTTTGTATGCGGTCGGGAGGACTGCTGTTAGCTCCTCACCCTCAGTATCGCACTTAAGTGGAGCGGCCGCCAAGGAGACAGATACTGAGAGATCATCAACTTAAAGGTGGAATCGAACAAGGTTTTTCATGCAGCCTGATATGGTCTTATTGTAACACCCTTGATTTGCACAGCGTAAGCCCAAGGCCTTTCAAGTATGTCTCTATACAAGAAGCTCACTCATTATGCTCTAGGACCCCCGAAAACCCAACAAGTTGTTGAGAGCATTTCATTCTCGATTGAGTACGCAGTAGCTGAATCCATGATCGCCTTTTACCGACCATGCGCCGGCTAGATCATGGACCACTTCCATTACGCGTTCCAAGGGGCCAAGGGCGAAATCAGCGAGACACTGAAACGAAAGGACGATGGAGGTACTCCTCGCAAAGTCAACTCGAAATGTATCAAAGATTCAGAGGATACAAGACAATTATTTGGGATACCCGTTGATATGCATGGCCTATGCTTCGTAGACAGTGAACATCTGGGCAGGAAATTGAAAGCCCAAATTCCAAGTGCACGTGAGACTTTGGCAACAACGAACTACTGCCGGAAAGTGCTGACCGCCTGTCCCCCTCACCGCCGAGGAAACTGAGGTCAGCCCAGTCCGCTCGGACTGCTTAGTTACCTGAGTACCTCTCTCTACCAAGTAGAAGAGTTGCCAGTTCAAAGTGCTCACATCACCTTCATTGTCGCAAATACTTGTTCTTCATGTCGACATGGGCTCTAAAACACCAGAGAACGAGAGCCAAGGAGGTGGCAGTATGTCACACAGCATATCAACATTCGTCGACGTTGGCTGACCTTTCGCAGATGCTCCTTCCAGCTCAATCAAGCCCAAGGTCAGTGGTGGCGAACCACGGGGCGCCCATTGGTCCCGGGATGGCGATGGCGCACTCGGAGACGGTGATGGCGATGACGATGCCGACGGTGACGTGATGCCCTGCACTGTTACTCTGTCGTCGAACTCGCAAACTGCAGAGTCGGCAAACTCGAAGAAGAAACGGAAGAAGCCCAAGAAGAAGCCCAAGAAGAAGTCGTCTATGTTGAAGCAAACTTCACCACCACGAATTCCTCTTGCCGAACTATTCCCCGAACACCAGTACCCGCATGGTGAAGCCCAACGCTATGATGGAATGGTCGAAAATACCGTCCGCACGACGGCCGAGGAGGTTCGATACCGGTCCCGTCGCCACATCGAAGATGACACCTTTTTGAATGACTATCGGAAGGCTGCCGAGGTACATCGCCAAGTCCGGAACTGGACTCAGGAAAGCGTCCGTCCAGGTCAGACCCTCACTGAAATTGCAGTGGGCATCGAGGATGGCGTGAGAGCATTGCTTGATAATGCCGGCCTTGATACTGGGCAGGGTCTCGTATCCGGGCTCGGATTCCCTACAGGATTGTCGTTGAACAACTGTGTTGCACACTATACACCTAACCCAGGACAGAAGGATGTACTACTTGACTCAAGCGACGTCATGAAGGTCGACTTTGGCGTTCACATCAACGGATGGATTGTGGACAGTGCTTTCACTATGTCGTTTGACCCGACCTATGACAATCTGCTGGCCGCTGTCAAGGACGCAACCGATACTGGCATTCAGGTAAGGACAATCGTCTTCTCGCCTAGATTTACCACTGATTAGTTCTAGAATTCTGGTATCGATGTCCGCATCAGCGACGTAAGCGCTGCCATCCAGGAAGCGATGGAAAGCTACGAGGTGGAAATCAATGGACGGACATTTCCTGTTAAAGCGGTCCGTAATATCACGGGTCATAACATCGATCAATATCGTATCCATGCCGGGAAGTCTGTACCCTTTGTCAAGCATGATGACAACACAAAGATGGAAGAGGGGGAGATATTTGCCATCGAGACATTCGGGACAACCGGTCGTGGCTATTTGTTTGATGGGGTACGTTCTATCCCGCTCTCGCGTACTATAATTACACATGTACTCACCGATCTCTTCAGCCTGGTGTCTATGGTTATGGTAAAGATCCATTTGCACCTAAAAAGATCGTATCGCACCTCGCCAGCGCCAGATCTCTCTATCAGAAGATCAACGACAACTTTGGCTCACTAGTGTTCTGCCGCCGATATCTTGAACGCCTTGGCGTCGAGCGTTATTTGGCCGGTGTAGGTTTTTACGAACCTGTTCAACAGATCATAGGCTCACAGAGTACAGATGAACAACCTTGTGTCTAACGGATATGTCGAGCTTTACCAGCCTTTAATGGACGTCAAAGGGTCATACTCCGCTCAGTTTGAACATGTATGTGGTCCTTGATTTTTCTAACAAAGGCATTCCAAAATGTTGACTATGCCAGACCATCTTACTGCGAGAATCATGCAAGGAAGTCATCAGTCGCGGAGATGATTATTAACGTCCATCCAATATCTCGCTGTAAAGGGTAGCTGTTGATTCTTGATTTCCTTCCCCCTTCCCATTCTTTTCCATTCAACACTTTGCTTGCGTTGCTATTCAACATAGCTGGTACCAAACACTCATTTACAACAACTTCTATGATCCACTGTTATTTTTGTTGATGCAAATTGAATGCAACATGAACTGCTCCGGTCCATACGATCTCTCCTCTCTATTTCAGTCAAATTGGCCGACTCTACAGTAGTTCTCCCTGCCCCCATGTCGTAGATTGGTTTTTTCAACATGAGGTATCGAACGGCACTGCTGAACAGTCCCCCCTCAAGACCAAGAGCCCATTTCCGTATTCCTGCGTGTGGAGTTTTATATGGAGTACTCGCTGTAGAAATAGGTATGATACCCAATGGCGAGGAGTCTGGGAAGTGGAATTAGGTACCACCGACAACCCCAGCAGCACTGGAGCGACTATCTGAGCAGCATCGTAGTAATCAAACCCCTTAACCTCTCGTTTTTTATATTATTGATCCGCGTTACACGCCCGGGAAGACAGATATGGTGACCTATGATGATGCAGTCTGGTGTCATGAATGGATGGATTGAAAAATAAGTTGTAGATGCTGAAAACAACCATGAGAGCATGGATGGCATAACGTTTTATGTTAAGACACCAGAAAGATCTGGATTGAAAATATCTGAAGGAACCGCAATTTTTTCAATTGCTTGCTTCGGCCTTTAGGTCCTCCTCGGCGAGGCGCTTCACAATCTCCCTCACTTCTTTCCATGAATTGGTGACTTCGGTCACGCGCGCTTCCTTTTCGGAAAGGTCCTTCAGTTCCTGAGGGAGCACTTGATTTTCGAAGTCGAACCCTGCCTCGTCCTTCAGCGCTAGCGTAACTACCTCTGAGAATTTGGCAGGGTGGGCGGTCGATAGCGAGATATGCTGCGTACGGGGTGCCCGAGCCATCGACCGCTGTGTCGCGGCGATGCCCACCGCTGTATGAGGATCAAGAATGTATTTGGACTGCTGATACAAGGTCTTGATGGTCTCGAGCGTTTCGGAATCGCTCACGCGGTCGCTCTCAAAGGTGCGGCGGCCATTTTCCATGATATCTTTTGGTACCGGTCCGAAACCACCGGTTGATTTGAGTGACTGATACCAGCCCAAGACGTCCTTCGCAGCTTGTGCTTTGCTGGCCTTTTCGTCCGCTCCGGCGGAGAGCGCGGAATCTAAGGAGTTGTTTAGTAAAGCATCCAAAAGCCACAGATTGTCCACATACCATTTGCCAAGAACCACATAACTCTCTCAAAGTTGCTAGAGACCAGGATGTCCATTGCAGGACTGTAGGTCTCCTTGCAAGCCTCGGCCTTGCCTCCATGTTGCACAGGCTCCTTCTCATAGCGGCCAGTTTCCCAGAATCGGTGCAAAATGTCATTCTCATTCGTTGCCACAACCAGCTTCTCAACTGGGAGACCCATTCTGGTCGCGAAATATCCCGCCAGGATGTTTCCGAAGTTGCCAGTTGGTGTGACAAAACGGACCTTATCCCCAACATTGAATGAGGAGGACTTCCTCGCGAGTGCGAAATAAGAATAGAAGTAGAAGACTATCTGGGCCAGGATTCTTGAGAAGTTGATAGAGTTCACCGCGCCCAGCTGGAGAGTTTCGTTCGTATCAGCATCGCTGAACAGAGCCTTAACTATATCCTGGCAATCGTCGAAGGTGCCATCTAGGGCAAGGTTGTGCACATTCCTATCCGTGCAGGTAGTCATCTGGGCCTCCTGGATAGGACTGACGCGTCCCTTCGGATGCAAAATGACCACGGACACATCTTTCTTGCCCCGCAGACCGTAAATCGCTGCAGACCCGGTATCGCCACTTGTTGCTCCAACAACAGTGAGGTGATGCCTATCCCTGCCCTCCTTTCCCTGGTTCTTGCGCGTGAGAAGGTATTCGAAAAGGTTTCCAAGGAACTGCAATGCACCTGTACTTGATTAATACACAGAATGCTTTGGGCAGCATTTGAAGAACATACAATCTTTGAAGGAGTAGCTGGGGCCATGGAAAAGTTCAAGCAGGTGCACGTTGTCCTGGAGTTTCACTAGAGGGGTGACGTCTTCCGCACGGAACGTGGAGTAGCTTCGGTCAATGATGGACTTCAGGTCGTTGTCCGGAATCTCGGAGCTTGAAATGTACAGGCGCATGACCTGGAAAGCAAGATCGGGGTATGAGAGATCTTTCCAGCTCGCCTGTGATCCATAGTTAGCGAAACTTCCTTGACAATGAGAGCACACCGAGATTGGCATGGAGTGATTCAAGCGTTCTGAAGGATGGAGCTTCGCGTACGTACCCAGTCATTTGGAATCGGCACTTCATGGGGCAAAAATAGTCCCCCATCGGCTGCAAGACCTTTCAACACGACGGTTTCGAATGAGAGCTTTAAGCGTGTCAGCCAGATTTCCGAAACAAAACGTGGCGACCGGCGGATACTATGGACTTACCCCATAATCACCTCCTCTTGTGGAGAGGAATTTCTGGGACTCTGTAGGTGCCGAATTTGTCAAACTAGTCGCCATTGTTCGTGTCAATTGAGCAAAGCTTAGAAGCTGAAACCTGTGGCGGGGAAAAAGCCTTTGAAGTCTACCAGGTGCTCTCGCCCCGCCCGATCTCGGAGGATGAGTCATACTGTAGTACAGCCCGTCACGTGGTCGTGTCTGCGACCGCGACCGCCGACTAGGGATGCAGATTTTAACATACCGTATTTGAAAATACAAAAAATTATTTAAAAAAACGGTATTTTCAAAGCAAAACGTTTGCCCCGTGCACGTGATTTCCATGTGACCAGCGCTATGGTTTTTGATTGGCTGAGAGTCCACGACTACTGCGTACATTCTAAAGGATATGGAACCACGCTATTGGTCAATATGGATGACTAATGATGACTAATGCTCTTGTGTATTTTCAAATGTTTTGATCTTTTTGACATTGTTTTTGGCAAATACCGTTTTTTTGCGAAAATGTTACAAAATACGCAACCCTACCGCCGACCGCCGAGGCGCCGCCGCGCCGAGCGCAGTACTATCACGTGGGGCCCGGTACGGTTCAATCCCAACTAGGGTCTATGTAGGGTTGGGAAGTTGTTTATTCCGATCTTTCGACGAATACAATCCCTGGAATCACTTTTAAAATTTAAGCTCCAGTCAGGGGCCAATCTGGTTCCATGGGCGTATGAAGGAGATATTGAGACATTGGTACCTACATGTACCTACCTACTGGCTACTGCTCGTAACGTTGCCTTAAACAGTGTCAGTGGCCACCACATCCGTTGTCTCTCAAACACCAATCATCTACTGCGTACATTGAATGCCACCGCCCTTTGGTTCATCGTTCCAGCTGAACATCGCTGCTGGTTGTTAAAATTTTTGTAGGAGCCCGACTTGCAGAATAATGCAAACAATCACAGACTTGGGAGGCACTCACTGTGAGTTTGTGACTCACATTCTAGGTACCCTTCAGATGACAAGTGATCTATAGGTGGCCGATCTGGGCCAGCCATTGCAATCATGAATGGAAGTAGGTAGCGGGAGGTACCTATCATGAAGGCCAAGGTACTCATTGTGACGGGAATATTCTTTACTTCGAATATTATTGCCCGGAAGTTACCTAGGTAGGTAGGTGATCTATTCAAATATATACCAAAGACCACCTCACTGAAGGTAGACCATGATCGAATAAATATCGGTCTATAGATACAAAATGAGGTGATACCCATGTCCATCAGGCCCCGGCCGCTGTCAGGATACCTACTTAGTTATACGAAAACCATAGGTACCCGGTAGGTAGTGCGTGAAGGCTTCGACGATCGAGTGCTAGTAGGGCTATAGGTATCAAACTGGAAGGGTCTTTCTCTCGCTCTGGTTCTGCGGTTCTTTGGTCTTGTAGAACCATAGCGGAGCGAGCCCGAATACCAATGCTAGCAGAGCCAACAATGTATTCCCCCAGCCGAGCCCAAGTTTGCCATACATCTCCGGACCTGACAGAGGCACAACACCGCCTATCAGGCTACGAACGACATTGTTTGCAGCGAGAGCACTGGCAGAGAATGCGGTGAAAGCACCGACTAGATAGGTTTGGACACTGGTCTAGATTAAGGATCGGGCTGATTAGCACCCTGAATTTGGAATGATTTGTGAGTCATCGCACCATTGAGCTTGAGAAGCCGACGCCAATGAAAAATGTTCCTATCAAAGGAACAATCCAATGGACGTGATATTCTGCTGTCCAGCCGTAGATTATAAGTCCTATTGGTAATGATATAGCAGCAGGAATCAGCATAAGAAGGTGATATCTGGGATTCAAGTCAGCATTGGGTAGAAGATGACCAGATAATTCGTAGGTGGGCTCACTCTGCTCTTTCCACGCCCTGACGTTGTGTCAGCTTCGTGTGGATTTTATCGCTGAAGTGGCCTAGAAACAGCTGCGTGGTACAGCCCAGTCCCATACCGAGGTATGTAAGCCCTGCGACGCCTTGACTGAAACCGTACTGTTGCTGGAACACCACTGTGTATGATGTGAACAACAGATAGATAATGCCGTAGATGAGTCCCATATATAGTGCCATGACGATGCTGACTGGACTGGTGCAGAGCAGCTTCATCGGGCGCATAATGGCCAGAGCAATCAATCGTTGGAGTGGGAGAGGTGATTTGCTCGCTGACTGGATATCAGGATCGCCGGTTTGTTTGCGCAGTTGGGCGGCTTTCCGCTCGAGGAGTGTTGGACCATACGTCTCGCGTAGAAAAAGAAATCCGACCATGGCGGTGATGGCGCTCTATAAGTAATACGAGCGATCAGAATCATGACCGAGTCGATGGTGTGAGGACTAACGTACCAAGATAGTCAAAAGCCAAAAGATCCATCTCCAATCAGCTGCCTGGGCGAGAAATCCGCCACCCACAGGTCCCAGGACGGGAGCAAGCAACATACTCAGACTGAAAACACTCATTATGCTAAAACTCGGTGACATCAAAATTAGTTACCGTGAATCAGGGAGATAACAATAAACTCACAACCCTCGCTCATTGACAGGAACCAAGTCTGCAATGGTGCCGCCTCCATTTGTTAGCGGAGCGCCGCCCATAATACCCGAAAGCAACCGAAATATTAGGAGCGATGTTGCATTTGGCGAAAGCCCACAGCATGCTGTACAGATTGTAAATAAAACGTTGCCAGCGTTATAAATCTTGTTGCGACCATATATCTCAGAGAGTGGCGCCAGTACGAGCGGACCTATGCCGAATCCGATAATCTGGATAAGACAAAGATCAACAGAAGCCCTTCCCCCCCACGGGTAATCGAAAGACTCACATAGATAGACACCGCGAAATTCATGACCATAGACGATGTGCCTTGGAACTCATTTTCGATTTGCAGTAAAGCTGGCGCCATCATGGAAGAAGCAAGTGGGCTAGGAGCTAGGGTTAGCTTTCCCCATCACCGCGGAGAGAGTGGAGGAGGGTTCCTTCGTACGTCGTGAAGCGCATTAGACACACAGCGGCGAGAATCTTGTTTTTCTGGCTCCGTGGCCAGTTTACCGGCTTCTCGGGATCATCTGGACCGTTCCAGTCTACTAATTTGAGAAAACTGGCGTTGGATGATGCACCCTTCGATGAAGAGGCAGAACTCGGGGGAAGCTTATGCACATTGGCTTCCCACGACTTGCTTTCTTCAATCATCACTGAGTTGTGGTTATGAATGGCAGAAGAGGTCCTTCTCTCCTGGGTAACAGAAGGGAAATTGGGTTGAATGATAGTCAAATAGTTTGAGATGAAGTTGAATGAGAGCAAGGTAGGAAGCGAATGAACGAGAACACCGAATGAGTGGATGGACACACCAGAGTTAGACTAATGGTGCGCAAGTATTGTCTATATAAAATCGAGATCGTATACCGATCTACTGATCTTGGCTACACATGTCATTGTAGAACATTCCAATCTCCGATCCCTTGCTAAAGTGTACGTCAAGCCCGCACGTAAGTACATTCGACGCCTTGTTACAAGATGGGCCCTACCTTGTCGATCAAAGTCAAGTGTTTCTCCCCTGTTGATGTCCCTGGAACTCCTTTTCAAAAGGCTTCAGATTAGAATAGAAACAGATACCATGTGCATAGCCCTCGGTGCCTTTATTCGCGCATTGGAGTAGTTACATAGACATTATTAACTTAACTATACAATGCTTTTCGTCTATCCTTCCCAGATTGGCCTTCCCCACATATCTCCCAATTATTGTGACCTAGTCGATGATCACATCACATCGGTGATTATGTCCTATGAAGATCTACTGTTTAAGACCCTGACCCTGCAAACTTTGAAACGCCACAGCCGTCACGCAACGTGATGATGAATATTTTGGTTTCTTGGCATATTCGGCGACATTTCCCTCGAACTGGTGATCTACACCCGGGCAAACGGTCCGTCGACCGCGGGAGATCCTTGATCGACACCGGGTCCCTGCGTTTCAGTAGATAAGTGTTGATCACATCCCTGAATGTGATTCTTCACACGGGTAGCGGGACTGGGCTGACATCGCCCACTAAGCACGGAATACTTCGTAGATTTGCTGATTTGAAAACGGGTCGTCTCACAGGTTCTAGCTTCTACTGTAAGCCAATTTCTGAGTCTCGAATGTACGGACTACGGAGTATCCGCTGGGCATTCGGATGATGTACGGATCCGTCGGGAGACCCACATCCGCTACCCCTTATGTACTGTTATTCCTATGAACAAGAACATATATCGTACGAAACCTCGATTACGGCAATTTCTACCTAATGGCGAGATCTGAAACATTAATGTCCCACAGCAGGATTAGGTGGCTATGTACATAGTAGCGATTGCGTGGATGAATATCGACCCCACAAGGACTCAGGTGGGGACCTACAGTATACTGCCTAGTGCCTACGCGTATTATACCATCAGATCTATGGAGGATGGGAGTTGATACGCATAAGAGGAGGGAGCTGGGACTTAGTGGAAATCCTTCAAACTGAACGTGGAGTTATTATATACATATTCTAAATTGACAAATAGAATAAAAAGCACAAGGACTTTGTACCAAAATGAAATATCAAACGCCCAAATGTGGCCAGGGAAATACGTAGAAGCACCTGAGCACGGGGCTGGATCTGCAGATCCACACACCCCTTCCCCTTAGGTCAACAGACCCACCATTATGTATCAAATGCAAAAAGAGTTCGCAAAAAGAGAAGAAGGACATCAGAAACTGGAAATCAAGAGATAAAGGAAGTCATTAAAACCGAATGTAGGGGAGTTCCCCTTTAGTTTGATCGCTTGGTGAGGATAGGCTTTGTGAAGGCGAGCCCAAATCCTTCTTTCTCGGCATTTCGGCCGGTTCCAATGCCTGGCCTGGCGTGGATCGTGGCAAAGTCGTAACCTAAGCGTTTCGCATCGATGAGGCGCGCGCGAATCAAAGCTTGCTGTACTCCACGGCCACGGAAATGTGGTGTCGTGCTATCGATGTAGAGATGTGCGACACGTCCGTATTTGGTCTCCATTAGTGCCATAGCGCCACATCCAGCGATTTGTCCGTCGATTTTGCCAAAATACAGGTTTGTATCTCCTCTCAATGCTGCGGTCTCTGCAAGGCTTCGCAGAACTTCGTCCGACCGACCGTCATCTTTGAAACCGGCAATTGAGGCGTGGATAAATGCCCCCATCCCTGCATCATTGGCGGGCGCTCGGCAGACAACCATGTTTGATCCGAACGGAAGCTCGGCGGGGGAATCCAGGCTGGAATCAAAATCGACGTGTATTTCATGGAGTGACCGAGCGTAGATGTTGAGGAATCCTTCAACCACATAGCTGCGCATAGCCACTGCCTGAATAACGCTTTGGTCGGCGTAGGGACAGAGCAAGATACAAGGTGTCAGGTTTGCAGCGGTATGAAGGGCTTCAATATCGGCCAGATCATTTTCGGTGACTCTGCCTTTCATCCCAAGTCCCAGTGTGCGGTTTAATTGTTGGCCCAGATGGGGCGTGGTGAGAGCGGCGACGCCACCTCCGGCGACGGAGTGCAGACTGATGTTTTCATGTGGGAATAATTGCTTGCCAACTTCCACCTGGCGTGACAGATGAAGGATGTGAGCCTCTTCAATTTGATGGATGGTATCAAGCTTGTTGAAAAGTCGGCTATTCATGGTTGACGGGGTAGATGCTGCTGCTTGCTTCCGCTCGATGGAGAGGGTAGGGCCGCTAGAGTGAGCGACCAACATATCGACGACGTGAGTTGATAGAATGGAAAGAAAGAAGAGGATAGATCGGAGAAGTTCAAGAATATAGTATATGATAAGTCTTAGTTAGGCCTGACCTCCTAATCTTAGGAGACACTCTGGTTTAAGTATGAAGCTCGGGTGGTCTCCACGACGCATCCTATGGATCGTAAGCCACCTCCTAACTTCCTAACTAACCTCCTACATTCTTAGCACTCGACACATGGGGGATTGCGTACGTGGTTTGTAGTATTATGGCATCCAGATCCTTCTGGGGACACGCAGATCCCGAATATTGATTCGGCTGTGGAGAGTTTCACTGTGATCTGAATCCTCATTGTGAGATATGTTTCAAATCCAAATACCAATCAAGGACGGTGACGAAGACGCGTGCGAAGCCTATATTGTCGATCATCCGACAGGAATCATGGTGATCATTAGATGTCTGACGCTGGGAAGCAAAATCGGCCGTCCGCTGAAATTGGAATTCTCCTGAAAGCTCGGAGCTGCTTTGCGCCATCCATGTACTCCGTAAATTGTTGGCCATATGGGTCCAATAGACTAGAGAATCAACTCCGCCACATGATAATACGGTAGGATGTTTGTCTATTTAAAATCATTGACATAATAGCCTTCACACTCCTAAAATTAGCTTATCTCGAAGGGCATGAATCTTTCTACTCCGTATACATGCAAATGCCATTAGCCCTTGTAATTATAGGTAACTATTTCTGGGTGCCTTCTCTCGTGGGGATGATGTACCGAGGATTTTGGTAACCAGGTACAACATCTTTTGCACTCCCGACCATGCCAAAAATCGATGTTTAGTTGGTTTCGGTGCATGAAGTGCCATACACATGTCTACATGGCTACATGAGGCTCTGGCAAACCTATACCTTGAGGCTTGGCGGGACGTCACTGAGGACATTCCGCCCTCGAAGACGAAATGTCCTACGTCATTCTAAGATTCCTCTAAAGATACTCTGTCATTCTCAATATTCTATCGTTACGTATGCTGCGTAGAATTAGATGCACAGTCTGGCTCGAGCAAAACCACAAAGAAACAAGGTCAAGACGCTGCAGTGGCAGCCATTGATGATTGAATGAGCTTATACAGTCCAAGCCAGAAACTGTGAATCCTGTGGTCAGCAGACTTTTCTGATAAAATGCTCACTGACGCCATAGGCTGATTCCCACCGTAGGACTGTTGCGGGGGTGGGGATGGGACACATCTCCCTGTCTAGCTTCTCATGGTCCGTAGGTAGGTTGTCATTGCATTTGACTCCTTCTAGTGTTCAAGCTCTTCCTCTCCGTGCTACTCGGATCTTCTATCCCTATTCCCCCGCTCTTTTACTTCCCCGGGCTGGCTTTCGGTAACATAACATTCCTCAGCCCACCTCAACTATGTACGTGCAGTGTGGGAACTCGTTGGGCTATCAAACCTCATATCACGACTAGCTGAGGATTGAATGCGTGCTTATACCTCAATAAAATGTATGATTTAGCACATTACTACTAGTCATTGTGGAAGCCAATGCGTGATAATCCTAAGGATATTGCGCCATCCGATCAAAAGTCTGAGCGGAATCTATTCCACGGTTGGATGCTTCTCGCACATGGCTCACTTTAGATCTATATCCATTGAGTTATCGAACTAACAAAGTCTCTACATAGTTATTTATCATTCAATAACTAGTAGATAAGAGAAGGAGAGAAACCTAACCTTTTACCAATCATATATCCATGTACCGATAAACACGACTGGATATAGAATTGCGGCCCTCTTGGTGTCCCTAGATGGTGCGACTAAATGATGTGAAGGTTTGAATCGAGATAGCGCTACATGATCATCGGGGCTTTGCCGTAGGGCACAGGAACCAAAGTTCCCGCACTATACGCAAGGAGGAGTAATGCATCAATTTGCTCTGGTTGAATCATCTATCGGTGGAAGATCGGACAGGGTCAGGGCTATGTTTGTGATTTAGAAAGGCGAATGCAGGAAACGGTGGGAGTTGTCGACATACCTACCTACGAACCTAAAGGCCCACCTGATTGTGGTTCAAGGTGGGTTGAATAAACAGGTCGTGAAATTACTACTTAGACGGAATATGTGCTTCTCTAAACGCTGAAAACATACACGCTGATCATAAGGGATACATGCACCTCCCTGTACCTATTAAACGGCGCAGCCAATATACTGCGTACTTTCCGAATACGAGGTTTAGGCAACTGGGAATATCCCGGCCCTCGCCTTTCATCAAGAGGATATTGCGGAGAGGTCCAAGGGTAGTCGGTATTCTGGTCGGCTTATTATGGCTCAAGGGAGGTCCGAATGACGAGAAGCTGCAGAGAGCGCCCATCCCGCATCTTAAGATCAATTCAAGATTCAAGGACGGTTCGCCTGCTAGCGGAGGCAATGTTGCTATTCTTAGATTCTGCCTAGACCCTTTCTAGACTAAGTCATCCTGATCCTCTGTGTCTAGCAGTGGTGATGCCCCAATGCGTAATCTGGACATGAAGGTCATACGAAAGAAAAGACTCTTTGGATCCTTTGGAATACAAGAACAAATGCTATCAAAATCGGCTTATGAAAGAGAATTCGAGAGGCCTTTGTAAAGCAGTTCAGGTAATACAATCAGGACTATTTTAACTCCAACACAAAGATTTATTGTTTAAGATCCAACAAAGAGATGTCATTAACCCATTGTTCACGTGATGAGCCGATGCACCGGAGGATGTGTATAAGAAGGATCAAGTCCCCTCTTAAGGTGAGCTTCGCCATCACAGCAAATAACACATCACAAACAGTCTCGGCATACGCTTCTAGGTCAACATCATAAGTCGTTACAAGTACTAACCCTAGGTTAAGACTTCCGCATTTATCACAACTATGCCTGCTCGAGGACCCACCAATATTCGCCACGAACGTGAAAGACACAACGGGCCTAGTGGATGCGTTGATCGCAGACACCGCACAGCTCACGCAGGACGAATTGACTACGACCACTGTGAGCTCTACCTTCAAATATGCTACCCCGAGAATGATGTTGTCCATTGGTTGATCTTTTTAAAGTGTCTAGGTGCTGACCGTGGCATCCGCCTCCATAGCACGGGGTGTTATGGTCAACGTAGCCTGTCTATAGAGACCGACAAGAGATTTGATAGCCAGGCAGTGGAAACAACACACTATCTCGGTAGAATGACTGCGGCTGAAAGTGTTATTGTCCCTGTGGAGGCTGAAAAGATTCCACTACAGAGTTGCCAAACCTGGGCATGTTACTTGATGCTGAGACTGGAGCGAAAGGGACTGCTTAAACGTGGCAACTTTGACCATTTTATGAACTGTTACCCGCATAGACGAGAGGAAGATTTTGGAGTGGGAGATGACTTTGATGAACGCCGGGTTAGTCACAGACATTAGGGATCAATCTAGGCTCTTACGTGATATGGCTGTAGTTCAGGCTTAGAAAGAATTACTGCTATTTTGTTAAGGGCTGTGTACGGAACAGGGGTCTGTTGGCTAGATGAGAGGGAAGTAGGATATGAGACTGAAAATGACAGAGCCCAGTTGTAACAAGCGGAACACCCAAGGGTTTTCGAACCAATCCCAAGTGCCTTGATTTCAAGACAAGCAAGTTAGAGAAAAAGAATAGAAAAGGAAAGCGATACGCAAACAATCGCAAAACAACCTCTCGCGACATGATAGCTCGTGAGTCGTGACATGGTGCTCGATGTAATCGTGCCAAGCGCACCAACACACCCAAGCAAAGGCAGATAAAGCAAGGAATGGAAGAACGATTCCTGGACCTCCGCTTCCACGGAACCCCCTTCGGATTTGAACTTAGGCTAAATCCGATTCGTAGATAGTGAATAGACTCACCTAGATAGTAGGCAAATAGAGTTGGTGTAGTAGCTGCTTTCTTTGATGGCCTTGTATAGGGCTACTGCTTTCGGCATAAGCGCGTTCAAAGCCGCCGACGATATTTGCACATCGCGGTAGCCAGGATAGTGGTACAGAGTAGGCGATCAACAAGAATGAGCCATTAGAGACACCGCCACCGCCGACTTCAGCAATAGCGCGCCCGATGATGAGGGCAGTGGAAGTTGGTGCAACACTACACATCAAAGGGCCCAATGCAAAGATCAACAGGGAGGCGAGGTACACCCATTTGTAGAATGTGAAGAATTTTCCCGCATCAGCTGGAAAGCACACACCGTGAGCTTATAGCCACTCGTATACCGGCCGACATGTTCGACTGCGTGGAAATCATCCATGAGTGAGCTTGGGGATGGCGCTACAGATGATGAAGTTGTCTAGTCCTACAAGGAACACGCAGAGTCTCAGCCAATGAAGGTGAGTTTGATCTTGCCAGGGGCCCGGGGTATTGTTGAGATTCATCGCCGCCGTACAGAGCTCGGGAACCACCGGCTGGCCTTGGGACAATTGAAGCTCCAATGTGATAATTCGCAGAGCATTGGACTTCTTACCAAGGAGTCTCCTCAACTGAGGACGAAGCTCCGTCATGTTGATATCCATCATCATTGGCTTCGTCAGGAGGTTCAAGCTGGCCGCTTGGCGGTGGAGTGGACTAAGACCGGTGATATGGTAGCCGATGGGCTTACCAAGATGTTACTGAGGCAAAGGCATATGGAGTTTGTGCGGATGTTGGGCTTGGAGGATATTGATCATCCCATTGTCCAGCCAAGTTCCGATGGGACTTACTGTGTAGCTGAGGGGGTGTGTCGAGAATACTGTGTAGCGGGTCATGGTCATGTACATACACTAGTCGAAATATGGATTAGCGCATGTTGAGCTGTTCCCCACTCGGTAAGCGAGACACACACTACGGCATGAGCTAGTGCCCAGTAGGCCCTTTCGTGTTTTATTACATTGCTTCTCTGCATATTACACCGCTTTTCTCACCGCTGTTTCAAACGTTTACCATTTTATAAATTACTGTTTTTTAACTATTATTGATTTACCCCTCTCATCTCCTGTTTCTACACCATCATGCCTCGTCAAATAATTGATATTGAGTCTCACAAGGATGAGATCATCGCATTTTTTACCAATGGAGTAACAATACAACAGCTTTGTACAAAATTACAAGAAGACTATACCATCAAAATCGCTCCTCGTAGGATGAGGAAGCGCCTCAAAGCATGGGGCATTGCTAAAAATGCACCTCCAAAGACAATTGGAAACCTGGAAATTCAAAAACGGATCCAAACCTTACTTTTCCAAGTAGGTCTTGACGATTATCATATCCACCAAGTCCTCTGCAATGAAGGGATTCAAATTGGTCATCGTATGGTCCAAAGAATACGACTTCATCTTGGACTTCGACGTCGAAAAGATGACCATCAAAGCCAAGAAGCTGAAATCGAACAAATCACTACTATTCTTGAATCAGAGCTTGGAACTGGTCGAATTGAAGGCTTCGGAAAATTCCATCTTCAGGAACATATTCGAAGACAAGGATATCTATTCAGTGGTAAACGTTTGTTTGATGTTTATCGATTGATGCGTCCTGATTTATTACAACGACGTAAACAAGATCTTCAACGTATGAAGGGTGTATACACAATTTGATTATGTGGAGCGAGAGAAACGTGCTAAGATCTATGTCATTCTTGACAAGAAGCCTCGTACGATAGAGATCAAATCAGATCCTATTTCTCCAGGACCTGCATCGCCAATTGCTTTGAAATTGGAGACACCAATTGCTCCTGAGCCACAAGCACCAGATGCTCCAGAGTCAGAGGTATCAATCATTGATCTTGACGCCTCTGAGCCAGTGGTTATTGATATTGAAACTCTTGCAAAACCTCGTGAACATCCATTTCGTCCTCGTACGCATCGCAAATACTTCATGACTGAGGCAGAGATGAGGGCACATATACCAAGAATTGATGATGCAGTTGCTCGAGGTGATTCTGATGATGGAGGAGAGCCTTTATTCCATCCTGATGTCATTATTTATGGTAAACCACCACCTGAAGGGGAGCCATTTAATCCATCCTCTGCTTCTATAGCAGAAGCAGAGGTCGTACGACAGGCAAAGGAAGTGCCAATGGCGCTAAAAAAGCGGGCAGCTGGCCCTCAGTTTATTTGGCCTTTGAATTGGGAGCCTGCACCAATTCCTGCGCCTGTGCCGATTCCTGCGCCTACGCCGATTCCTGTACCTGTGCTGATTCCTGCTCCTACACCGGCCCCTGCATCCATTCCTGCGTCGATTCCTGCGTCGATTCCTGCGTCGATTCCTGCCGCTGCGTCAATTCCTACATCGATTCCTACGTCTGCATCTAAGTCTGTACAATTACAGAGGACTCGATCAAAGAAATCGACTCAGCAAAAGCAGCAAGTCTCTAAATCTGCTTCTGCGCCTACTTCTACACCTACTTCTATACCTGTGTCCGAGTCTGTACGACCGCAGCAGATAAGGTCAACTCAGAAGCGATTGGAACCTACAGATGTCGGTACACCTCCAGCACGTCGAACTCGGTCTCGTCTAGCAAGTAAAAAGGATTGAAGAAGTGATAGTTTTTGTGTATTTAGTTTAGTTTGGTTATTTTATTTATTGTAGAAGATGATATTATAAAAAGGTTTTGCTGCTTTTCAATAGAAATTGATTGAAGGAAGCTCCAGAGGATAGTAAGAGAGAGAACCCATTGGCCCCAAAAACGCCGAGTATCCTCCTCCCATTGCTGTTGTCGATTCCTCCAGATCATCTGGAACAGGTCCCTGATAGCGTTGAAGATCTTCCTGGCGAGATTCTTGATCATTCCCAGCAGGACGACGATTTCGAGCGCGACCTCCAGGACGTTTTTGACGGAAACAAGAGCGTCCTTGGTGCGATGGGGTTATCGAACTGACCTGCACGGAAGGAGAGTGGGAGATTGGTGAAGAGGGGAAGAGGTTTGCGACGGTGAGGTGCATTGTATAGATCATGGAACAAAATAGACTAACCTGATTTGGACTAGCACTCGTAATCTTACATGATCGAATACACAAAGTGGCAGAATCGCAAAATAGCAAAGTGGCAAAACACGAAAGGGCCTACTGGGCACTAGCTCATGCCGTACACACACAGAGTAGTGTCTCGTTCGAGTCGTTCCCCATGGGTCGCCTTTGAGTCCTCAATCAACTATCTATCATTCATTTGGATTGGTTCCCCTTCGCTTCTCTAGATTCCATCACATGCACATTCCGCTGTGGCTCTTACTTTCACATGATCCTTTAGACCGCAATAAATGATTGTTGCGTTCGCCTTACTTACGGCCAAAATGACACCGAAGAAAATCGGGCCGAATTATTTTCCCTCTGATTGGTTGTTCGTAGTTGCAGTGCGGCAGTGCCTATTACATATGGATAGTTTGCCCTTTCCGGCCCCACCTTTACCCTACCGCTTTCTCCTTCCGGTCGCATCCTTACTCCACCGCTTTCCCCCTACGGAAGTAAACAGTTCGACTTTCCGCCTGCCTTTTACGGGATAGGCGAAGCTGAGCGTCGCAGTTACACAGTAAATCCCAAGACCATTGGGTGCCGGGAGACCTCGTAAGCGCTTATGTATGCAAATAATAACTACAGGGCTCACCACTCTCCCCGATTCTGTTCCTCATGTTCAACACGCCGCTGGTAGACGCGTTCACTTTGAGGGGCCTATATTACGGGGAGACAGAAGCATTCGGATGGGTAGACGACGTATGTATCCTGGCAATCTCGAAAATCTACGAAGAAAACGTCCGTCTACTCGAGAAGGCAATGAAACGGGCAGACATATGGGCCGGAAAACATGCGGCCAAGTTCGCGCCGGATAAGTTCGAGCTTATCCACTTCACAAACCCAAAGGCCAGCCCACCGGAGGGTAAGACATCACAAACCAACACCAACACCAGCCAGCCAACCATCGGCACACGAACCGACCAATGCCACACCTCTCAGGAGGTGGATATTTGGGAGGTACCGGACAACCCATCGGGTCACGACGAGATGCCGGTAGCAATCCGGGGGCAACAAGGGACGACAGTCCTCCAACCCTCGGATAACGCCAGATACCTTGGTGTCTGGCTAGATAAACGCCTCAGCTTTTCGACACATCGGAAGAAGATGCTCGCGAAGGGAGCTAGCAGCCTCGAGGCACTCCGACGCATCTCTGGCTCAACATGGGGAACTTCGCTGACAGCCATGCGTAAGGCGTAAGGTATATCAAGCAGTTATTATCCCACAGGTGCTGTGGGGTGTATCTGCGTGGTACTGTCCGGCAGCAAGGGCCATGCCCAAGGTGGATCTCGAAAGACTAACTAATGAGCTCGCCAAGATCCAGAAAAGGGCGGCAATCCTGATTAGCGGCGCATTTCGCGGCACCGCGGGTGCAGGACTCAACACGGAGCTATACCTTCCTGCCCACCAAGCCGAGGTTGCAGGAAACCGTGGAGGAAGCAGCTATCCGGATTCTCACCGGACCGCGATGGGCGTGCCCTCAGATGGCCAAAGAGCAGAGGAAGCCGGCCGGACGGAGACTCGGGGGATGGGTCCCGATCGAAGCAATCTCCTGGAAGACCCTTCGTCTACAAAAGAACGAGGTTTGGGAGGAGAAACAGGCGTTTGTCCTTGCACCATGGGAGAAGCGGATATCGTGCGTCATAGAGAACCGCGAAGCTGCGAAGAAAACCCAGAGCGATATCTTCGGACGTACAGTCTGCCAAAAGGATGTCAGGATGGCGTTCATGGACGGAAGCGGCTTGGCTTTATCCCATGAGGAACCGATAGGGAAACTTGGTACTGTCATTTCTGATCCCTCGGGGGTAAAGGGCCAGAGAAGGAACTTGTTCTCGTTGCATAGCGCGTCCAGGCTGTAGTTGAATTGGAACGGCAATATTCATAATTGATGACAAACTTATGTCCGAAATGAGCTTCAGCAAGCAGTCCATCCGATTCTTGTAGGGACTCAATTTTGGGAATTCATTGTAGATAGAAGAGGTTAGCTATTGCCCGTCTCTGGAGTCTACGGTGATGTCGTTTTTCCTTTACCTTCCTCTGGCTCTGACGCAAAATATCTATTCGGCTTCTTAACTTATTTCTCCAAAACACGACGTACACGACGTGGTCAAGTTGGGGAAGATCGACAATGACTCCAACTCGCCTCCGTGTTCCCCGCACTTCCCCTCTCCATCTCGAATGAACAAAATGAACTATATAACTTGTTAATGATTCAATGGTTTGGAAACCATTTGTATATTTCACTCTGTTAGGATGGCACTTCTGACCGTAAGACGCTCCTCCAATGTGACATGGCTCATCTAACCTCATTCAGTTGGCGCGACCCCAATTGCTCAGGACTCTCCGACCAAGGGCGTATGGTCTTGGTTCACGATCGTTATACGGGCGGGCGACCGAGTTTCTTCAAAATCATGACCCCGATCTATCCGAATCTCAGCGAATGGTGCGACAAGAAATTGCCAAGATATGTTCGGATTTTCCAGATAATTATTGGGCCAAGGTGGACGAGACGCACCAGTTTCCGACCGAACTGTATGAGGCGTTGGCATCCCAGGGCTGGCTGGGCATTTGCTTGCCACAACGATATGGAGGTTCTGAGCTGGGAATTTCAGAAGCCGCAGTGATGATGCAGACCATTGCAGAGTCCGGGGGAGGGATGACTGGTGCATCTTCTATCCATATGAACATCTTTGGTCTTGAGCCAGTTGCCAAGTTTGGGACCGACGAACAGAAAGAACGATGGCTCACTCCGCTCATTGCTGGTCGCCATAGGGCATGTTTTGGGGTCACGGAGCCCAATACGGGCTTGGATACGTTGCAGTTGCAGGCCACAGCGCGTCGATCTGGCACTGGCTACGTATTATCCGGGCAAAAGATCTGGATTTCGACGGCGCAGAGAGCGGACAAGATTCTGATTCTCGTGCGTACGACACCACGCGACCGAGTGAAAAAGCCGTCCCAGGGTCTTTCACTTTTCTACACTGATCTACAGGTTCCTCAGGTCCAAATCACCGAGATCCCCAAAATGGGCCGCGCGGCCGTGGATACCAACTCCCTGTTCTTCGATGATTGGCATGTCCCGGAGGTGGACCGGGTGGGACAAGAAGATGAAGGATTCAGGATGATTCTCCACGGGATGAATGCAGAGAGAATTCTGATCGGCGCAGAGGCACTCGGACTCGGCTTTGCAGCGCTGCGTCGTGCAGCCTTATATGCCAACGAGCGGCAGGTATTTGGGCGACCGATCGGGCAGAATCAAGGGATCCAACATCCTCTGGCCGATAGCTGGATGAAACTGGAAGCAGCGCGTATGATGATCTATCAGGCGGCCCGGCTTTATGATCAAGGCTATACTGATGGTGAATATGCTAACGCTGGCAAATATCTGGCTGCCGAGGCTGCCTTCGAAGCCTGTGAGCGAGCCATTTTGGCCCATGGAGGGATGGGATATGCGAAGGAATATCATGTCGAACGGTATCTTCGAGAGGTCTTCATTCCTCGCATTGCCCCGGTTAGTCGAGAGATGATTCTAAACTACGTAGGAGAGCGAGTGCTGGGTCTTCCCAGGTCTTACTGAATCGTATCTGCGCAATTCTGTATCTATAGTTCGAGCTAGAATGGAATGCTTCAGCGAACACCCATAAGTATCCCAGTTTATTTAGGCCACCAACCTAGGCCACCGAAGGTCAGCCTGGAGTAAAGTCAGTACCTAAAGTCCGTAAGGTCAGTAAGGTCAGTAAGCAAACCAAGATTCGGTTAATTTCGGTCTTTCCCGTCGGTTCTGCCTGAATATATCAACTCGGCTTCTTAAGCGGGGATGTCGATCGTCGAAATCCATCCAGTTCAGCTTCCACCTTAACTACATCGTCAAGCATTAGACACCTCTAAGGTACACTAATTAAAGCAGCCATGGCTGTCGGAAAGATGTCCAATGCATATATCGCTATACAGAATGCCACCCAAGTGATGAAATATCGCAGACTCTTCCCCTCACCTTCGAAATATCTCAACAATCGACTGCATTTTAATTGCAATCATACGGCTGCGCACCAAAATACTCCTTTGGAGGGAATTCGAATTCTAGATCTCACGCGAGTCCTTGCAGTAGGTTGGTGGTTTCGATGTTAAGTGATCAACACTGATACACCCCAGGGTCCTTTCTGTACACAAATCCTAGCCGACTATGGGGCTGACGTTCTCAAAATTGAAAACCCGCGAGGAGGTGTATGTTGCCAAATATCCTCTTACACTCCCAGACTGGATCGGGCACTCACCCAAGCACAGGATGACACTCGCCTATGGAGGACAGGAGGAGAGGACCATCTATGGAAATCAACGGACGCAGATATGTCTGCATACTTTTGTGCGGTCAACCGGAATAAGAAGTCCATTACTTTGAATCTTAAAGAGGAGAAAGGACAAGAGATTCTGTTTCGGCTGGTCAAAAGCGCCGATGTTGTGTCAGTTGCCCTACTCACTGAAGCCGCCACCTGTGCTAAACCTTGGGACACAGTGTTGACAATTTTGTCCCGGGGAAGATGGATGAAATGGGAATTGGATATCAGAAGCTCCGAGAAGTCAATCCCTCGATCATACATGCCAGCGTTTCTGGTTTGTCCTCGACCATCGTCAATAATCTGCAGGTAGATCTTATCGCTAATTTGAGATAGGATACGGCGCTGGTGGCCCATATTCCCGCCGTGCAGGGTACGATGCCATAGCTGCGGCTGAGGCAGGCATGCTGCACATCACTGGTGAGCGCGATGGAGCCCCGACACGACCTGGTCTGGGTCTCACGGATATGAGTACCGGGCTCTATCTCCATGGGGCCATTCTCGCTGCCCTGTATGCTCGAAAGAATACAGGCCAAGGGCAAAAGATTGACGCATCTTTATTTGAGAGTCAGGTGTCTTTGCTCTCTAACGTCGCAATGTCGTGGTTGAATGCCGGTGAACATGCGCATCGTTGGGGCACGGAGCATCCAAGCATTGTCCCATACCAAGCCTTTAAAACTAAAGACGGCTATTTAGTGCTGGGAGCCACAAATAACCGGCAGTTTCAGATACTCTGTCAGTTGTTAGAGCACTTGGAATTGGCGAGAGACCCGCGCTTTGTTGATAACAGCTCCCGTGTCCTGAATCGGGCGGAACTGAAAGGGATATTGGAGCCGATAATCCGTGCAAAGCCAACCAAAGACTGGCTGGCTGTCTTGGAGGGCAGTGGAATGCCATATGGGCCCATTAACACGATAGAAGAAGTGTTCTCCCACCCACAAACTGCAGCCAGACATATGGTGCACACTCTTCCGCACGAACCATCAGTCTCAGGGCAGATCAAAGTCCTAGGTCTGTTTCTGACTAGATATGCCGCCGACATACCCATAAAGCCATATGCTAATTATCAAACAGGATTTCCGGTCAAATTTAGTGAGACTCAGCCTCGAATCCGACGAGCGCCGCCGAGTTTGGGGGCACATACCAACTCTACGCTCGAAGACATGGGATATTCACCAAAGGAGATCGCGGCGATGCGGGAACAGGGCATTGTGTGATGGGCACCTGGCCTTAGGATGATCTAGCCCAAATTCTTATGCAAAGAGGTCTCACGGTGTCGAGTGTCGAAAGTTGCATTAGCTCATGAAGATCTTGAAGATCTCTCGTCAGCTCAACCTTGGGTTGACATTTTCCATAGTCAGCCATACCAGCCCGGAATACTTGTGGACAGAGTTATATCAGTCATCATTGAAGAATGAATAGATTACATAGCATAGAGGTACGTGGCTGCCCAGGACCACCTGCAGCACTTGAAGCTGACCGATCGGCTTACAGGCAGGTGGGGAGTTGGACCAGTTAGTTAGGCACTTGCCATAGCTAGTATGATCAGAGCAAACAACACTAAAATGGAACAGAATCCAACTTGAACCTCTACAGTCTAACGTTGTGTCCGGAGTTGGCGGAGCTGAAGTGACCAAGTACATTCGGTGTGGCTAGCTGGCATGTACTTGGAGAGCTGACACCCTACGCACAACGAACCCCATACACCCCAATTCACGCTAACTGTCATGCAGCCCAAATCGAAATCTCGCAATATAACTGGATGATCCGCACGTCTGGGAGTTCGTAACTCCCCAAATGGTTGGGACGGTGGCTGCATCAATCCAATAGTAGAAATTCTGAAGTTGACCGCATCGAGGGGTGGTTGGCAACGAATATCAGACGTTTTCTTGGTCGCGAATAACTTCCGTCTCAAGGAAGGCTAACATGGTTTGGGGAAATCGTTCGTCATTTGTGAAGACAACAACTTCGCCTTGGGAGGAGGCTTACATGCAATGTGACAGGACTGCATTCAATTTGAAAAACGTGCCTATGCTGTTCCCCTTGAATACCGTGTTCTTGAAATCGTATAAGAAGCCCCTTCAATCCAGGACTTCTGACTGAACACCCCAGACTAGGTTCGAATGCACCTCTTCGGTCGACTGAGAAAACGATCTTCCAAACGAAGCATTGCTAGTATTGCTCCGGCACTTCAGCCAGCGAGCAAGATGACATCCGAAGCTATCGAGTACCAGTATTATCAAATTAAAGCCCGATTCCCGGACACAGATTCCAGTCCCGACGATGGCATTAACCGCAGGGTTTTTGTCCGACAGGAAATCGATGAATGGAGCGGCAAGAAGTCGAACAAAAGGCAGGTCGACCTTTTCATCCTGGCTCTGGACAAGTTTCAGAAGTTGGATCCCAAAGAAAGACTCTCCTACTTTCAAGTCGCTGGTATGTGTCGATTGATTATCTATCATCTCACCAAGGTTGACTCCCATTTTAATAGGTATCCATGGACAACCCTTTGTACGATGGGATGATCCGAGCCCAGAGCCCATGAAGAGCGGCTACTGCTTTCACTCCCATGTGATATTCCCTATCTGGCACCGGCCGTATGTCCTACTGTTTGAGGTTAGTGGACTGTGGTCTTTGATACGTTATGCGACATCTTCGGTGAAACTGTGAAAGTACTGATTCACCTCAGCAAGTCGTGTATGACATTATGATCCAGGAGGTCATCCCCCAATTCCCGGAGGATCATCAGGCCTCCTGGCGTCAACATGCCGAGTCGTGGCGCCTGCCCTTCTGGGACTGGGCACGAAAGGGCCGTGTTCCCGACCTGGCGAAATACCCCACTATCACTGTTCCTAGGCCCGAGGGGGGCTCGATGCGAATTGACAATCCCTTGTTCCAGTTCCGCATGCCGACAGACAGGCCAATGCGGAGTGAGGGGGTGGGAACCGAGAATACATGGGAGAATGACTCTGAGCAGGAAGATTATAAGAACGTAAGCATATGCATTGGTACGACGGCGATAAAATGCTCACCTGAATAGTTTGGCAATGCGATAGGTACCAGCCGTTGGCCAGACGAAGAGGACCAAAACCCGACTAGCGAGGGTTGGCGACATGGTGTTGTCAACAATCGTAAAGTCGCCGATGCCTTTAATGCCCACGAGGGGTATAATGACAAGAATCATGGTCCTGCCGCTGAGATGGTTTTTCGACTGCTCACTGTTCCTATGGACTACACCACATTTGCAAGCACTAATCCAACTTCGAAAGATCAGAATGTTGAGCAAGATCTGAACATTGAATATGTGAGTTTGTTTTGTCGCCCTGATAGATATGAGCACAAGATCTGACAGAGACTTTAGATTCACAACAACATGTAACCATCGATAATATACTTGCCGTGAGATCTTCGCTATTGCTTCCAATACTGACTAAGTTGTCTCAAAGTCATGGTTGGACAGGCGATGCTGGACATATGGGAAATGTGCCAGTGGCCTCTTTTGACCCGCTGTTCTTCTTGCACCATTGGTCAGTATACTCCGCTTGGTCACTTCATCACCAAATCTGATTCATCACGCAGTAACATCGATCGGCTGTTTGCAATCTGGCAAGCTCTCAACCCCGACAAGTGGCTGACCAACATACCGGCCGACAATGCTACGATTCGTGATTCGTATGGTAAAGATCATGCGGTCAATGGAAACACCCCGCTTCAGCCATTCAGACGGGATGCCGAAGGAGATTACTGGACTCCCGATGGGGTCAGATTCACCCCCAACCTGGGATATGCCTATCCAGAGCTACCGCGGTGGGAAAGCAAATACCGACAGGAGGATGGAACACTCAACCAGGCTCTGTTTCAAGAGAATATCAACACCATCATCAATCGGTTGTATGGTGTGTCGCGTGATTTAGCCTTGGACCCTAAGACCCCACCGCCTAAGGGAGTTGAGGCAATTGACGGTGGACTCCGTGTCACAGACTTTGCCTTCAGCGTTCGATTTTTGAAGTGTGTTAGCCCTCACCAGCAATGTTTCTGTTCTTCCAATCACCTCTGATAGCTGACTGTCTTGGGTAATTCAGATACGCATTCGGAGGGCGGCCTTTCTGGGTCAAATTGTATCTCGCCCAAGAGGACGGCGTGCAAACTCCGCTCACAGACTTAATCGCCGAAGTCTACAACTTTAGCCAGAAGCCTGAGCTAGATGGTTTGTCAGTCTGTGGAAACTGCACGAAGGGACAAACGTTGCGCATTCAGTCGACTGCTTACATTCCAATCACCCCTGTCCTCTACAAGCTGGTTAGAAGTGGGCGGAAACTAACTTCGTTGACGCGCGACGAGGTACTGGCGTATATTAGAAAGCGTGCTTACTGGCGTGTGTTCAAGGCAAGCAACCTTCGTCGCCGTCCTCCTTCCGTCGTGCGAAACATGCTGACAATTGCCAGCACGGGAAAGAAGTGCCTCGCTATGAGGTTGAGAAGCTGGAGTTAGAGATCATTGGAAGCACTAATGACACCAAGCATTTCGAAAACCCCGCGATACCCCCATCATTCGAAAATTTCCAGAAAGAGCCTACCATCTCCGGTGGTGCAGATGGAGCGCTTGATCCGGAGTTGAAGCAGCCCAAGATTGACCCACCGGCCCCTCGGTAAGTAACCAGCCTCATGAACGAGTGAAGACTGAACTGTCGTCACTAACTTTAATCAGACCCAAACGGCCAAGAGCAAATCTCCCACTTCATGGAAGTCTGCGCTTCCCGCAAACACTCAAAGCGGACAGTGTCATCCTCCTCGAATCATCCAGCGTGGATCCTGTCAAGCCCGACGTTGGCATAGACATGACCCAGATCTCGATTAAAGATGCAGCGAATGAGATTATCTTCCATATCTCTATTCGCCGTCGCCAAGGTCAAATCATATTCAACGCCAAAATCGGCGGGTCATGGGGTCAGGAGGAACGCATTAATATCGATGGTCGATTCGAAAGTGAGGACGGTGCAACGATCTTGATCCACGACCAGGGAGACGGCTTCGAAGTGTCTATTGACTGGGTTCATGCAATCTGGTTCGCTAAACGTGCCAAAGAAAGAACACCACAGTCAATTTCGTATGACCTTGGTGCCCAGGAGGGAACTTCTACCTTGTCGGAGGATTTGGAAGTGCGAACCTATCCTTCTATGAAGGCTTTGTTCCTCCAAAAGCATGCTCATGAGGAGGATCAGTAAGCCTCCGTTGCTAGGTATTCCCCCGCGGCAGGTTTTGAGCGCAACAGGTCTTGATGTGTTCTGGTAGCTTTCCATTGGTAATCATCTGTCGGTAAAGTGATGAGAACTTCAATCGTACAGATAGTTTTGACCCATCTGGGATCAAGACCGCAATACGCGCTTATTCCCATTTAGCAAATATTCGGCGGCAACATCATAAGTAGACCCAGGGGCAGTAATCTTGCCACTTCCCTTTGCGGCCTAGTAGGGAAAGGGCCCAGTGACTGAAAACATGAAGCAATAGACGATTTCGTACGCTTTCAGTACGCTTTCATTCACTGGAAAGGTTGTGTAGTTGCTATATGTTACGCGGTGCCTGCTGGTCACTGTAAGTAGAGCTGCTTCCGGGTTGTACTCGCCTAGTTCCACTTCGAATCCCAAGAGTATCTCGCAACCGTACCGTCGCTGTGCTAAGCCTTACACGGACTCGGGTCCTGTTGAGTATCTTGCAGGATGTGCCAGTAGTGCGCGCCAAGTAAGTCAGTCACCAAGTGTTACCACAAGATGAGCTCCCCTACTTGTAGGTTGGGTTGTCTTAAGGGTGAACCGTAGAGTGCAAAGTCCAATAGGTAGTAACCAAGTAACAATGTATGATTGATCGCGAAGAACTAAATACATGACGGTGAATGAGTGTCCTTATATATCCAGTCCTTCCTATCCCCTGGTGGGATGAGTTCTCATCCCACGATGGGATGGGACATCACGTGATCTTGCTGTTTTCGTAATTCTGTGGTTCAGTCATTCGTGGATGCCTCGCCAGTTGACACCAAGTTGATTGGTTATTAGTGCGTCTTCCCCCGCATTAGCGTGGTGTGTCTAAGTGTCCCGTAACAAGCGCCTCGGGAGAGGAAAGCGAATACAAGCTGGCCTTGTAAGAGGAAAAGAGATAACCAAAGCATGCACCATCTGGGGGAAGAAGGCCGTTTTATGTACACGAGGAGTCAGCCCTGGAAGATAATAGGACACTGGACCGAGCAGTTTCTGGGATAGGGCCACGGCACTCCCAGGGTCCTGACGGATGGCTCCCAGGAGTCACAGGCTCCTGGGAATATACAGACCCAATCCTGGGAACATGTGGATGTTGCCACAGGATCACCAAACTGGATACTGGGAAATTACACCGGCTTCCCAGGCGCGATATTAGGCTAATATGTGCCTGGATATTTGGGCCCAACTTGCGTCTCATTCGGAAAAGCTCGGCCTGTGCTAGTTTGAGCCATCCAGCGGGAAGGACATGCCTTCCGACATGATTTAAGAGCCGTGCAATGTGTCTACAAACTGTTTCTCCCAAATCTTCTCTGTGATTTACGCGAACTTATCCTCGACAAAATCCTAAATTTGCTGAATAGCACTTCACGGACCCTCCGCCCATACTGATTCCATACAACCATGGGGAAATTCTCTGGAGTAGTCATGCGTGAGCAAGATCTTCGCCCTGATGGTTTCACTGCTAATGCTTTGCTTCGCAGCTTGGAAAACGGCAGACAAAGGAGCACCGCCCCGGCAAGACTTTCGTCCTCTAAGTTTCTGTGGGACTACCCCAATCAATGCAAGACAAATCAACGATGACTGGTCAATTCGATATGGGCGGAAAGCCGAGGGAGCCGAAGGAAGTCACGTCTTTTACCAATCGGCTAACCGACTGTGCCGCTTTTCGGAGGATAAGTTAGCCTACCTCCGACAGAAGGAGTTTACGGCAGGTCTTGGTCCGAATCGTACTGTCATATACCAAAAGAAGGATACGTCAACTTTTGGCTCGAACCGAGAAGAGCTGTTCCCATGTGCAATTAGGCCAAATGTGTCGTGGAAATGAGGAGTGATAAGTCGTTCAAGGACAGCAGGGGCGTTAGGGAACGAATAGTTTAGCCATGATCTTCATTGAATAGAGCCATATCACCCTGAGCTGCAACCTCAAAAATTCTGACTACAAGCACGAACGTGGTCTGTGTCTCATGACGGTGTCGCTGAGTTCCTAAAGACGTTTCTGGATATGTAACCAAGGAATGACCAAATATTTCGTCCTAGAATCAGGCACATTGCAGTCCTGCTTCGTGGAGCATGATCAAATAATACAGTGGAGATGGGAACGGTGAGCCCGGTCTCGTTCCGCAGTCAGAACCCAGATCATTCACCACGCCAGGCAAAGCTGCGAGCAGCTTCAAGTCAAGTCCTCATGAACGGGAACACGGTCAAACCGTCGCCTACATACCACCAAGCGCATTATCTTCTGCTAGGGTTGTGGTGGAAGGGATACGTCCAGCAGGCCATCAGACTCGCAACCAAGATAGCAATTGCCCTGCAATAGCTACGGAATTTGCTCGAAAGTATCAAACATGTGTCGCACTCGTTGGTCGACTATGTATCGACGGGCGGTCTGGCACGACCGTGAAAATACACACTTCCGCACTTAGACGCGGAACTAAGGACGTCTCACTTCACCAACAACCACCCAAGATGCCACATTTCCCTATGGTAACTAGATTCATGATCCGCATCTTGTCCACGGTAAGGCCAGTGGCCACTACAACTCCAAAAGTGGAAGCACACAATATGTCCGACTCATCTCCACCTCACCACCCGGACGTTCGTGCCCTGAGATCAACCGGGATCTTGGAGTAGTACCCAAGTACGGACCGGTTGAATGTAAGGGAAGATGGAACAACCCTATCAAGTTTACTGGGTTCGTAAAGGTCGTTCTTTCAACATTACGTAGTTGAGTAGGCTGTGGCCATTATAATGGCCATTAGTGCCCGTACATTGGATGGCAATCAAAGAAGGCCAATAGTATAAGGTCGGAGGCCGGTGACGATAAAGAGAGAGTGGCGAAGAGAGAATGATTTTAGGGCTTAGGGCTTAGGGTTTAGGGCTTAGGGCTTAGGGCTTAGGGCTTAGG